TGCTTTGAATTTTAACGATACTAATATTGCTTAAGTTACGAAAGATATCTTTAAAATTGTACAACTTTGGATTAACTTAAAACTTGTTGATATTAAGTGAATATTTTGCGTTTAATATGTTTTATTTTCCTGTTAGTTAACACTAAAATATAATGATATAAAATTTATTAATATTTTAAATCAAGTCGGGGTCACCACTAAAGGCATATTTACATCCTTATTTACATCGTTACATTATTTCCTCCTGCCTTGTCCCGTGTTGAGAGTGACAGTATTTTCTTTTCTCACCTGCCACGCGCAGTCACCTGCCAGATACAATGCCACAGACGTAATGAATCATACTAATATTATAAATGCGAATGTATCTCTGGAACGGCTCAACGGATTTTGATGAAATTTGGCATACTTGTAAAACATAGTCTGAAAGAACACATAATCTACTAATTTTTTTTATTCAGAACGGACGGGGTCGCGGGAAACAGCTAGTGAATCTTTAAATAAGTCGTAATTCCGGATATTACGGTCTGTATTTAGTTGTTCACACACATTGCTTCTGTGGAATGTATTATACATATTAACAATTGTTTGTGATTCCGCTGCAAGTTTACAAGCGTACAATCGTCCCGCTAACTCTACTATTGGTACCGTTCTAAATGACACGACCACTACGTTCGCTACATTGTATCGATTACTATAGATTATCTATATTATTTATTGTTACACTATGATTACATTCACCGTAACTGTAATTTATATAAAATTGTCTATTATATACTCAATCTGTAGATGAGATTTTTTAAAAGAATGATGTCACACTTAAATCTGAATTATAAAGATCGATTTTGGTAAATTAGATTGTATAAACGCTTGAATTATAAGTAATATAGTTTGCAATTTATATTCGAGATTTATTTAACATTTTAAATAATATTTCAAGGCTTAATAAACTCGTTTTATTAGTATACATTCCATAATATTATTATGCTGTAAATTGTCTTGATGTCTGTGTAAGAATATTAACAATGAATTAATTCGTTTTAATGTATTTTAATTTAATTTCATTATTTAATTCTTTAGTAATAATTTGCGATGACTACTACATACGTCATGAGAGCTAGACTTTGCTCGCCCGAACTCATGTGACGTAAACTGAATCTTATTAATCTTATGAATCTTATTTAAGCACTCTTTAATATTTATTAAATAACATTGATAGCCTCGTCAATTTTATAAAAATAAATCACCTAAAATATCTATATACAGGCTGTTACAAATAATTTTCTGAAAAGAAAACCATTCATAACTGAAATCAAACGTTAACAATACTAATATAGATATTTTACCTCAAAGTTAAATACATATCAAAAACCTTGATAGATCAACAGCGAACCTTCACATTGATGTTTGCAGATTTCTAAAGATCCACCTTGACACGTGTAGCGAATAAACATAAATTAAAATTTATTTCGTGATCGTCTTATCCCGACCTTAGTTCTAGGCAAGTCTACCTGCGTTTGTGAGGACTTGTGTGCACATATGGGCAATAGTAAACACTTGTGTGTGCAGGAATGGCGTTGGTATATTTACATAACACTGTTTCTTTCTCGGAATGCGTAAACATTTCGATATGAGGAAAGCTCCGCAATTCCACTGGGAGTTGTGGGGTTAGTGCAGTTACATACAATGAGTAATTTTGAGTTATTTCTCAAGAGAGAAACTGGTGTATGTTGCAGCCTACTTTCCGTACGATTGGTGCGCCCGCGCCTCGTCGGCGAGCGTCGCGATACGTGAAAGTGAATGGCACAAACGAACGCGTACGGACGTATTTTACGTCCGATTTGTTTCGTACACGCGACCATAAGTACGTACCCGTATCTAGCCGTGACGTAAGATACTATAACGATACTTAAATAAATGGATTTTATTGATACGAAACAATGTTAAATATCAATTAAGTATTAAAAATCATTCGTTATAAATTATAATTTGTTACACATAAATGAAATATAAGGTTTGTAATGTATGTGAACCTTATATTTAAATGCAAGTGTAAATATGTAGTTTTTTGTAATAAATGTAAAAACCAACATTGCTTTACAATAATAAGTAGGTTTTAAAGTTCAAATTTGGACTTTTACAAGTTATTTTTATCATTTTGCACCAATAGATGTTAACCGTAACATAATTAAAACGACCTCCTGTGACATTTCGGTGTGAAAACAAATAACATACGAATTCAATACCATTTTATTTTAATGTACGAATTTAATAAATGAAATAAAAAATATGCATAAAAATGATAAAATAATATATTTTAAACATAGGTGTTTAATAATAGCAAAATAATTAAGAAGAATACTTATATAAATTAGGTTAGCGAAACTAAACGTTATTTGAAAGTACACCTATGTTTTACATTATTTAACAAGTATTTACAGGACGCAATGAAAATAAAATATTGTTTGTCACGAACGCCTACATACGCTTACGGTGTCAAGGGTGATGCCGAGACAATGTGAATATTTGAGTACTACTGCAACCTCCAAGTTATTGCTCATCAGTGCTAGTTGTAACACAAACTATTGAAAAATAACTTATAAACGTACATACATAACCCTAATCATAAAATAATATACATGTAAACCTTATCTGTGGAATACGGATCGGCTCTATGTAGATATTATAGATTCCCATTTTGACGCGGTTGCATACATACGTAGTAGTCGTAAGTAAACCTCTAGATTAACATGATCAATCTTTCTCAATTCAGCCTTAACAAGGAAGTAACAGCCCGAGACGATGTTCCTAAGGGAGCCCTCAAGTTTAGTTACTCCTAAACCAGGTTTAGACTAAGCACCATCTGCATTAGGCCACCTCCGGTGGAGCTGTAAATATCTCTTCAAGTGTCTACTTAGTCATAATAAAAATTAAAATCAATCTGTTAGATAAAATTTTAGTCCTTCTACAACAACTTTTATCATTGGCACTTACTTTCGCTATATAATTTAAATCTACGTACAAAAGTATGTATACAATTATAAAAATATAAATTTTGACACGTTATCGTCAGTAGGATAAGGTTTCCGGATACCTAATCCTCATCATTTACAGTTCAGGCTGATGTGTGAGAAGGTAACACCTCGGATATAATCCTTGTCATGTCATGGTAACAAGGAAGTAGCGATGGTCTTCTCTATATTGTAACATAATACATGACGCACACAACAACATATACAATAGGGTTAATACCCTTAAATATGTATGTTGCAGTAAAATTGTTTCTCATACAGTGCATTTTGTAAATTCTTACAGAAATAAATATCTTAAGCCACAAATATAGTATGAGTCTATAATCTACTGAATTGAATAAAATATGTTTAATTTTAAAATGCGTGTACTTTATATTCTACTTGCAATTCCCGCGACTCCGTCCGCGCGATTTAAAAAAAAAGTAGTCTATGTGTTCTTCCACACTATGTTATACATGTGTGCCAAATTTCATCAAAATCCGTTGAACAGTTCCGGAGATACCTTCAAACAAACATTCGCATTTATAATATTAGATATAATTCAAGTAAAGTTATATAATGTTAACAATTTGTTACATTTATTAACCGCATGAGCATTAATCACGATTATTCTATTATGTAGGTGCAATGACATCAACTTATGTACCTAAATATATATGTATTGCGGAAACCGAGCAACTTAATATGTCATTAAAACCATGCATTAACTGAACGTTGAACTATGCGAAAATGGAAACGGTGTTACCGTTTCATTGTGAGACATATGTCGAGGCGTAGGTGTACGTGTGATTCGTATTTAAAGTTTGTCCATACAATATTGAGAACGAGTCACCGCTTGCACAGTTACCTGACCTCGCGACAACCTTCGCCTTTATCCACTCTCAAATAGAATTAAACTTTTATTCATTGCTCGAAAGTTCTTTTTCAATTTATCTTTTTACTATAATGACATAATTCATAGTTTTTGAAACTAATCCGTGAACACTTAACTAAAATAATTATAATGTGCCTAATTATAGTAATAGTTTGAAACCTCAAGTGAATGTGACGAAGTCCAGACACTCACAGTCACTTTATTGCTACTTAAGCAGTCCGTTAGCGTAGATTTCTTATAATAAATCTAAACTAAGCGCCTCCCTTAGTGAGAACGACTACAGATGTATAACTCTTCGTTCTAAGATCTTCAAAAACTGCACAAATATTGATTTTCGAAGATGTCCTTAACTTGTTAGCACAACAAATATCCTTGTTAACCTGAACGATTGGAGATTTTGGTGACACACAAATTTAACATATGGTCATCATACATATATATATTATATTAGAATCGCTCTGCTTGGTTAATTTCGTAGAATAGCTATTACCGAGGTTAGATAAAGTTTCGCACGCCCAATTATTAGATTGGTCACCGACTTTTTGCGACTCTTTACTTTCAAGAGCATTGCGAATTCCGATCTCCGCTTTTTATGATTTAAAAAATATAAAGGAGTGCTGAGCTTCATAAATCACAATTTTTTATATCGATTAATTATTTTTTTGAATGAATTACTTGTTGAAGACACAGAATATATGATCTACTTCAATTTCTTAATGAATGATGGTTGTATACAAAGAAGTATTAAAATAAGTTCAGTTACAACTGTACTTTTTCTCTATCAGTAGTAGTTATTTGTAATATATTAAAGACGGGAAAAATAATACAGAACCTACAATTGTAATATTTATTGTTTCTGTTTTACCTTTTATTCATAAACTAGCTGTAGCCCGTGGCTCCATCGGCACGGAATAAAAAAAATTGATTAGTAGCCAATGTGTACTTCTATAATATGCCAAAATTCTATAAGATACATGCTGCCGTTCTGGGGATACCTTCTAACAAACATACATCCAAACATTACGAATGTGAATGTTTATTTTTATAATATTAGTTACATTTACTTGTAGCCTAATTCTAAGTATTCTTTGTTACAGAAACAATGCATATAACCAACTTGCCACTCGTGGTTTGGACGCTCACAGTCTTAATGACACATGTAAGTACAACTTAAGTTTAAGCATAATTAAAACATACGTAACTAATAATTTTAATTCTAGCTGTACAGTTTTTCAGATTCTCTTATGGAATTTAATTGTGTTTATTATTCGCTGTGTTTTTATTTTCTTTTTTTGTATTGGAATTCTGAGAGATAAAAATGCTGTACACATGTTACTATTGGTACATTTCGGTCCATTTCACAGGTAGCGACGCAAAGCCAGTATGGAATAGGTTTAGGCATAAAACGAGAAGTATTTTTCTTAAATTTAGAAGACGGCTACTTTGGTTGTCAAGTAAACGAATCAACACAAATATTACAATTATATGAATTATCGAAATTATGCGATGGAGTACCGGATTGCTACAAGGCGTCCGACGAACTGAGATCAGAGCTCAAATGCACAGGTAAGACAACTCAATATGCTTAATACGAAACATAGACAAATAATTCAAATCAAGTAAATTAAAAGAAGAAGCAACCAGCTCTTAATAAAAGACACTCGCAGTATTAATTATATCATTAATTTAAGTAACTAGCAAATAGAACTTTTCCTATTGAAGGAAAATTGTGTGATTAACGCAATAACCAATAAAAAATACAAAACAAAAACACTCAATTAATTAAGGGTGTCTGAGTTATTGAGTTATCTTTGATTTGTCAAAAACAAGGATGACATGTTTCTTAGAGATTTTGGTCTCAGAAATCCATGGTAAGATTATTAAATGTTTTAGATGACTGTACCAAAGAAGATGGCGCACGTTGCATAAACGGTGCGTGTCTAAACGGTGTGTGCCATTGCAATGATGGTTTCGGCGGCTGCAACTGTCAGGAACCAGGTGAGGAAAATTACTACTGATATATATTAAATTATCATATACGTTACATTCAAATCTAACTACGCATAATATCCGTCGATTTTCAGTTGTCTTTATAATACCTTTTTGTACATTTCAAAACGTAACTGTAATTTATTGTGATAAATGTAGGTAGTTTAGTATCACCTACCGTCACTTAACTCTAAATAAATCAGTCTCAAACCAATCATCGTTTCATTCATACGTGTACACTAATTAAGTAGTTTCTTTCCTTTGTGTTAATATAGCGCAATTAGATGCCATCTCATATAATATTTCTTGGAACAGAAGTTCTGTTTGTTAAAAATATTTTTTTTGCAGATGTAAACGAATGCAAGGACAGACCATGTGATGTGTTTGCGCACTGTACCAACACCGTGGGTAGCTTTCAATGTTCATGCTTCCCGGGATACGAAGGCGATGGTTTCACTTGTAGAGGTATTTATCATTTTCTGATATACATAGGGTCAAAGTTTAGATTAACACATTTAACATAAAACCTAATCGAATAAATAGGTACCAAATGTATGGTATAGTAATAATAGCATAATTTTAAGAAGACATCAGTGGGTACAAAATAAAAAAATTGAAATAAATTTGTTTAAAATAAATTAACATTTGGTTTTATCCAAACCAATTTTGTAGAATAATTTATATTATATATATACGATTTAATACAGTACGTATTTATGGATTTTTATTTATTTAATTTAGGTGAAATTGTTAAGTAATTACAATGCATTTAAAATGAAATAGGTATACACATATGTTCAGTTTTATTACCTCATCCTTTTTTATTTTAGATATAAACGAATGTGAAGATCCAGCGATATCGTCGAGATGTGTCAAGAATGCAGAATGTTGTAACTTACCAGCTCACTTTATCTGCAAGTGTAACCGAGGCTTTGAAGGGGACGGGGAAGAAGAATGTCGAGGTAATTTGCTGTTAACACATTATGATATCCCTTATCTCCCTTATTTGTTATGGTTTATTATATAATATAATTACATATATTAATAATTAATAATTACATATAAACATAGTTTAGATTGTATATATAAAATATTGTTATTTTTAATTCAGATATCGACGAGTGCCGACGACCCGGAGCCTGTGGAAGCAACACTGTTTGTCAAAACTACCCCGGCAACTACACATGCGCCTGTCAATCTGGTTATACCGGAAATCCATTCGACGGCGTAAGTTAACTTCTTCAATGGTTTCGCTTAACCGCTTTATTAAACCGCTATAACGGTTTTTATTGTTTCCATTGTAGTGCGTGGACATTGACGAATGCGAAAACAAGGAGGCATGTGGTACCGGCGCTGCCTGCCGCAACATTGCCGGCGGCTACGAGTGCAGCTGTCCGCAAGGCTTCGAAGGCGATCCTCGCGTCGGCTGCCACGACCTCGACGAATGCGCTCGCGCAGAGTGTGGTCGCAACGCTCTATGTGAAAACTTACCCGGCTCGCATCGCTGTCTATGTCCACCAGGTTTCCAAGGCAATCCCGAAGTCGAGTGTATCGGTGAGCTTAAACAATTTTATTACACGTCATGTGTGCTTTTATTTAACTATGGTTTAATGCTTAAAAACTTCTAATGACGGCCTATAACAAATTACGCCGACACTACCGCACTCAATCGAGCGGTAGCTTCACGCTTCTACTAACTTAAAGAAACACATTAAAACATTTTTCGACTATGTCATTAAAAAGTTTCAGGTTAAGGACGCATACCCCTCGGCACCGTGGGATATTCGGTCGGCTGGTCGGTGTCATTTGTGAATTTAGTTTTACAGCAGCGCCAATGCAGCGTCTAGCTGTAATTTTCAATATATTTTAGTCTCGTTTTACGGTTACTTCTCTTCTCTTCTTTAAAAAATTCTCTGTGCCTGTCTCTTCCTCTTCGTAGTGGCTGTTGGAGTACATATAACGTACGTATGTGTTTTATTCGAGAAGGCGGCGGATAATTAGACGTGAGTTGTTTGTTACACCAGACGTGGATGAATGTAGGAGTAGAGAAAATATGTGCGGCAAGCACGCCGTGTGTACGAACACGGTTGGCAGCTACGTTTGCACATGTGAGCCGCAGTACACCGGCGACGCGCGCTCCCCCGACGGCTGCACAGATGTTGATGAGTGTTCTGTCCTCGAACATCCTTGTGGCTCACAGGCTCTTTGTGAAAACGCTTCTCCCGGATATAACTGTGTATGTCCACAAGGATATAGAGCCAAACCGGATGCCAAAATAGCTTGCGAGCAGGTATGCATTTTTTAATACCTTAATGTAAGTATTAAAATGAAACTTTTAAATGATAATTATTATATTTGGCAGGTCGATGTAAACATACTATGTAAATCAAACTTTGACTGCACAAATAATGCTGAATGTATTGACAATCAATGTTTTTGTAAAGAAGGATTCAACGCCAAAGGAGCTGTCTGCATCGATGTTGATGAATGCTCAAACGTTACAATTTGTGGAGAAAATGGTTTATGTGTCAATACCCTCGGTGGATATAAATGCGAATGTGTCAATGGATTTGTTGGTTCGCCACCGAGAATACCTTGTCGAGCGCCGTGTGAAGATGTTGAATGTGGCGATCACTCGTATTGTAAACCGAATGGTATAGAAGCTTATTGCGTATGTGAAGAAGGTTGGACATTTATTCCTACAGACGTTTCAGCCGGTTGTGTGGATGTCGACGAATGTGATGCGTCCGTGGGACCGGTGGGACGCTGTGGACCTAACGCACGTTGTACAAATACATTAGGAAGTTATTCTTGTCAATGTCCTGATGGATTTTCTGGTGATGCTTTTAAAGAATGTTTCGATGTTGACGAGTGTCAGGCGGATGACGCTTGTGGAGCAAACGCTGAGTGCATAAATAAACTGGGTTCCTACGATTGCGAATGTCCTGAGGGTACTGTTCCTGACCCAGATCCACGCGTGCGATGTTCGGAAATTCTGACATGTAAAGGAGACAACGATTGTCCTGGAAATTCTATTTGCGATTCAAATGCTAGATGCGTATGTCCTGAACCTAACGTCGGTAATGATTGTCGTCGTAAGTATTTAATGTTATTCTTTAATGGAGTTCATAAATTTTAATTACTTCCTCTTTTAAAATAAGTTTTTTTACAGATCCATGTGAAAGTTTGCAATGTGGTAGTAACTCTGAATGTTTATTAAATGACCAGATAGCGCAATGCACATGCCGCACTGGATTCAAAGGAGATCCCACCTCTCACCTAGGGTGTCAAGATATTAACGAATGCGATGCAAACCCTTGTGCGTTTGGGGCTGTGTGTAAAAATCTTCCTGGGCATTTTCAATGTGAATGCCCTGGTAGATTTGTTGGTGATCCTTATGTCGATGGATGTGTTTCGAGTAAACAGCCGATTGAATGCAGTGACATTAACCCGTGCCCCCAGGGCGAAACGTGTATTACTCACGATGGTGAAAACGTTTGTATATGTTCGCAAGGTTTCACACGCAACAAAGAATCTGGGTTATGTGAAGATGTCAACGAATGTACTTTATACGGTCACTCGCCATGTGGTTTTAACGCTATTTGCAAAAATTTACCGGGTAGCTATGAGTGCAAGTGCCCTATGGAGTATAGTGGTAACCCCTATACTCTTTGTGAACTATGCGATGACGTCAGTTGTAGATGTCACCCACCATATAAAGTTGTCGATAACAACTGCGTATTGTCTGACTGTGCAAAAGGAAACACATGTGGTAAAGGAGCAGAATGCATAATTATTTCCGAGACTGTAAGCTACTGTGCATGTCCTTCTGGTTTCTCACAAACTAGTGAAGGTGCCTGTGAAGATATAAACGAATGTTTATCAGGCCAACCGGTCTGTGGTTTTGGTGCTGAATGTATTAACACTGAAGGCTCATATAAATGCAAATGTCCACCAGGTTATGGCCAAGACCCCATTTCTGGTCATTGTACTATAAACCAAAAGAGATGTATAAGCGATTCCGACTGTTTCTCAAATGAAAAATGTATACAACCTGGGCAGTGCATTTGTCCACCACCTTTTTACTTAGACATTGAGGATGGGCAAAAATGTAAAAGTCCTTGTGAACGATTCATTTGTGGCATTAACGCAAAATGTACTCCTAGCGATCCTCCAAGATGTATGTGTATGACAGGATATGAAGGAGACCCCTACACTGGCTGTACGAATAGAAACGAATGCCACAGCTCTCCTTGCGGATACGGTGCCATTTGTCATGATCAAAAAGGCGGATATCAGTGTGTATGTCCTCCCAACATGGTTGGGGATCCTTACAAATCAGGATGTACGTATTTAAGTATATTTTCTTGCAATTGGTAATCAATATAGATGACAACTTATGTTACTGATTTACTCTATATTTTAGGTTCCTTTGGCATAGGTCCATCACAAAAACAATTATGTAGTTCCGATAATGAATGTCCTAATAACCTTGCTTGTTTAAACCGTACGTGTCTGTCTCCATGCCTAAGCGTCACTTGCGGCGCCAATGCTTTCTGCGAAGTAGATGATCACGCAGCCTGGTGCAGATGTAATCCAGGCTACACTAAACCTGAGGGTGGGAAATGCATATCTGGTAAGAAAAACACTTTAAAATCAATATGTGTATATAATTTAATTTTTTACTTTATTTTATTCATTTTTATTTTTATTATTTTATTTATGTTATTTTTATTTATAATTTATATTTTACTTTGGTATTGTTTTAGGTTGCGATAATTATTCTTGTGGAACAGCAGCTCAATGTATAATTTCGAAAAATGGTCCCACATGCGTGTGTCCAGAAGGAATGGTTGGGAATCCCTTCCCGGGGGGTGGTTGCAGAAGAGACGTATGCGGCCCTGGAATACCTTGTGAAGGCCCATTCACGTGCCTCGCAGGAAGATGTCGACAGCGCTGCGAAAATGTTGTTTGTGGCGTTGGAGCGTCTTGCGACGAAGAGAGCGGCAGATGTGTTTGTAATGCATTCTTTGTAGGAAATCCCGATTTACTTTGTATGCCTCGTAAGTATTTTTAAAGTTATTAAATTATTCAAACTTTCGTGAGACATTTTTATATATCAGTTTATTTTTAAAGTTGTTTATCAAAATATTTTAATTTAACTGAAGGTATAATGTAACAAACTTTTTCCAGCTGTTGCTCCTCCCGCTTGTGAACCTGGTTGTAGTGAAAACGCTCATTGCGTTTATGGACCGATCAATTTATGTAAATGTGATAAAGGATACACTGGGAACCCTTACTCCAAATGTTTACCGAGGAGACAAATAACTTGCGCAAAAACTTCGTGTGGACAGAACGCCGTTTGTCAGCAAACTAAATCACATATCGAGTGTCTATGCCCTCCTGGTTATATCGGAAACCCAAATCTACAATGCATTGATATCGATGAATGCCAATCAAAACCGTGCGGTGAAAATGCTATTTGCATAAACACTCCTGGTAGTTTCAGTTGCATATGCAAAAGCCATCATTTCGGCAATCCATACGAACTGTGTACACAAGTTGCAATTTCTAAATGTGTTGATGGTAATGGTTGCTCTTGTTCCCAAAATAATACTTGCCCGGATGGCTATTATTGTGAAAAATCTATATGCGTCGACAAATGTCGCAAAACAGTATGCAGTCAGAATGCTATTTGCGAAGAAGGTCAATGCGTTTGTCTTCCAGGATACATTGGAAATCCGAACGATTTACAACAGGGCTGCACTTTTGACAGTAAGTGTGTAACTGACGGAGATTGCAAAGATACTGAAATATGCTTTCAAATAAGCAGAAATATACGTAAATGTGTCGACTCATGCAGTAAATTACAATGTGGACCCAATTCCCTATGTGTTAGTGCGAATCACCAGGCCCATTGCATTTGTACAGAAGGCTATGTTGGGAAGCCTAATGATATTAAATCTGGTTGTCATTTGCAACAAAAGCCAAAAGAAGTTGAATGTAGCATAAATAGTGACTGCAATGAGCCACAAGTTTGCGTGCCGGTTGGTGGAATGATGAAATGTCTAGATCTTTGCACCACTGTCGCTTGCAGCGCCGATGAAATCTGTAATGTACTGAATAATACCGCACGTTGTGATTGTAAAGAAGGATATTTGTGGAATCCCATCAGTTCCAATTGTGAACAACCATCGACACCAAGTTGTAGAAATGATAATGATTGTGATGAAAATAAGTCCTGTGAAAAAGACGTGCTCGGTGTTAATAAATGTGTAGATAATTGCTCAATATTTACATGTCCACAAAATTCGAAATGTGTTACTAAAAATCACAAAACGCAATGCCAATGTTTGGACGGCTATATAGGAAATCCGAATGATCGCGACGGATGTGTAGCGTTAGATAAAAACCAATGTACAGACGATGTGCAATGCAGAGAGAGTGAAATATGCAAAAATATCGGAAACGTAAAGAAATGTGTGTCGGCTTGTCAACAATTAGTTTGTGGACCAAATGCGATTTGCATTACTAATAATCACGTAGCCAAGTGCCAATGTCCCTCAGGACCCTTTACGGGTAATGCTGACGACCTAGAGAAGGGATGCCAATCTGTTCCTTGTATTTACAACGCTGATTGCTTATCACATGAATTGTGCAATCGTTTGACATACACTTGTGATGGTGCATGCCGAAATGACTCATGTGGCGACAACGCAGTTTGTATAGCCGAAGGTCATAAAATTATTTGTATATGCCCTAATGGATATAAACCGGATCCTATTCCAGAGGTGAACTGTAGAAAAATAGAGTTATGTAATCCTAACCCTTGCCATCCTACAGCCGTATGTGAACCGCGACTTTCATCGTATACCTGTAAATGTCCAGTTGGATTTATCGGTGATCCAAAGAAAACAGGTTGTAAAAAACAAAACCAATGCATAAACGGAGATCAGGATTGTCCCCCTGAAGCGACTTGCGTAAACAACCGGTGCGTTAATCTATGCGATGGCGCATGTGGTGTAAATTCTTTATGCAAAATTATCAATAGAAAACCTATTTGTACTTGTGCCAATGGGTACGAAAAATCTAAAAATGATAATTCGTGCAAGAAAAAAATATTATCATGCCACAGTGAAAATGATTGTGAAGGAGATACATGCGTCAATGGACAATGTTTCGCAGCCTGTAAAAATTCTAGTCACTGCGATCCAGGTAATGCGTGCATTAAAAACTTGTGCATAACACAATGTAACACACATACTCAGTGCGCGATTGGACAAGCCTGTGTCGGAGGGCAATGCCTAATAGGATGTAGAAGCAACGATGATTGCATTGAAGATGAGGCGTGCCTAAACAACAAATGTGTAAACCCTTGCCTTGTTGCGAGATCTTGTGGACCAAATGCTATTTGCTCTAGAGAAAATCATGCCGTTAAATGTGAATGCCCTCCTGGATTTGAAGGAACACCATTACCACAGCAAGGGTGTGTAAGAAAACCTTCTACTTGTTCTCGGACTTCAAATTGTCCACCGGATCATATGTGTATAGGTAACTTGTGTCAAGTTCCTTGTCAAGATAATACTGGATGTGCTATTGGTGAAAAGTGTAACGATAACATATGCCATAAAATATGCCATTCCAGTAGCAACTGCTTACACGGCGAACATTGTAACTCCGGTATCTGTATTCCCGGTTGCAAAACTGATTCAGACTGTCTTAATAATCAAATTTGCCAAACGAAGGAATGTTCATGTACATCTGGATACAAATTAGTTAATAACGAATGTGGAAATATAGATGAATGTGTCAATAATCCTTGTCACCCATCAGCACAATGTATTGATTCCCAAGGCTCATTTAAGTGTGTATGCCCGACGGGGTCTATCGGTGATCCATATCAGACTGGTTGCATGTTGCCTAATCAATGCAGACGTGATTTACAATGCGAAGATTCTCTTGCATGTATAAAAGGAAAGTGCTCCAACCCCTGTGAGAATAATGCCTGCGGAGTAAATGCTGTTTGTTCAGTAAATAGACATCGTATGACATGCACCTGTGAAAAAGGTTACTTAGGTAATCCGTTTGATAAAAAAATTGGATGTTTCAAAGTTGAATGTGTAGATGACTTTGACTGCCCTACCGATAAAAGATGCAACACGAAAAACAACAAATGTACTGGTATGTAATTTTTTTGTGTTGAAGTATTTTGAGTTATTACATAATGTATCTGTAGTATACTAATTTTTAAATGATTTCCAGATCAATGCGATGAGCCTGCATGTATTGGTGGATCGTGTAAAATAGAAGAACATAAAGATTTGTGTATATGTGCTAAAGGATTTGAGTTGTTAAATGGTGCTTGTACAGATATTAACGAATGCAATAATAATCCATGTCCACTAAACTCGGATTGTAAAAATAATCCAGGTTCATTTACATGCAGTTGTGTAAATGGCACAGTATTAGATGTTAGTAACGGTAACTGTAAAGTACCCGGTGAATGTACATCAGACGATGATTGTGCCGATGCAACTAAATGCGTCAAAGATCATTGTATAGATCCGTGCGATGACTCACCGTGCGGTGATAATGCAATATGTGGTGTTGTTAAACATCAACCAACTTGTGAATGCCCACCTAACAGTCAAGGAGATCCTTATAATAAATGTACTAAGTTTGAGTGTACAAAAGATGCAGATTGTGCTTCTGAAGAAGCCTGTGTTAACAACAAATGTAAAGATTCTTGTAGTATACCACGAGCATGTGGCAGGAATGCAGATTGTTATTCAAGAAATCACATTGGCCATTGTACTTGTTCTTCGGGTTACACAGGAGATCCAGTTCTTGGTTGTGTTCCACTTCAATATTGTGCTGATGATAGTAAATGTTCTTCGGGCACGAAATGTGTTGACAATTTATGCGTTGGTAAGTTTCCATATAAGAGCTAATGATGGTGTTATAAACTCGTTACATCCAAATAATACTTATCTGGTATTTACAATTTCAGGTGTTTGCAAAAATTCAAGAGATTGTTTAGATGGCCAAGTCTGTATTCAAGACACATGTCGAGTAACTTGTGCGACTAATAATACGTGTCCAGAATCACAGTTTTGCCTTAATAGTATCTGCTCAAAAGAAATTCAATGCTTTTCCAATGACAATTGTAATGAAGACGAACAATGTGTTATTAACAATGATGGAATTGCACAGTGCGTCAACGTATGTGAAAATCATCCCTGCGGAAGACATGCTACATGTCTAGGAAAATCCCATGAACCAACATGTTTGTGCCAAAAAGATTTCTTCGGCGATCCTCTTCAAGGATGTAAAAAGAGAGAATGTACTAAAAATTCAGATTGCTCCGATGATAAAGTTTGCCATGAAAATATGTGCAAAATTGCTTGTTTGATACACAATGATTGTGGAGAGAATACTGTTTGTTCATCTGAAAAGCATACACATACATGTTATTGTCAACCTGGATTTACTGGCGATCCTGTGAAAGGTTGCGCAGAAATAAACTGGTGTGCTTCTAATCCATGTGGTAACGGAGCAGAATGTCGGAATACCAGAAATCAAGCACAGTGTGTTTGTTCTACCGGAACAGTTGGAAATGCATATGAAGAAGGATGCCGTAAGGCTCCGGAGTGTAGATTTAACAGAGATTGTCCACCAGTAAGTCGGTGTACCGTTATTGATGGTACACGCAAATGTACAGGTAAGGTTTTTGTTTAATTGAATTAGAAATAATTGTCTTTTGTAAAGACAAAGGAAAAAAGGTAATTTTTTCCCCTTTTTTATAAAATGGTCTTTCATTTCAGATGCATGCGACAGCGTAAAATGTGGCCCTAACGCAGACTGTATCGCTACCAGACATACGGGTCAATGCAAATGTAAAAATGGCTACGTAGGAAATGGCGCAAGCGAAAAGGGTTGCCGTCTTCGCGAAGTTTCATGTAGAAGTAAAACAGATTGCGGCAATGATCAATACTGTCATAAAGGATATTGCAAAGGTAAATAGAATTTCGTTACAATATTCTTCTAAATATTACAAATATTGTTAAATTAAAATGTACTTGTTAAGAGATTGCTGGATTATGTGAATTATGTAGGTGTTGAAAGTCTACCATTACATTAAATTCGTAAGATCTACTACGTAGCTTTATATTTCAGGCCTGTGTTTGCTCGATGAGGAATGTAGATCCAATGAAAAATGTATAAATGGACAATGTTTAAATCCCTGTCAAATGGAGAAAACATGTGGTCTTAATGCAGTTTGCAGAACCGACAATCATATAGTACAATGTAGTTGTCCAAATAGTTTTACCGGAAATCAAGACGTCGAATGTGTTCGAAGTACGTATAGTTTCTTTATTTTAAACCGAAAATTATGTTGGAATTATTCATGAACTGTTGGATATTAAATGATTTTTTTCTAGTCCCAAGATTGTGCGGCGCTGCTGAGGAGTGTGATAATGGATTTATGTGTCACAATTCAATGTGTGTCCCCCGATGTAAAGGGGACGAAGAGTGTGCATTGAATGAAAGATGTTCTAAAGGAGTCTGTCTATGTAAGTAGTTTAAATGTTATTTAATTTAGCAACTGTCCAATTTTGGGACCATTGTTACTTGTGATCACAGTACAGTGAGCTAATATTTTTTTTTGTTTGTTAACAGTGACTTGTCGAGTTGATAACGATTGTTTCCTTGGGCACATATGTTTGGCAAACAATTGTCAATACGGTTGCAGACATGATGAAGATTGTGGTCCTGAAGAAATATGCAAAAATAACTATTGCCAGAATCCTTGTGCACATGATAACAATCCTTGTGGTCCGAATGCTTTATGTTCTGTTGTGGATAGAAAAGCTTCTTGTGCTTGCGTAGATGGATTAATTCCAAACCCGACGCCTAACATTGGTTGCGTCAGAACTCCTTCGGCAACTTGTCGCATGCATAAGGATTGTAGTGCAGGATGGCGATGCGAAGACGATCGTTGTCGACCGGCATGTACAGTTGATGGCTCAGAGTGCTTGCAAGGCGAACGATGTGATTCAGGAGTGTGTAGATACGCTTGCACATCAGATGAGCACTGTACCGATGATGAAATATGTGATGGTCGATTATGTGTATTGGGATGCAGATCTAACTCTCAATGTTCTAGTAACCTCGCCTGTATATCAGGCCAATGCTTAGATCCGTGTACCGAACCTGGTACGTGCGGCGCAAATGCTTTATGTGTAACTAAAGAGCATCAACCAGTTTGCTCATGTCCTCAGACATTATCAGGGGATCCAAAAGCAGTATGCAGAAGATTAAGCTTACCTTGTGATTCTGACAAAAACTGTCCAGACGGTCTCACTTGTTATGGGGACACCTGTCATCCCTCCTGTAGAAGGTAAGAAACTTATATTTTGTTATGATTATGATATATATTACGATTTGATATAAATTAACTAGTTTTACGGTACATGATTCGACTAAGGTATGACTGATAATTATCTTATTTTTGCAGTGACGGTGTTTGCTTATCAAACGAAAAATGCATCAGAGGAATTTGCAGGGTTGTATGCAATAGTGACGATGGATGCAATGATGGACATATATGTGAGAACAGAATATGTAAGCAAGGTTGCCGCGATGAAAGTGCCTGTAATGATGATGAGGCATGTATAGGCGGTCAGTGTAAAAGTAAGTGTTTTTCATATTAAATACAAAATTAGATCTTGTTGAAAATACATGCCTTTGGATAATTTTAATATTTGTTTCTCATATGGACTTCCTCATGTTGTATTCTATTTTCATATTTTGTTTTCTGTTTTCAGATCCTTGTAAGGATAGTAGAAGTTGTGGTATTTGTGCTGAATGCAAAGTTATAAATCATCGTGCACAATGTAGCTGCTCTAGTAATTTTACAGGAAATCCTTTAGTCGAATGCAAAAAGAAAAAAATTCTTTGTGACGGATTATGTCCCTGCGATGATAGTGGATATTGCATTTCGCTTTGTGAAGACAATTCTGATTGCACTTGCAGTGAAAAATGTTTCAAGGGTGGATGTAGATCAGTATGTAATATTAGAAACAGGTGTCCAGAGAGACAAATATGCCTACAGGGTATCTGTGTGCCTGGATGTAATAACGATCGAGATTGCGGTGACGATATGATGTGCTCTTCGAAACAGTGCATATCAGTCTGTCGTGAGAATTCCTGCGGCAAAAACGCACAGTGCATAGCGACGCGACACAGAGCAATTTGTAGTTGTGCCAGCGGATTTTCGGGAGATCCGTCAAAAGAATGCAAATCCTATGAATGTTTAAAGAACGCGGATTGCGGTGCGGATGAACAGTGCACCGCTGAGGGAAAATGCAAGAACGTGTGTTTCGGCAACTGTGGCGTAAATGCTATATGTCGTTCTGTGAATAAAATACCTCAGTGCTCCTGCCCTCCAAATTATGTAGGAAATCCAAAAATAGAATGCTCCAAACCACCAGCAGGAAGCTGCTTACGTAACCCGTGTGGAGTTGATGCCCGTTGCCGCGACCTCGACGATGGCAGCTACGAGTGCACGTGCCCACCAGGCTGTGCTGGTAACCCGCAGCGACAATGCTTCTGCGGAACCATGGCACCGTGCGCCCGAAAGAGTTGCGGCGTTAATGCCGAATGTCGAATAGGTTATAACGGACAACCTCATTGCTATTGTCCTCGTAATTACCCGAATGGAGATCCAAACATAGAATGTGAGTAATGAATTAACAATAGTAAATATTCAATACCAATACTATTATAAAACAACATATTATTAAATATTGTAAGACCTTTATAACTAGAGGATCTTTTTACATGAAACTTTTATTAATTTTTCAGGTATTCAGGAACGCAGTGTAGTTGATTGTAGAACAACGGGATGCGGAATAAATGGCGAATGTCTAAGAGAAGGTGCTGAGTTTGTTTGTCGTTGCATACCCGGCACGGAAGGACAAGCTGACATCGAGTGTCACACCAGTAAGTTAAAAGCCATTGTATCACAGCCCTCCCGTCACTTGTAAAAATGCACGAGAAAAGTTATATTCAATTCAATTCTATCGAAAGTACTTTAGATAAAAACTATTCAGCGATCTTAATACACAATCAAAATGTTATTCCGCTCAAAACCTGAGTGTATTTGTTGTGACTCTTTTGTAAATTTGTTTTGGTGAGGGATTTATGAAAAATTTTAAAGACTTTGAATTACTAGTGTAATTTTATTCTTTTGTATAAAAACTTATTACTCTACTTCATTTAAATAATGAGTACTATATTAGTATGACATTTAAAGATACCTCTAAACCCTTAAATACCTATACTATATACCTAAATGGTAAATAATTGAAATTGATGTTAGTGGAAGCATTCTCACCGTTCGTGCTTGAATACAGTCAGTAACATTTTGTTCGGCTTCATGTACATATCGCTTGTATTATAATATTCCGTTATATATCTCTGATCATAAACTATCAGTTTCAAAAAGCATGCACTGTCTCGTGAGAAAGTTTCCTCTTCGTGGCTGAAGGTACAGCTCTCTCGACTCTGCTTTCTTCTTTCACATCTTCCTAGGTATCGAATGCACGAGTGACAAGGATTGCCCGGTAGACAAAGCGTGTTTGAGCTTACACTGCGTCGACCCCTGCACGATACGAGGCGTGTGCGGTGAGGATGCGCTCTGCGTGTCTGTCATGCATCGAGCCCAATGTTCATGTCCTCAATGCTACGTCGGCCAACCGCGCCTCGCTTGCCGCCTCGACCCCACTTGTAAGCCGACAGCCGACAGCCTAAATACGACTATCACTTGTTCAGAAACCAAGCCATGTCCACAAAAATTGGCATGCGATACAAACACAAACCAATGTCGTAATCCTTGCTTGGAATATCAGGATTGCAGACCAAATCAGAAATGTGAAGTAAGAAATCATCTGCCGGTTTGCGTATGCCGTAATGGTTTCGCGTTAAACGACAAAGGAGAACTTACATGTGCACCTGAACACGCGGAATGTACTAGAGACGAGCAATGTCCATCCAATTCTGTTTGTCGCAATACCAAATGCGTAAATCCATGTTTAGCGTCTCGAGAACCAATGTGTCCTCAAGGGAAACAGTGCGAAGTAGTAGAACATCGAGTTATGTGCGTGTGCGTTGAAGAATGTCATCCATCCGTGTCGATTTGCTTAAGAGACAATGGATGCCCACATAACTTGGCTTGCATAGATTTTCAATGTAAAGATCCATGTAAAGGTGCATGTGGTGATGCTCCATGTTCGGTAGAAGATCATCACCCAGTTTGCAAGTTTTGTCCTAGTGGATTTACTCACGACGAAAAGCATGGCTGCATTAAAGGTAATATTGCCGCTAGCAAAATGTTTCATATTTTATAGAGAATCTATTAGTACTTTTCGTCTTGAATAAGTCTTAATATTTTTCTTCATATTGCAGGAAATATAGATCATTTCTACTTCATGCGGCTCTTTCTATCTGTTTCTTGTGTTTCTAGCATGTTATATTTCTTTTCCACAGTATGAACCTCCTCTATATCAGGTAGATTTTGATGCATGTTATTATTATGTGTGTAAATATTATTCATTTAAAAGTAACTTTCACATTTGGGTGGCGGACGCGCTTGGGCACTTTATTCTAACGCTTTCAAACTCTGGCATGATACGAATTGCAACAAAACTGCCACGAGACAGAGTTTGCAACTATAGAATTTGATGCCTTTTGTGTGTGTGTGTTTTCGTTTTATGTACCTATACATATTTGTATGCTACGTGTGTTTATTTAATATTGTTTGTTCTATATATCTGCCATATATTCGTAGTTTGTATTTTTGTTTATCTTGTATTCAAATTTATATAATTCTACATCCTTGAGTTTTTTCTAGTGAATATCTGAAACCAGTTTTCTTTCTGAAATCTCTTTTTATTATGTTAATTTTGATATCTTTTAATATTGTAGTCATACCAGTTAAAATGTGATGACCTTAAAGCATATATTCTAATCTTTAGAATTATGTAAAGTATTTAGTGCATTGACTAATTAAATGTACACAGCTTTAGAATGCGGAGCACACGAGCACTGCGCGGAGGGGCTGGCTTGCGTGAGCGGCCGATGCGCGGACCCGTGCGCCCACGGCAGCCCCTGTACCTCCGGTCAGCGTTGTGCCGTCGTCAACCATCAGCCTGTTTGCTCAAAGGGTACTTTTTTCAAAATTCCTTAGTTACTCTTTTTTATTTCAGTCGATATTTACTAAACGGGCTCTGATTGCCATTAATATTTGACCACCGGTAATGTCCTCTTCCATTTTATTTTCTCTATATAGTTGCTAGTCTTACATATTTTCTTATAGCATAAAGAATCTCTTAGCTTAATTCTATTTGACGCTGCCAGCGCTGTTTTATTTTACCCAATTTTTTCTTTACAGTCTGCCAATGCCAGACTGCATCAGATTGCGCAAGATATCCTAATACGCGTTGTGATGGATGCGCCTGTGTTACAGGTATGTCTTTACCCTCATTGTGTTGACATATTTGTTTTAATTGATTCCTTCCGGATTCGCATTGGGCTAACGAGATTGACTAAATACTAATCAACTCTATGTCAGACTAGGTTCGTGCTCTTCGGTCCAGACATATATGAGCTGACAAAACATACGTAATGTATAATTAAAATATGATTACATATTTTTTATTCATTTTATTTAGATACACCAACTACAAATTGCGCGCACTGCCGGCCAGGTGTACCTTGCGATCCATTCTCGGGAGCCTGCATGGAAAGTAAGTACATAAGAAAATGTATTTCCATATGTTGTTTTGAAATGTAATTTTTATTCTAATGCCTTCTGTGATTTAGTTGTATGTTAGTACATTCTGCCAAAACTTTGTCCGAACTTCGGTGTATTTACCCGATGAGGCATTTATATTCGCAGACTTCTATTATAAAACTGGAATGTCTGCATTTACTATGTACTATTCTGTGAATAGCAAAACTAACTCCAGATGAACTGGTTATTGCTATAAATTTTAATGTACCATTATGTCCGATAAAACGCCACAAAATACTGGCAAACTATCACGGCAGACCCGACAGACAACATAGTCTTTGTAGTAGATGCAATGTTAGACTTACTTGACCAACTGATTTGTTATCTGCTGTAGAAATACTTCTTGGTTTAGGTTTTATAAGTCGTTATGTGTTTAGGGTAAAAGATTGATATTATCGGCTAACAAATACCCTGCTTTATAACTAACCCAACACCAAACATACACACAAACAGACATGTACTCTTGTTATTCTATCAAGAAACTTAAATGACTGTTATCGCTATACTTCATTTTCTATCTTAGGCTTATTGTCTTTCTATTTCCTGAGCTTGGATTGAAGAATGAAATGTTTATTCCGATTTAACATCTAACCTTAAATTATTACAATTAAAAAAATCTATCTATCTTAAATGAAATATTTTTAATTCAAATTAATTTTTGTATATTTTATTAACATGTTTATTATTACGTTCCTATTAACAGATGATCGCCCTAAAAATGTCCCACTAATACACTCCGACATTACCACAACTGATTTTACATTGACAGATTCAACTGTTGGACCAATTCAAAATACTGTAGTGACATATTCTGACTATGACTCTTTCAATACTAAGCAAACCACGACAGATGAAAGTCAACCAATAACAGATTCCTATACTTCACAAACTTTAAAATATTCCTTTGATATTGATGAAGTAACTACTGAATCAACTACTAAAATTATCGGTACTTCATCAGAATCAACACATAGCGATGAAAATATAGATGTTTCGACTCTTAGAACTACCTTTGGTACTTACACGTTAAGTGGTGAGGGTGAAAAAAATAAGACGATAAATTCACAATACAATAACACAGAACAAGAGATATCGGTTGCAACTACGGAACACGGGAGTCCTACGTATGATTACACCCTTCATACAACACGGGCCAACGAAATTACAAAAGATACATTAAGTGAAACAATTAGCTCTACAACAGCTCATGAACAAGAGCCACAGACGATTTCTTATACTGACAGTGAAATAATAAGTACATTAACAACTGAGACACTCAATACTAATCTAAACGATACAGTAATCGATGACATAGATGTTACAACACCGACAGTTTCTTCATACACTGAATATATCAACAAATATCAATCAACTTTAGATTCAGACGAACTATTACAAGGCAGTAGTACAATCCATTCAGAGAGTACAGTAAAACCAATGTCTTTGCGTACGGAAACAAATGGAACAAGAAAACAAGCTGGTGAAAAACATAAAACACCTGAAAATCAGAGAAAGTTAAATAATAATTATACCGACGATTCCTTCCAAAAACCCATTGCTTCAACAAGTTTTAATGAAGCAACGCCTACATATTTAAGTAAAACTACCAGTACTTATAGTTCTGATTCTAGCCTTAAAATTACAACGGAACAACATGTACTGACATCAGAATACACTAAAACAAGCCCAAGTATACATTTAACAAATATTACGAAATCTCTAGATGATTTTGAAACCAGTTCTCCAATTACAATCATAGCTATGGACAATAGCACAGTTACAACCCAGATACCTTACGAACCTACAACTGTTCCGCCCAAGGATGAAAATAAATCAACATTGGTGAAAAATAATGAATCTACATCTTCGGAAAATACGGACTTTGACAATCTAGTAACGTTAACCCCAAAAGAAACTGAATTTACTGAATTACTAACAACTACTGCGGATGATATAACAGCTACAACATTTATAGACACCGAAAAAAAGGTTACGGGGTCAAGCATAAACTACTCCGAAACTACAAAAACGACTACTACACCTGTTACTGAAAGTGATAGTTTTTATATGTCCTCTGAAACGGTACCAAATTTAAAAAACACTGTTGATGATCATATAGACTTTACTCCAACAATTACTGAGTTTACTATCACGACTTCGCAAAATGTTAATATGCAAAGTAAAAGTCAAGAAACAACTACACAAGCATACACATTCGAACCAACAATATCAACAGCGTATATTGAACAAACTACGTTCAAACATGGAAATGAGGAAAAAAGTACCATAGCGGTATCTACAGAGACGTTAATTCCTACGCCGAATATTAATGAAATTAATGAGAATAAAGAGGAATATCCGACCACTTTGGGACTTGATAATAAAGCCACTAATACTTTGGTGACAAACATAAATGAAGTCACTTATATGGAAACCAAATCTGAGTTAGATCAAAAAACTACACCAAGCTTCGACATGATTGAAAAGAATATCATAGTATCGTCTACAGAAATAATAAATTCGACAACTACCATTGTTTATGAAAGCGAACAATTTGGAACAATACCGACGACAACTAATTCTGATAATACTGAAATTACTCAGCAAGTAACGGATAGTCGAAACAATAAAGTCAATACACTTTATGATTATGACAAAAGTGTATCTAAGACTGACTTCACTTTTCCAATATCGGGAGATACTACACCATCTCCATTATTAAATAAACTAACTGATGAAACTATAACTACTGAATTACCTACTAAAGCAACCATGGAATTCGAGAGTACTGGAAAAATACCAAAGGAAGACCAATTTAATACACCAACAGACTTCTCAGATATCCCCACTAGTCACCCAAAACAAGTACCCCTTCATGAAACTACTTATGAATCTACTACACCTGCTCATACACTTTACACAGATACAGTTAATAATAAAGAAACAACAGTTTTTCGTACAAATCCCTTATATAGTACTTTTAGAACATTAGAAAATACTGAAATAACAGAAAGTTCCACTAGAGAGCCTAATAACGACTTCGAAAAAACATTAACACCCCCAAGCAAAGCTTTAATCTCAGTGTTTGATTACGTTACTCTCTCTACCGAAATACCGTCTTCAACGTCAATGGAACTTTTAACGACAACAGATTCAACAGAGGGAGAAACGGCTGCAAAATTAGATGTTGAGAAAAGTTCTAAAACGACCTTAGGTACATTTGAAAACAATGATAGTATCACTGAGTTTTCAACACCGTCATATATTACACCTGTTAAAGAAAGCTCGTCCTCAAACATATTAACATCAAATACCGAGACTACAACTAGTGTATTTATGCCGACAGAGAATGTTTTTGAAAAAATTACCGACGAAGTACTATTAACATCAACTACTATTGATTCATCAACCGATGAAATGTATCATAAAAATACAAAATCAGGCGAAATAACTGCTACTACTTTCAATGAATTCACATATGTTAACGACTTGCAAGAAACCACAAATAAAATTCAAACATCGATTAGTTCCACGCAATCTTTGCCTTTTACAGACGATCAATCTATAACAACGGGTAATTATGAAACTGCTTCACAGACTGCGTTTGCTACAAGTTTGGAATTTAACAAAACATATTTAACTACAGTTGGGGTTCCTACATCGTTTACAACTTCAGATTTCGATAGACTGCACGATGATAAGGCAAATGAAACGAGAACAAATACAACTTCTCTAAGTGACTTTTTAACTAATACAGACTCAAGTATTTTAAAAACAGATAAAAATTTGCCTACGGATTCCTTCCAGCAAACGGAAAATGATTTCTTGACGTCAACTGAGGAATTTACAACGGATAATACAATATTTACTCAAGGATTTAAGGAAACATCGAGTTCAATGTACGAAGATGTTTCGAGCACATCGGCCTACGGCATATCGCAGGGTAGTATCGATGGCCATTTGCTAGAATCTACAACATCCACAACGGTGATAGCTACAGATGATAAAAGTACTTCAACAGACAATGAACGATTTATGACCATCAATGTTGGAATTGACAGTGGGGATGAAAAAATCTCAGAGGTAACGACTCCGAGAAATTCGTTAGAAAGTACAACAAATATGTTTGTTACTGTTGACAGAGAATTTGGTAATGAATTTAATGTAAATCAAGCTTCACCTGAAGAGAACAAGCAAACTACCTTTTTGCGAGAGGATACTACTACTGTCACGCCATTAGAAAAACAAAGTCATTCAACTACAGACAGTGGAGTAGAGACAGAATCATCCCAATATTATACACTAAATTCAATGGATGTCGCAACACAAATTACAGCAAGAAATGCCAACATATCTACAACTATCAACGTCGCCGATAATTTACTTACAAGATCCACTTCTCCTTTATCATCTGAATTTCAAACCGAAACTGTTTCACATGAAATATTAATAGAAAAAGATATTGCATCTACGACTGAAATAACTAACGATAAAGATACATACTTAAGTGAAACGACCAAGTTGTCACCAACCGAAAACGATTTCAATGTTAATGAAATGTCTACAATTGCTAACAACGAGAAACCAAATAAAAATGACAAACAGTATGTATCGACAACAGAGCCAACTTTCTATGATACAACATCAAAAGACACTACACATAATAAACCTTTATCTACCGAAAACTATTTGTATTTTGAGAATACAGGAACATTTAAAACAAAAACAGAAGACGTTACCGACACACCAACTACAATAAATCTAAGTACCTTCGTATATGATAAGAATAATGCTGAAAATTCAAAACATATTGGAATGAGTTTTGAATCGACTGTTGAAAATATCGCTACTTTGGCACCAGAAAAGGATCACAATAAAGTAGCAAGGCAAACTACTCCTACCGTACATACTCAAACATATGGCAATGGTCTAACATCTGATAAGTCAGAAATAGATAAAGATGTTACACCAGCAAAAGATCACAAGCAAATTACTTTAAATGGCAACTACTTAACTACAAGCCTTAATGTTGATCAATTCACGGCTAAGGATACCACATTATACGAAATGGTAACTACACAAAGCAGTGACTCGGCGACTGAGACAATTGAAACCCAAGCGACAACTGCATCATTTGATCTGTCAATTACAAATACAGAACTCTCGCCAGTAACATCAGCAGTACCACTTACAACACAGGAAATGTTAACTATAACATCGGAACTTCTGTCTATCACGTCTGGTAATCAAGGTACAACAAAAGAGCTATCGCAAACAGAAATGTCATACACTATTTCAGACACCCCACCTCCAACTTCAGAACTGCCAATTACAACATCAGAACTTCAAAGTACAACTTCAAATTTGCCGAATACGATATCAAATGTAATAAACGATACATTATCAGAACTACTGCCATCAACAACATTACCAATAATAACATCAGAACTGCCAATTACGACATCAGAACTTTCACCTATAACATCAGAATTTCAAACGACAACATCAGATCTGCCGAATACAATATCAGAACTATCAGTTACAATGTCAGAACTCCCGATTCCTACATCGAGATTGTCGAATACAACACCAAAACTACATCCTACAATATCAGATCTACAGAAAACAGAATTATCGAGCACAATACCAGAACTTACGACATCGACATTGGATCATCCATCAACAATATCAGAACTTGCAACTGAAAATTCAAAACAACCAAGTATGACATCAGAACACGTCACGGTAAGGTCAGAACAACCAAGTACAACATCTGAATTCGCACCGGCAACATCGGTACAACCAAGTACAACACTAGAACTCGCGACCAAAACATCGGAACAATCAAATACAATATCAGAACTCATGTCAGCAACATCAGAGCAGCCAAGTACAACATCTGAATTAGCATCAGAAACATCGGGACAATCAAGTACAATATCTGAACTCGCGACGGCAACATCGGAACAACCAAGTTCAACATCTGAATTCGCACCGGCAATATCGGTACCATCAAGTACAATATCGGAACTTGCAACGGCAACATCGGAACAATCAAATACAATGTCAGAATTCATGTCGCCAACTCCAGAGCAACCAAGTACAACATCTGAATTAGCAATAGAAACAAAGGGACAATCAAGTACAAAATCGGAAATTGCGACGGCAACATCAGAACAACCAAGTACAACATTTGAAATCGCACCGGCAACATCGGTACTAATAAGTACAATATCGGAACTCGGAACGGCAACATCGGAACAACCAAATACAATACCAGAATACGCCTCTACAATATCGGAACAACCAAGTACCTCAACAGAATTCGAATCTTCAACAACTGAAACTTACACTACAACGTTGGAATTCCAGTCACACCAAAAAACTACAGAACCGCCCTTAACTACACCAGAGTCTCCCACAACACGTTTATTAAATGAATATCCTTCCACTCTATCTCTTGATATAAATACGTCAATTGAAAATTTATCATCACGTAGGAAAGACTTAGATATTCCCGCTTGGACCGACTCGACAATGTATAGTGAACAAACTTCAACAGAAACGACTAGTATTTCTGACACGACTGACTTAACATCTAACCCCCAATGTAAAATAAACACACATTGTATGACACACGAAATGTGCTTGAACGGAGTATGTCAAAACCCGTGCGAAGTGACGCCGAGACCGTGTACAGTGAACACTGCCTGTAAAGTTGTCAACCACGCAGCTGTTTGTATATGCGATGAAGCCGCTGGAGACTTCTGTGCCAGAGGTATGCTTTCGTGTAAATTATTTTGCATACCGTCTAGAACAAGACGACTTATACTCAAAATGCCGATCGATAGTATGTACAGTAAATTTGTTTTTAAGAACAAGTATTGTGGTAGTTTTATCGGACAAATGTGTAAAATTTGTACAGTAATTATTATTAATACTCTTTGTAAATATAATAAATAAATAATAGCTTAAGTAACTTATAAGTTATAACTTTTCTTTCATCATTACGTAACACACTAATCGCTAATAACATGTAAAATAATAGCACCACCGGGGACACCAAAAACACCGGAGCCATGTCATTCGGATCGTGACTGTATAGAATCGGAAGCCTGTTTTATGGGATGGTGCCAAAATCCTTGTGAATTTGAGAAATGTGGCGTCGGTGCTAACTGCCAGACAATAAAACAGAGGCCGATGTGTTCTTGTCCATCCGGATTCGACGGAGATCCTTCCGTTAAATGTTCGCCTAAAATATGTAAGCTAATTTGACTAATTTCACATTATTAATAAGTTACTAATAAGATTTGATAACTAAAATATTGAATAACATGTAACACAAAATGTGCAACAAATAATTTTGCTCTATAATTAATCAGACAATTGTTATCATGAAAAACAGTACTTAGGTATCTTAACCAGTGAAAAGATTTATTCATTCCAGCCAAACACACATACTCGTACATTGTTGGTCTTTGAGAATCACAACGTATCAAGAAACTCATTTATTTGAAAAAATTAAAGGGATTGTGTTTTTCAAATAAAATGTAACAAATTCACAGAAATAATGAATTCCAGTTTTTTTTTTCATTTACAGCAGGATTAAATACTATTTTCACAATTTGGTTTATATATTATCGGCAGTTATTTTAGAAAATTGGATTGATTGCTTGATGGTCATCTGAAACTAAAATCTTGAATCATATTTTTATGAGGAAAAGATATCTTGTTTAGTGTAAAAAAAACCTATTCTCTACTTTTTTTTTCAAAATGTCATATAGTATACAAATTACTCTTCTTTCCGCACAGTTGGTTGCACTCGCAATGAAGACTGTTCTTTGACCGAGGCCTGTATAAATAACGCATGTCAACACCCATGTGCTATACATAATCCCTGTGCACCTAACGCAGTCTGTATAAACACAAACCACGGCTCCGATTGCAGCTGCATTGAAGGATTCCAGGGCAATGGATATGTTGGATGTGTACCAGGTGCGTAACCAATTCTTTTATTTTTCATACATTTAATTTCCGCAAAAAAAGAATACTAAAACCATTGTTTTTTTCATAGTACGTAATCCTTCACAATCAGTGTGTCAGTACAATGAAGACTGTCCTCCAGAATTGCTTTGCGATAGAATGAATAGAGTTTGTATAAATCCCTGCGCTATTAACAAATGCGGTGACAATGCCGAATGTATCCCGGAAAATCACGGCGCACAGTGTCGATGTGGAGCCGGCTACACAGGAAACCCCTTTTTAGAATGCTATAAAGGTCAGAAAAAGTTAAATTAAAAATAAAATAAGTTTTATCGCACACAAACTAGATTATAATTTATTTTCTTATTACATTCTAGTACAAGGATGTCGTTCTGACAATGAATGCTTGAACTCCGAGGCGTGTATTAACGGAAACTGTGGTTCTCCGTGTAAATGTGGAGTAAACGCAGTGTGTGACGTCTTGAACCATCGTGCGTCATGCAAATGCTTACCGGGATACACCGGTAATCCAGTTTTAGGCTGTGAACCACCATTGAATCCCTGTATTCCTAACCCTTGTGGTATAAATGCATTATGTGAAAGTGACAATGGCAATCCTATTTGTTTCTGTCCCAAAGGGTTGACTGGTAATCCTTTCAAAAATTGCAGTAAGTATTAAATCTCAATTCTTAGCTATTGTGCAATGTTGTTTAAAGAACGAATTAAAACGTTTTGATAATTTATTGCAGTACCTGAAGGAAATGAATGTGAACCTAATCCCTGTGGTCCTAATACTGGATGTCGGCTGATAGATAGCAAACCAGCATGCTTCTGTTTACCCAATTACGAGGGCAATCCTCCACGACAGCCGTGTAAACTCCCACAAAATCCTTGCAATCCATCACCGTGTGGACCTAACACGCAATGTACGGTTCTAGCGAATGGATTCTCTAAATGTACTTGTTTACCAGGATATGTAGAAAGCCCAAATACAGTAAGGGGATGTATCGAAGCGAGAAATCCGTGCGAACCGAACATGTGCGGCGAAGGCGCCCGATGCGATCCTAACAGAGTACCCGTTTGTTATTGCCCAGAAAATACAGTTGGTAATCCATATAAATCATGTAATCCTTATATCCATTCGAATATTCTTTGTCAACCGGGACCTTGTGGAGAAAACGCAGAATGCTACGTTGCTACAAATCGGGAAATGTGTTTCTGTAAAACTGGTTATACTGGAGATCCGTACATCGGCTGCGAGCCTCAGAGGAGTCAATGTATACCGAACCCTTGTGGCCCTCGTGGTATTTGTAGCACTAACTATGATGGCCAGGTCCTGTGTACTTGCGCTCCAGGAAGTACAGGAAATCCCTACGGTTTGGATGGCTGCGTGTCTCTTGAATGTGAGGTCGATGACGAGTGCGCGCCAAATAAAGCTTGTATTGGCTTCTCTTGCCACGATCCATGCCCTGGCGTATGTGGATTAAATGCTAAATGTCATGTTGAAGGACATCGTCCCGTTTGTATTTGCGAAGAAGGCCTCATTGGTAATCCGCTAATATGTTGTTTACCACCCGAAGATCAAAAGTCATTCCAACCATGTGACAGAGTACAGTGTGGATTAAATGCAATTTGCCAAAATGTCGGAGATAAAGCTTTATGCTCGTGTCCTCCCGATTTAATCGGTGACCCGACTGTCGAATGCAAACCCGAATGCTTAATGAATTCCGATTGTCCATCTCATGAAGCATGTCTTAATCAAAGATGCGTAGACCCATGTACTTTCAAAAATGTTTGCGGCATGAACGCATCATGTGTATGCACAGACCACACTGTATCTTGCGTTTGCCCGGATGGCTACATCGGTGATCCGAACATACAATGCGTCTATCGCCGTAAGTGTAACATTATAAAAAAAATTAAAATACTGTAATTTAAACGATGATGTTTCCTAAACGAATATTTCTATTTCAGCTATTGTCATTTCTCAAGATAACACTACACTTACACCATGTTCACCGAATCCCTGCGATTCAAATGCAGTGTGTGATCCATACGGTGACCAGATCGCAATCTGTGTCCCATGTGTGGGATCTCATGATTTAAGCAATCCAGCGTGTAGACCAGAATGTGTCCTCAGTTCCGACTGCCAATTTAACAAGGCTTGTTTGAGAAATAAATGTGTCGACCCATGTCCTGGATCATGCGGCGTAAATGCTGATTGTTTCGTATACCATCACGATCCTGTTTGCCGATGTAGAGACGGTTTCGCAGGAAACCCGTATGAACATTGCATATCAACTACTAATCGTGAGTTTTATAATGACTAAATTTTGTGAAATAAAATAATTCTATTTCAATTTATTAATTCGGTATTACTTATTTACAGCAACAGTACATGAAACCTGTGATCACATTCGATGCGGTGATAACGCCATATGTCAAGATTCAAATGGCCTTCTCAGTTGTCAATGTTTGCCAAACTTTTTTGGTAACCCTTATCTGTCTTGCCGACCTGAATGTGCAATTAACAGCGATTGTCCGACAAACGCGGCATGTTTGAATAACAAATGTAAATCACCTTGTAAGGACGTTTGTGGCACTGGCGCACTGTGTGAAACTATCAACCACCATGCCGTATGTTACTGTCCACAGGGCCACACTGGTGATCCGTATGTTAGATGTCAAATTCCCGTATCTGTGTCACCGCCATTATCTGTCTGTGATCCTTCACCTTGTGGTCCATATAGTCGTTGTTTTGTGTCGCCAACTGGTTCCGCGGTGTGCTCATGTTTACCCGGCCACGTCGGAATGCCTCCAATGTGTCAGCCAGAGTGCGTCGGAAATTCCGATTGTTCACAAGAATTGACTTGTGTTAATCAAAAATGTATCAATCCTTGTCAGGGCAGCTGTGGTGTAGGCGCCACTTGTTTTGTAATTAACCATAATCCACTATGCACTTGTGACTCAGGAAAAACGGGAGATCCATTCCTTGCATGTGGTGATATCAGTGAAGGCAAAACACCATCAAAACCACCTCCAGGCGATAATCCTTGCTTACCTTCGCCTTGTGGGCCCAACTCTGTTTGCGAGATAAAATCCAATCATCCAGTTTGTTCATGCCAGCCCAACTACTCTGGAACCCCGCCATACTGTAGACCAGAATGCATAATAAGCCAGGAATGTCCATCGAACCAAGCTTGTATCAACGAAAAATGTGTGGATCCATGCAAAAATGCATGCGGTAGTAATGCTAAATGCGACGTTGTAAATCATACACCACTGTGTAGTTGCTTAGAAGGCTTTAAGGGAGACGCCTTTATTGGATGTGTAACTGTACCAAAAGAAGATGTAACACCATGCAATCCATCACCTTGCGGAGAAAACACCTTATGCACAGTGGTCGGAAATACAGCTCGGTGCTCATGCATACCACCTAATATTGGAAATCCTTATGCGGGAGGCTGTCGACCAGAGTGTTCTAGAAATTCCGATTGTCCTAATAACCTGGCGTGTCTGTCGAACCATTGCCGAGATCCTTGCAAGGATTTATGCGGAGTGAACACGGAGTGTTCTGTCACTAACCACGTTCCTGTGTGTACATGCTTTAAAGGATATGAAGGCGATCCATTTTCTTCATGTCGCCAAATCGCTAAAACACGTAAGTTTTACTGTTCCTTTTTAATAATCACTACTTAGTTCTCAATAAAACACTCAAGTAAGCATTAAATTAGAAATGTTACATGCATTTTAAAAATGGGTCATCCATTATACTCATAGGTTAAAAAAATCTTAGCTAAAAATACTTCTTATTATTATCAATATTTATAGTTGGGTACGTAATAACAGTTATCTTTAGACGTAAAATCGACCTAAACTATAAAGTAATGTTTAATTTTAGGTCGATATTTAAATTAAATATTTAAGATTTTATTTACAGGAAAATTTTACAAAACTTATTTAAATACTATTATATATAAATGACTTTATCGTAATTTTATAGCAGCGCCTTTAAATCCGTGCCAACCGTCGCCGTGTGGTCCGAACAGCGAGTGTCACGTTGTGGGCGAGCGCGCGGCGTGTTCGTGCCGCGCCGGCTACCTGGGCACACCGCCCGCCTGCCGGCCCGAGTGCGCTGTTAGCTCCGACTGCCCCATGGAGAGAGCTTGCATCAACCACAAGTGCCAAGACCCGTGTGTCCACAGCTGCGGACTCGACGCCCGGTGTCATGTCGTCGGACATAATCCAATTTGTACTTGTCCCGAACATTCCCCAGAAGGCGATCCCTTTATTCGATGCTACAGGAAAAGTAAGAACATTCGAGTGAATTCTTATAACTCAATCGTATTAACTTCATTTATTTATTTTTATTTGTTGAAAAGCAATAATATAATTTTAAGACTGCAAGTATGATACACCCATTTAATTGTCTCATGTGCTAAATTTGGAAGTTTGAAATAGAACAAAAATAGAGGGTATAAAAGTACGGTATACTAATTTAGATACGAATTCGATATAAATAACCTAAAATCCTTATTTTTCGAATATAGATATAACGATGGCGCCACCTGATCCATGCTTGGCATCGCCGTGCGGACCACACTCAACGTGCCGCAACGAGGCGGGCCGCGCGGTATGCGCCTGCGAGGCCGGCACACTCGGTGCACCCCCGTCCTGTCGCCCGCAATGTGTCATAAACCAAGACTGCCCTCTCGCGCTCACCTGCCTTGGTGGCAATTGTGTAAACCCTTGTGTCGGATCGTGCGGCTTTAACGCTCGTTGCAGTGTACAAAACCACCAACCGATCTGTTCCTGCGACGAGGGCTACTCGGGTGATCCTTTCGCCGGTTGCAATCAAATCGAAAGTAAGTGCAGTTTTCTTTGCAACTTTTTGTACATGCTGCACGATTTTGCACTTTGCATGTTTTCAGTGTATGCTTCATTAGATGTTAAATGTATGTATGTATAAACACGGTTTCAGTCTCAAAAGAATTGCCTCGTCATCCTTGCAACCCGTCGCCTTGTGGACCTAATGCGATGTGTCGAGAAAAGAATGGTGCTGGTTCATGTACTTGTATAGACGATTTCCATGGAGATCCCTACTTAGGCTGTCGCCCAGAGTGTGTTATGAACACTGACTGCGCTGTAGACACATCCTGCTTCAATAATAAATGTGTAGATCCTTGCCCTGGAACTTGTGGGCAAAACGCTGTATGTCGGGTTTCCAATCATGCACCTTCTTGTTACTGCTTACCTGGATACAGTGGAAACCCTCTTCATGCATGTATGCCTGTTACGAGTAAGACTTTTTCTTCTTTTTCTATCTGTTATTTCATGTTCTTTGTTCTATTCTTATATGTTCTATCATGTTTACTTCAGCTTTCCCGGAAACGATTGACCCTTGTCACCCTACACCTTGCGGACCTTATAGTAAATGTCGTACTTTTAACGGACACGCCGTTTGCACGTGTCTCGACATATGTGTCGGTGCACCGCCTAATTGTCGGCCCGAATGTATCGTTAGTTCCGATTGCCGACCGAATAAGGCATGCATTAAGCAAAAATGCCAAAATCCTTGCGAGGGAATGTGTGGACTTAATGCATTATGTCAAGTTGTTAATCATAATCCGATATGTTCGTGTCAAAAGGACTATACCGGTGATCCTTTCGTTCATTGCTACTACGAAGAAAGTAAGTTTTTTATTAATATAGTGTAATGATTTTTTTATAATCGCGAAGTTATGTTATTAACATTGAACATATTTTTTTTTACCAGAACAAATGATACCCATTGACAACTGTTCGCCAAATCCTTGTGGGCCACATTCACAATGTAGAGACCAAAACGGAGTACCAGTTTGCTCTTGTCTATCTAATTATGTAGGTCGACCTCCAAATTGTAGACCCGAATGTGTTATTAGTGTCGAATGTCCCGGAAATTTAGCTTGTCTGTCAGAAAAATGTAGTGATCCATGCCCAGGATCTTGTGGTAATCACGCTACATGTGTAGTAATTAAGCACGTCCCTATATGTACTTGTGAACACGGATACACAGGAGATCCATTCGGAGGATGTTCTCCAATATTACGTGAGTGTCGTATTTATTGAGTTCATTCTTATTGATTTAATCACATAAATACTTTCTTATCACAAAAATAATTTTAGCGATTGAAATTCAACCGGAGAACCCATGCTCAAGGTCTCCTTGTGGAACTAACGCAGTTTGTAAAGAAAGGAATGGTGCGGGATCGTGTTCCTGTCTTCCTGAATATTACGGAGATCCCTATGTGGAATGCAGACCAGAATGCGTTTTAAATTCTGATTGTCCAAAGATCAAAGCTTGTGTTAATAATAAATGCAAAGATCCATGCCCCGGGGTCTGTGGAATGAATGCCGAATGTAAAGTATACAACCACGCACCTTCTTGCGCGTGCTTACCAGGATATGAAGGAAATCCATTTACATCTTGTTACCCAAGTGAGAATCTTTTTGAATACGGTTTTTAATACTTCTAATAGTTAAATAACATATTTTACAAAACACATTTAATAATTTTAGGCGTTGACCACACAGTTGATCCGTGTTCGCCCTCTCCATGTGGGCCATACAGTTTATGTCGGGTAAACAGCGGTTACGCAGTATGCTCGTGCCAGGAAGATTACTATGGTTCGCCACCTTTATGTCGGCCCGAGTGTATGGTCAGTAGCGATTGTATGCCAAATAAGGCGTGCGTTAACCAAAAGTGTATAGACCCCTGCAATGGAGCGTGCGGCAATAATGCTAAGTGCATGGTTGTGAACCATAATGCACTCTGTAGTTGTCCACAAAACTATATCGGTGATCCATTCGTCCAATGTACCTATGATAAACGTAAGTGCCAAAAACTATTAAGAGTACTAAAAAAAATAACATAGATTAAAAACAATTTTACCGTAAACTTACTAAAATAAAATAACCTTAATTGACCTAAACAATTTCAAGTACATATATAAAAATTTTAGGACCAGAACCAAAACCATCAGGAAATCCTTGCATACCATCACCGTGCGGACCTAATTCTCAATGTCGTGTAGTGGGCGAAACGCCAGCATGCTCGTGTTTGAACGGCTACATAGGGCGCGCTCCGAACTGCCGCCCTGAATGTATTTACGATGAAGAATGTCCAAGTAACCTGGCCTGTATTCGTGAAAAGTGTATGAGTCCATGCGAAGGCTCCTGTGGATCAAATGCTGAATGTGTAGTTATTTCGCATAAAGCAGTTTGTCATTGTCGTGAAAGTTATACCGGGGATCCATTTAATGGTTGTTATTTTGTAGGTGAGTTGATAAAAAAATATATGTCTTTGCAAAATATACAACCAATAAATATACAGATTAATAAATACGTACATTTATTTGTTTAGTCGCAATAGAAAACGAGGAAGAGGCAAATCCATGTAATCCATCTCCATGTGGACCGAACGCATTATGCAAGGAAAAGAATTCTGCCGGTTCATGTATTTGCCAGCCGGGATATCACGGAGACCCATATTTAGGATGTCGGCCAGAATGTGTCACTAACAATGACTGTTCAGCTAACAGAGCGTGCGCAAATAACAAATGCGTAGATCCTTGCCAAGGAGCGTGTGGAATGAATGCGCAATGTCATGTAGCTCATCATAAGCCTGTGTGCTTGTGTATTAGTGGGTTTGAAGGAAATCCGGTTGTTTCGTGCCATCCTCAAAGAAGTCGTTAGTATTTTACGGAATTTATATTGATACATATGTAGTTTTCTTTTTAGAATATACACACTCTCTTATTACTTTAATTATATTTTAGCTACTTTGGCTGACGAAAATCCCTGCGTACCGACACCTTGTGGTCCGTACAGTCTCTGCAAAGTAATAGATAATCACGGAGTATGCTCTTGTCAAGAAGGCTATGTAGGTTCACCGCCAACATGTAGGCCGGAATGCGTCACTAGTACGGACTGCCCGCAGCATCAAGCGTGTATGCAACAGAAATGCAAGGATCCATGTCCGGGAACATGTGGAGTTAATGCGCGATGCCAAGTTATAAATCACAATCCTATCTGTACATGTAAATCAGGATTCACTGGTGATCCTTTCGTTACTTGTCAGTTAGAGAAAAGTAAGCTTCAAGAAATAAATAAATTGATATTGATTTTGAATTGTTTTTGTAAATTTAAACATGCATGATGTCATTTTTTATATCTCAATCTATAATTTCTTTTCTATTCTATTAGTTCTGTGCTCTACTTTATTTCTAATGTATGCTCTTTTTTTCTTAGAACCTATCTTTACGGGACCTAAAGGAAACCCTTGTCTACCTTCACCATGCGGTCCATACTCTCAGTGTAAAGTAACCGACGATGCGCCTGCATGTTCTTGCTTACCGAATTATGTTGGTATTGCACCTAATTGTAGACCTGAATGTTCTATCAATGCCGAATGCCCTGGTAATCTTGCATGCCAAAATGAAAAATGTGTAGATCCATGTCCGGGTTCATGCGGTTTCAATGCAGAATGCTCTGTCGCCAATCATGTAGCCTTGTGCAATTGTGTACCTGGACATACAGGTGATCCATTCAGTGGATGCTCCGTTATAGAACGTAAGTGCTATAAGTGTATAATAATAAAATACATAGTACAAAGTGTGGGGTAAGCTGTTAATTAAAATTTGATAATTGCAAAAAATATGTACTACATGCTCTACCTACTTCTTTCTGATAGTAATAATGTTCCGTAATGTTGTTATTATTTGCAGCACTATTCATAGAATTTTATAAAAACGTGCATTACAGATATTCCTGAACCGCCACCAAATCCCTGTAATCCTTCTCCGTGTGGCGCGAATGCGATTTGTAAAGAAAGAAATGGAATCGGTGCATGTTCGTGCCTACCTGAATATTTTGGCGATCCATACACCGGATGTCGACCAGAATGTGTATCAAACTCTGACTGCGACCGCAACAAGGCTTGCACTAACAACAGATGCAAGGATCCGTGCCCCGGTACTTGTGGTATTAATGCAGAATGTAGGACCGTTAACCATTCTCCAACGTGCACTTGCCTAAACGGGTATACTGGGAATCCGTTAGTAAAATGCGAAATGAACAGTAAGTAAACCCAAAACATTACTAGTGGTCGCCCGCGACACTGTCTGCACTAATTAAAAAATATATATATATATATATATTAATTCTACGTGTTCTGCCAGACTATGTTATATATATACGACAAACTTCATCGAGATGCGATCAGCTGTTCTGAAGATACCTTCAAACAAATATCCATCCATCCATCCATCCGTCTAAACATTCGCATTTATATATTAGTAAAATAGAAAGTAATTTGCAATTAAACGTTTATTTATTACAGATGTCGAAATGCCTCAAATAGATCCTTGTCAGCCATCACCTTGTGGACCCAACAGCTTATGTCGCGCCATCAATGGGCATAGCGTTTGCACTTGCGATATTGGTTATATTGGCACCCCACCATCTTGTCGTCCCGAATGTATTGTTAGTTCAGAATGTCCTCAAGACAAGGCTTGCGTGAACAAAAAGTGCACAGACCCTTGCCCGAACACTTGTGGACTTAACGCTCGGTGCCAAGTCATTACTCATAATCCTATATGTAGCTGCATAACAGGTTACACTGGGGACCCATTCACCGAATGTGTTGAAGAGCCTAGTAAGTCAAAATATTCTTTTCAATATTTTGGAATTAAAAAAATTTGTAAAGAAAACACAGGAGCTCATATGTCCTTAAATATAATGTCATACAGATAATACTCACATGCAATGTTAACACTTTGTATGTTCTCCTTTAATTTAAGTATCTTTTCATTTTAGGACAAATCGACCATGTCAATCCTTGCGTTCCCTCACCTTGTGGACCAAACTCAGAGTGTCGAGTTATAAGTGATCAAGCGGCCTGCTCTTGCTTACCAAACTACATTGGAAGGGTACCAAATTGCAGACCTGAATGCACTATAGATGCAGAATGCCCCAGTAACACGGCTTGTATTAATGAACGTTGCAAGGACCCTTGTCAAGGAGCATGTGGCCGAAATGCTCTTTGTTTGACTGTTAATCATAAACCAATCTGTAGTTGTCAACAAGGATATACAGGAGACGCTATCAATACTTGTGTACAAATTATCGTAACTAGTAAGTAAATTAAACAAAATCTCTTATTAAGACTACCATTTTACCTACAAAATCCAATAAAATAAATGTTATTTCAGCAACGGAAAGAACAAGTCCTTGCACTCCCTCACCATGTGGTCCAAACGCTGAGTGCCGTGAACACAACGAAGCCGGAGCATGTTTTTGTTCCGAAGGCTACGAGGGTGACCCGTACAGTCCATCCGGATGCAGAAGGGAATGCGAAAGTAATGACGACTGTCCGTTAAACTTAGCCTGCACGAGATTCAAATGTATTGACCCCTGTCCGAAAACGTGCGGTCAATTGGCAGAGTGTACTGTAGAAAAACATGTACCGGTTTGCACTTGTCCATCCGATCATACTGGAGATCCATTCTTCCGATGCCTTAGGATAGTAACTGAACGTAAGCAATCCAAGATTTACATATGTACATACATTATAAAATTTTCGACTAATGACTAAGAAACTAAAAAAAAATTGTTTATTTTTAGCTCCACCGCTAAATCCTTGTGAGCCAACTCCTTGTGGACCAAACAGTCAATGTAGACAAGTTAATATGCAAGCAGTTTGCTCATGTCTTCCCAATTACATTGGATCACCACCATCATGCAGACCACAATGCGTGGTCAATAGTGAATGTGATACGTCTAAAGCTTGCATAAATCAAAAATGTGACGATCCTTGTCCAAATACGTGTGGATTAAAGGCTCACTGTCTTGTCAAAAATCATAATCCAATATGCACATGTCCGGCAGGCATGACTGGAGATCCATTTACCGTTTGCTACAGTAAGTATGACTTTAAAAAATTCTAAACGAGACAGAAATGTGTATTTATAGGCAGATAATTAATCCTTTCCTTAAATTTCAGATATTCCACCAACAACTGAAAGACCATCTTGTACCCCATCTCCGTGCGGACCACACTCGCGCTGTCAATTATTAGCAAGCGGACCGGCGTGCTCTTGCTTACCAGGTTATGTGGGTTCTCCCCCAACTTGCCGTCCTGAGTGTACAATCAACTCGGAATGCCCAGCATCGTTAGCATGTGTGCGACAGAAATGTGAAGACCCCTGTCCAGGTTCGTGTGGAGTGGAAGCAAATTGTCACGTGTTGAACCATGTCGCAGTATGCGTTTGTAACGAAGGATTTACAGGTGATCCATTCACAAGATGCACACCTATAATTGAAGGTATTACTTATATATTTTTTTATGAAAAATAATTATTACTTACTTAACGATTATGACTTATTACGATGTCTATATTTCAGCACCAACAACAACTAGTCCTTCGGATCCTTGTAATCCATCTCCTTGTGGACCTAACGCTCATTGTGATAATGGATTCTGTACATGCATACAAGATTACAGCGGCAATCCATACGAGTCATGCCGTCCAGAGTGTACTGGAAGTCAAGAGTGCCCTAGAGATAAAGCCTGTTTCAGAAACAAGTGTAGAGATCCATGTCCTGGAGTGTGTGGGCAGAATGCGAAATGTGACGTTATCAATCATATACCAACCTGTTCTTGCATTAGTGGACATACTGGAAATCCATTTACACACTGCCAACCAGCAAATCCTATTGAACACGATGAAAATCCATGCCAACCGTCGCCTTGTGGACCAAACAGTATATGCAGAATAAATGATAACACAGCGGTTTGTGCTTGTGTAGAAGGTTTCCAAGGATCACCACCAGCCTGTAGGCCAGAATGTGTTGTTAGCTCTGAATGTCCAGCCACCAAAGCTTGCGTTAATCAAAAGTGTATTAACCCTTGTATTAATGCCTGCGGTATCTCCGCTCGTTGCGAAGTAATTAATCACAGTCCAATATGCAGTTGTAATCCTGGCCAAACCGGAGATCCATTCAAGAGTTGTTATGATGAAATGGTACCGACAAAACCCGTAGACGCTTGCAATCCATCACCGTGTGGACCTAATTCACTATGCGTCGAACGTAACGGCAAGGCTAATTGCAGATGCGTAGAAGACTACGTTGGACAGCCTCCAAATTGTCGACCAGAGTGTGTTATCAACCCAGATTGCCCATCAAATCAAGCATGCGTGAGAAATAAATGTATCGACCCCTGCCCAGGATCATGTGGTGTTGACGCAGACTGTATTATAGTCAGCCACACAGTCTCGTGCACATGTAGAGAAAAGTATACAGGAAATCCTTTCTTACAATGTGTGCCTCAAAATGGTAAGTGTATATTTACAATGCATTATCCTTTCTTAAGATTATATTTATTCTTTGAAAGGTGCCGAAGTAAAGTTATTTGTTCCTTTACAGAAGCTGTTGAAAAGCCATGTGATCCATCACCGTGTGGCGCAAATGCGATTTGCACTCAAAGGGACACCGCTGGTGCATGTTCTTGTTTAGATGGATTTTATGGAAACCCCTACGATGGCTGTCGCCCAGAGTGCGTTCTTAGTTCTGATTGTTCTGCTGATAAGGCCTGCATTAAAAATAAATGCACAGACCCTTGCCCTGGTATTTGTGGATCCAATGCCGAATGTGCTGTAATTAATCACGTTCCATCGTGTGCTTGTATAAAGGGTTACTCTGGTAATCCATTCGTGCAATGCAGTCCCCACAAACCGACACAAGAAATCAGACCCTGTGATCCCTCACCTTGTGGACCCAATAGTATATGTCGTGAAAACGGTGAACTTGCGTCTTGCGAATGTCTTCCTGAATATCGAGGGGCTCCTCCTGATTGCCGACCAGAATGCACAGTGAGCAGTGAATGTCCATCTGATCGCGCATGTCATAAACTTAAGTGTGCGGACCCATGCAGAGGAACTTGTGGCATTGGCGCTCATTGTCAAGTTATAAATCACAGTCCACTATGCAGCTGTCCAGCCGGTACTAGCGGGGATCCATTTAGCAAGTGCTTAGAAATAGAGAAAAGCGTGGTAGAGAAAGATCAACCATGTAAACCAAATACATGCGGTCCATATAGCGAGTGTCGGCCGGTTAACGATCAACCTTCATGTTCCTGCTTATTTGGTTATTTAGGCGCTCCCCCAAATTGTCATCCGGAATGCCTGGTCAATACAGATTGTCCATCACAATTAGCTTGCATAGCAGAGAAATGCACCAATCCTTGCGAAGGTTCCTGTGGGTACCGAGCGGAATGTCGCGTTCACGATCACATCCCGATTTGCAGCTGCCCCACGGGCTACTCTGGCGATACTTTCATTCAGTGTGCAGAAGTTAAAAGTAAGTCATATGTAACAATACCTTCGTATCTATTCGCAAAATACAATATGCCACTTGCATGTTTTCTGTGGTTCGCTGTAGAAACGGCAGATAAATGTATAGACATTGGTATGGCGGGGATCAATCCAAAACCTGCATCTGTAGCCATTAAGAATTATCTTATAATTTTCAGTTGAAGAACTACCACCAGAAAACCCATGCAACCCATCACCATGTGGAAGCAACTCACTGTGTGAAGATGGAGTTTGCACATGTGCCCCCGGTTACTTCGGGGATCCGTATCAGGGCTGCAGACTGGAGTGCAGTACCAACGGCGAATGTTCACCTACCCGCTCTTGCCAAGGAGGAAAATGTGTAGACCCGTGTCCCGGTGCTTGTGGAACGAATGCTGTCTGTTCTGTGAATAACCATATACCATCATGTTCATGCCCGCCTAGTATGTCTGGTGATCCATTTTCGTTCTGCACTGAAGTAGCTCAACCAGGTAAACAATTTTCGGTTTACTTTATATCTTTTGTTATGTACTTATTTTATTTTTTGTATAAATCATGTTTCATCATGATTTCTAATTCAATTATTTTTTTTTAACAGCAACACCTTGTTCACCGTCGCCTTGCGGACCATACAGTGAATGCACAGTGAGCAATACCGGTGTCGCAGCATGCTCGTGCCGAGCCGGCCACGTTGGTTCCCCGCCGTCTTGCCGGCCAGAATGCCTGGTCAGCTCAGACTGCAAACTACAGCTAGCCTGTATAGACCGCCGGTGCCGCGACCCCTGTGAGGGCGCCTGTGGCCGCGGAGCACGATGCCAAGTTATCGCACATTCGCCCATATGTACTTGCAATGACGGATACACTGGAGATCCATTTACTTATTGTTACCCAGAACCATGTAAGTCATTTCTAAATACTTTATTATAATTTAAATAAGAAGGAACGTATGCAAACTAACCAAAAATCGTGACGTTTTAGCTGTACCGTCTGGGCCCATCGATCCTTGTCAGCCATCGCCATGCGGACCGAATTCGATTTGTGTAAGTTCAGGAGAAATGCCGGCGTGCAGTTGCCAGCCTAGTTTCATTGGAACACCTCCAAACTGTAGGCCTGAGTGTACTATAAGCGCAGAGTGTCCTGCCGCTCTCGCTTGTGTCGCACAACGGTGCAAAGACCCGTGCATTCAGGCGTGTGGGCCCCGCGCTATTTGCTCAGTAATCGACCATCGCGCGACTTGTGCCTGCGAGTCTGGCCTAGAAGGAAACCCATTCCAGGGTTGTTCACAACCTAAAGGTAAGCTACAAAGTATTTCCTGTCTTTATGCTAACTTTAGATGTATAGTTCAAAATCCTGTTGATCGATGATAAGCGATGATGTCAGTAAATAAGAGACGAGATTTATAATGTTGCACAAGGTACACCTGTAAAAGTCATTTTATAAAAAATTATTAACATTATAAAAACTAGAAATAAGAGTAAAAAAAAATCATCGAAAATTTGCATTTAACCCTCCGCTTCGCCAAGCGTGATTTATCATGCCTAAAATACATATTGTGCTTATTCCGGAAGAAAAAAAAAGGAGTCACGCCTCACACGGTTTACTAATGTCAATAGAATAGTACTGTATGGGCGTCTTTACTTTAGACCCGGGCGGTAACCATGCCTACCGCTCGGTGAGTAGGTTTGGACGCTCCTACAGCATCTGTTCTCATGCCGCTTGGATATTAAACAACGCCTTCGGATCAGGACGGTGAGATGTCATTTTAATCATCTAGAATTTTAAATGCTTTCAGAAGGGATGTAACTTTTAATATAATATATAATTGTGAAATTAATGCCTTTGCTTATGACCGGAGCACGCGGAGATAACACAGCACTTACAGTTAGCTTGGACCGTTCGCTGTGACGGCCGCTTTGTGATGGTGCGGCTAAAGATGCGACCCCTTCACCGGATTAGAGGATCACTAAAAGTCATCGAGCCGAGACAGCTTCAACTAACGCTTCGGACCAAGAAGGTGCTTCTACGGTGATTGATACCTTAACTGGTAAGTGAATTCATTGTTGTGCTAAAATATTTCAGCTCCACCAAAAACTGAATACTTAAACCCATGCGATCCTTCGCCGTGCGGTCCGAATGCTGAGTGCAGAGTACAAGATAATGCTGGATCGTGCACGTGCATACCTGATTATTTTGGTGATCCGTACCAAGGATGTAGACCGGAATGTTTAGCAGATTCAGATTGTCCTCTGACATCAGCTTGTAATAAAAATAAATGTACGGATCCATGTCCAGGAGTGTGTGGACAAAATGCAGACTGCTATGTTACAAATCACAAGCCCTTGTGCAATTGTAGGACTGGATACACTGGTAATCCTCTTTCTATGTGTACTCCTGTACCCGGTAAGTGTAGTTAGCTTTAAATTTTGTAAGTTATCGCTCGTTAAGCAATAAACTAAGGTGTAAACGATTTCATTTTCAGAGAGAGATATGTCAATAACTGATGTTTGCAATCCAACCCCCTGTGGCGCTAACGCAATGTGTAGGAATATAAATAATCAGCCAGTTTGTTCTTGCTTACCAAATTACATTGGATCCCCACCAAATTGCAAACCAGAATGTGTAGTGAACTCCGAATGCAAGCCAAACAAAGCTTGCATCAATCACAAATGTACCAATCCATGTCCGGCTCCGTGCGGTCAAAATACTGAATGTAAAGTCATAAATCACAGTCCAGTATGCTCTTGTGAAAGAGGGTATTCCGGAGACCCTTTTACAATTTGTAGTTTAGTTCTACGTGAGTATCATACCGATTTAACACTTGTAAATTTTTTCTCAGATAATAACTAAATTTTAATTTTTTATCAATGATTATTTCAGAAACTGCTCCCAGTGTCTCCGCACCATTAGACCCATGCTTGCCCTCTCCTTGCGGTCTGTATGCGAATTGTCAGAACAACAATGGATTGCCATCTTGCTCATGCTTGCCATCATATACTGGCTCTCCACCATACTGTAAACCAGAATGTGTCGTTCATTCGGACTGTGCCAGTAATTTAGCATGCGTTGCGGAAAAATGTAGAAATCCATGCGAGGGTTCATGCGGAATATACGCTAAATGTTTCGTCAATAATCATATCCCAGTGTGTCTATGCCCCGATGGATTTATGGGTGATCCATTTAGGGAATGCAGGCCGAAACCACTTGAAGGTACGATTAAGCCTAGAAAAAAACATATTTACTAAACACAACAAGCTATATCTATTCACAATTCGTACCATAATTAATTCCAGATACCACACACCCTACAGTAAGAGATCCATGTCGTCCAAGCCCATGTGGTTCGAACACTATTTGCAGTAATGGAGTTTGTTCCTGCGAAGAAGGTTATCATGGCGACCCATACTTTGGCTGCCGACCTGAATGCGTTTATAATTCTGACTGTCCACAAGATAAAGGGTGTCAACGTAACAAATGTGTGAATCCCTGTACGGATACTTGCGCTCCAAATGCAATCTGCGACGTTATAAATCACATACCCATGTGTTCTTGTCCAAAGGGAATGAGTGGAAATGCTTTCGTAGAATGTAGACCAACACTTGGTAATATTTTTTTTTTATAATATTAAAATCTTTAGACTAATTGAAAAGTTTATAAGTAGTTTTTATTATGAGCTTAGCACAGCATCACAATAATTAATATTTTCAGTTGTTTCCCTAAACCCTTGCAACCCATCACCGTGTGGACCTAATAGCCAGTGCCATCAATCAAATGGGCAAGCGGTGTGTTCTTGTATACCAGGATATAAGGGTAGTCCACCGACGTGTAGACCAGAATGTGTCGTGAGTCTCGAGTGTCCCCTGAAAGAAGCCTGTAATAATCAGAAATGTGTCAATCCTTGTATCGGTGCGTGTGGAGCTGCAGCAGTGTGTGATGTCATCAACCACAATCCAATTTGCACGTGCCCACCATCATTCACTGGAGATCCGTTCATAAAATGTACAATTATCGGTAAGTTATTTATACATTCAATTTTTTAATTGAGGAACATATTTGTATTCATATACATATTGTCATAAATGATTCTTTTCAGTTGATACACCCGTCAGAGTAGACCCATGTGAGCCTTCGCCATGTGGGCCGAATTCGATATGCAGAATAAGTGGTGACAGCCCAATATGTGCATGCATGCCAAACTACAAGGGATCACCTCCTAACTGCCGACCCGAATGCGTTAGCAACAGTGAATGTGATAACCATTTGGCATGTGTAAATCAAAAATGTAACGACCCATGTGTAGGAAGCTGCGGACCGAATGCGGAATGCAGAGTTGTCAGTCATTCCCCGATGTGCATATGTCAACAAGGCTACACCGGAGATCCATTTTCATACTGTAACCTAATGCCGGTAATCGAAACCGAAATTCTAAATCCTTGCAGTCCTAGTCCTTGTGGATCAAATGCTATTTGTAAGGAAAAGAACGGTGTCGGAGCTTGTACATGTGCAGAGGGCTATTCGGGTAATCCCTATGAATCTTGCCGGCCTGAGTGCATAGTCAACACCGATTGCCCATTAAATAAAGCATGCACAAGGATGAAATGTGTTGACCCATGTCCCGGAACATGCGGCTCTAATGCTTTTTGCCAAGTGAATAACCATCTACCAAATTGTATATGCCAACCCGGCTATACAGGAAATCCATTCAGTCACTGTATTGTTATGGAAGAGCGTGAGTATATTTTAATTACATTAATACGATGTATTAAGCGTCCAATGAAAGAAAAATATAAATGTTATTTTATTAAATATTACAGCTGATAATGTACCACAAAACCCATGCAACCCTTCACCATGCGGGGCAAATAGTCAATGTAAGGAAGTTAATGGCCAAGCAGTATGCTCATGCTTATTGAATTTCGTCGGATCTCCTCCAAACTGTCGACCGGAATGTGTCGTAAGCTCAGAATGTCCCGCTAATTTGGCTTGTCTTAATCAAAAATGTTCGGACCCTTGTATCGGCAGTTGCGGAGAAAATACTAATTGTAATGTTATCAATCATAGCCCAATCTGCGTATGCAAACAAGGTCTGACGGGAAATCCATTTACAAGATGCTACCCCATGAAAAGTAAGTGTAATAAAACTCAAAACTAATTTAAGAGATTAAAATCGTAAAATGATTGTAAATTTCATAATTTTATTATTTCAGTGTCTAAACCACCAATGAGTTTGCCAAAACCAGATCCATGCTTGCCTTCTCCGTGCGGCGTGTATGCTGAATGCCGCAATATCGGTGATGCGCCATCTTGCGCTTGCAAGTCTGGTTATGTTGGTAATCCACCAAATTGCAGACCGGAATGCACACTGAATTCTGAATGTCCCGGCAACCAGGCGTGTATTAACGAAAAGTGTCGCGATCCCTGTCCCGGCGCTTGCGGTTTGAATGCGCAATGCAATGTCTTCAATCATATCGCTCAATGTAGCTGCTGGGAACAATACACTGGAGATCCTTTTGTACAATGTAATTTTGAACCGGAAAGAGATGGTAAGATTTTTTTTGGTTAATTATATTTGATAATTTTTTTTACATGTAATAAAAATGAGCCTTTCTAGATTTTCTTGACAGAAAGTAATCAACATTTGAAAGTAAATTAGTATCTACGGAACTTTGTAATTATTGATATAAATAAGTAGCAGTAAATTTTAAGTAACATTTCGTTATGTAATAATTTGCAGAAGTATACAGCGAAATCGATCCGTGCAATCCATCACCCTGTGGTCCTAACGCTGAATGCCGCGATGGCGAATGCACTTGCTTACCTGAATACCACGGCGATCCGTACTTCGGTTGTCGACCGGAATGTCTCATAAGCAATGACTGCCCACCCAATAAAGCATGTGCAAGAAATAAATGCATAGACCCTTGTACAAATTCGTGTGGAAAAGGAGCTATCTGTAATGTTTTCAATCACATACCAATGTGTACTTGCCCAGAAAGGTACACGGGTAACGCATTCCTTGAGTGTCGTCCCTTCGTTTCTGAAATAATAAATCCTTGCAATCCTAGCCCTTGTGGACCCAACAGTCAATGTAGAGAAGTTAACGGCCAAGCAATTTGCACTTGTCTATCTGGATATCATGGGGCACCACCGACATGCAGACCGGAATGTATATCTAGTTCTGAATGTTCGCTTGATAAAGCTTGTTCGAACCAACGTTGTATTGATCCATGTAGAGGAAATTGCGGAGCTGGCGCCGTTTGTCAAGTTATCAATCATAATCCTATTTGTTCATGTCCATCTGGGTTAACAGGCGATCCATTCACGAGATGTGTGTTACAAGGTTCGTATTTCTACGTGTACTGTTTTAATTTCTTCGTGATATAGTTATTCTTTTAAATAATATTATTAATTTCATTTTCAGCCACCGAATTACCACCATATGTGAATCCATGCGAACCATCACCTTGTGGACCAAATTCAATATGTAAAGAAATTAGTGGTTCGCCATCATGCGCTTGTCTCGATGAATACACGGGCAGTCCTCCGAATTGTCGACCAGAATGCATAGCAAATTCGGAATGTCCTAATCAACTGGCTTGCATCAATCAAAAATGCAAAGACCCTTGCCCTGGATCCTGCGGTATCGCGGCGGAGTGCAGAGTTGTAAGCCATTCACCACAATGTTATTGTCAGCCGGGTTATACAGGAGATGCATTTATTGAATGTAAAATCCTCGATATTCAACTAAGACCATGTTCACCATCACCGTGTGGGCCTAACGCCGTTTGCAAAGAATTAAGAGATGCTGGGTCTTGTGTGTGCTTACCGGATCACATAGGAAATCCTTATGAAGGTTGCCGTCCTGAGTGTGTCGTAAACTCAGATTGTGCGATCAATTTGGCCTGTACACAGAACAAATGTAAAAATCCTTGCATCAATGTGTGCGGAAGAAATGCAATATGCAATGTTCATAATCATGCGCCGAAATGTGAATGTTTACCGGGAATGAATGGAAATCCATATCAAGAATGCCGAGAAGTGAAAGGTAAATCAAATCAACCTTTATTACTATACCATTTAAGTTATGATTAAGTTCCAAGGTTCCAACTTGATTTCTTGTACATTGAGGGCTTTATTTTTAATTATACAATGTTTATTTCAGAAATGATTCCGGTGCAAAAGGACCCATGCACTCCATCTCCTTGTGGTCCAAACAGTATTTGTAAGGTATCGAACAATCAAGCTTTGTGCACATGCCAACCCGAGTACTTAGGGTCACCGCCGTCGTGCAGACCCGAGTGTCTCGTTAGCTCAGAGTGTTCGCAGCAAACAGCGTGTATAAATCAGAAATGCAAGAACCCATGCGAAGGAGTTTGCGGACAAAACACAGAGTGCAGGGTTATTAATCATAGTCCCGTATGTTCATGCCGACCGCAGTTCACAGGCGATCCATTCAGCCATTGTTACAAGGGTATGTTTAAATCAACCACGTACTTCACAAATTAATTAATCAAAAACTTAAAAAAAGTTTATTTTCTTACTTAAGTCGTTAAAATACGGTTCTTAGTTGAATTTATTAAATTTTTATTTTGGTTTTTATAATTATTATTTTTCAGTTATCGATGTAATAACTGTGTCTACGAATCCTTGTCTACCGTCGCCGTGTGGACCATATTCGGAATGTCGCGATGCCAACGGGTCGCCCTCTTGCTCTTGTTTGCCACGGTACACTGGAAGCCCACCAAACTGTCGTCCGGAATGCACGCTCAACACGGACTGTCCTAGCGATAAGGCCTGCATCAACGAACAATGCGTCGACCCGTGCCCTGGCGCCTGTGGAATAAATGCGGAATGTAGAGTGCAAAGCCACGTTTCGATATGCACCTGCATCACCGGCTACATTGGAGATCCATTCACCAGCTGTTCGTTAAAACCTTTGAAAGGTAGATTAATTAATGTGTTTTCTTCTATTTGCGAGATATATACAAATTGTAGTTTGTTAACAAAAAAAATAATTCGACAGATGAGACTCCGATAGATCCTTGCAATCCAACACCGTGTGGTTCGAACACGGAATGCAATAATGGTGTTTGCACATGTCTACCTGACTACCATGGAGATCCATATTTCGGTTGTCGACCGGAATGTACCTCAAGTTCCGAGTGTCCATTGGATAAGGCGTGCGTGAAGCAGCGATGTGTTGACCCTTGCGTTGGAACTTGTGGTACGGGAGCCATATGCGAAGTGGTCAAACACATGGCTATTTGTACTTGTCCTCCGAAAATGACAGGAAACGCTTTCATACAATGTAATCAAATACAAGGTAATTTTTTGAACCGTAAAAATAAACTAGTGAAATACAAATGTTCTATTTTATTAAGTGTCGAAAAAATATTTGATTGATTGCAGACGTTATCCGTGGTAATCCATGTCAGCCTAGCCCTTGTGGACCCTACAGCCAGTGTCGAGTATTCAACGATCAAGCTGTTTGTTCTTGTTTGGGTGGATACTTGGGTTCGCCTCCCGCCTGTCGACCAGAATGCGTTGCCAGCTCCGACTGTCCAACAGATAAAGCATGTAGCAATCAGAAATGTATCAACCCCTGTGTAGGGTCATGCGGCGTCGCAGCAAAATGTCAAGTTATTAACCACAATCCAATATGTACTTGCCCTACTGGACTTACTGGAGACCCTTTCACAAGATGTATTAGGATGCGTAAGTAAAATGTTCATTAACTCAATTTACAAAACATTATTTAGCTAGGTTAGGCTAGACATTTTTATAATTCTTAACGCATGTTCTTTCTGTTATAGCCGTAATCGACGCCGTAGTGTCAACCAACCCATGCCAGCCATCGCCTTGTGGACCTAATTCCGTTTGTCAACCGTCTGAATCAGATATTCCAACGTGCCAGTGTATGCCTGACTACCTCGGATCTCCTCCAAATTGCCGTCCCGAATGTATTTCAAACAGTGAATGCGCTCAACAAATGTCATGTATAAACCAAAAATGTCAAAACCCGTGTCTACAAGCATGCGGAAGTAACGCTGAATGTAAAGTGGTAAGCCACACGCCGATATGTATGTGTCCAGAAGGATACACCGGTGATGCATCGGTACAATGCTCTGTAAACACTTTAATAGTCAATGAGCCCATATCGCCTTGTGTTCCATCACCATGTGGCCCTAATGCTGAATGTAGAGAACGATTTGGAGCAGGTGCTTGCTTCTGCGTAAACGGTTACTTCGGAAATCCATACGAGGGTTGTCATCCCGAATGCTTAGTAAATTCAGACTGTCAAAGTAACAAAGCTTGCGTAAGGAATAAATGTATCGACCCTTGCCCCGGAACTTGTGCTGTTAATGCAGATTGTCAAGTCGTAAACCACTCACCATCGTGTACATGTCGGCCAGAGTACACTGGCGATCCTTTCAGACACTGCTTCGTCCAAAGTACGTATTAAATTTAAACATTTCTGAGATTTGTATATGAAAAATATGTTACATAGTAGTACTGACTTCAAATGGATTTTATACCTTTTTAAATTTTTACAGTTAAAGAAGTTAACATCGATCCATGTCAGCCTTCGCCATGCGGTCCTAATAGTCAATGTAAAGTTACAAACGGACAAAGTGTTTGCTCATGTCTGCCTGAGTATAGAGGCTCGCCTCCAAATTGTAGACCGGAATGTGTTGTAAGCACGGAGTGTTCGACTGATAAAACTTGCAAGAACCAAAAATGTGTCTCGCCGTGTCCCGGCCCTTGCGGTCAGAACACTGATTGTAAAGTGATTAACCACAGTCCAATATGCACGTGTAAATTAAAATATACAGGGGATCCTTTCTCCAACTGCTACAAGATTACTGGTAATTTTTGTAATGGTACTTTTTGTTTTTATAATTTGTAATTGTTTACTAATACACACATTAAATTTTCAGTTCCAATTTCTGCAGTACCAGAAACAGATCCTTGCGTACCTTCTCCCTGTGGTTTTAATGCTCAATGTCAAAATTTACGAGGAGTACCGTCATGTTCATGTTTACCGGGCTTCGAAGGAAGTCCTCCAAACTGCCGACCGGAGTGCACAATAAACGAAGATTGTGCAAGTAATCTTGCCTGCATTAACCAAAAATGTACCGATCCATGCAAAGGCTCTTGTGGAATCAATGCAAATTGTCATGTTATGAAACATGTAGCCGTATGCACTTGTAACGAAGGTTTTACGGGTAACGCTTTCACCCAATGCACAATTATGAAACAAAAAGGTAATTAGCAAATATTTTATTTTAGTTAAGTATATCATTTTGATAAATGTAATTTTTTATGTATTACTACAATAATTTATTAATATGTATTTCTAGACGAAATCGATCCATGCAATCCGTCGCCGTGTGGTCCAAATGCGGAATGCTTGAATGGAATTTGCACTTGCTTGCCTGAATTCCAAGGAGATCCTTATAGCGGCTGCCGACCTGAATGCTCCCAAAGTACAGAGTGCGATCGAAACAAAGCCTGCATCAGAAACAAATGTGTTGATCCTTGTCCCGGAACGTGTGCAGCTACCGCCGTCTGCAATGTCGTCAATCACATTCCGATGTGCAGTTGTCCTGAACGTATGACAGGCAACGCATTTATAGAATGTCGTCCAATAACGGGTGAGTTTTTATTAAAATAAATAAATTAACGTCTTTAAGAATTTTTACTTCAATATCTTTAAAACATACCATCACGTTTCAATTTTAGATCCCATCAGTATAAATCCGTGTCAGCCATCTCCCTGCGGACCTAACAGCCAATGCAGGAATGTGAATGGCCAAGCAGCTTGTTCGTGCGCTCCCAACAACATTGGCGCACCGCCAACTTGTCGTCCCGAGTGCACCATCAGTGCGGAGTGCCCCCTCGACCAGGCCTGTAGCAACCAGCGCTGCATCAACCCTTGCATCGGCGCATGCGGACAAAACGCTGAATGCAAAGTGGTTAACCACAATCCTATTTGCACATGTCCTACATCGTACTCTGGCGATCCATTTTCTCGGTGCTTCCGTCTCCGTGAGTATTTAATCGTGTGTAGGGTGAATTTTTACTGAATATTTTTGTGATGTGGCCATTCTTTCTTACAGCTGAAAAGTTACCTGAACCCATTAATGTTTGTACTCCATCGCCATGCGGGCCTTACTCATTATGTAAAGACGTCAATGAAGTACCCACCTGTACATGTTTGGAAGGCTACAGTGGTCAACCACCATACTGTAGGCCAGAGTGTAGCAGCAACGAAGAGTGCCCAACTCAATTGTCGTGTGTTAACATGAAATGTAAGAACCCATGCGAGGGCACTTGCGGTACTAACGCTGAATGTAAAGTTGTCAGTCATTCGCCGATCTGCTTCTGTTCTTACGGTTTCACTGGAGATCCGTTCTTCGGTTGCGTGCCTGAACCTCTACATACCGAACCTACAACGAGCCCTTGCTCCCCATCACCTTGCGGTGCAAACGCCATTTGCAAGGAGAAAAATAACGCGGGTTCCTGCAGCTGTATTGAGAATCACATCGGTAACCCATACGAAGGTTGTCGACCGGAATGCGTTGTGAACACCGACTGTGCATCTAATCTTGCCTGTGTCAACAATAAGTGCGTCGACCCCTGTCCCGGAAGCTGCGGCAACAATGCCGTCTGCCAAGTAGTCAACCACGCGCCTTTGTGTACTTGTATCGATGGATACACTGGTGATCCATTTAAGTATTGTACTTATGAAGGTGAGACATTTTTAATATCCAAGAGAGTCCAGCCATGTGAGGAAAGTAATATGAGTATATAATCTGTGTATATTATCTTTACAGAGCCACGACCGATATCCAAACCTCTCGATGCCTGCTACCCTTCACCATGTGGCCCCAACAGCCAGTGCAAGGCAACGAAAGGTCAAGCCGTATGCTCTTGCTTAGAAGACTACGTCGGCACCCCTCCTAACTGCCGACCAGAGTGCGTCACAAGCTCCGAATGTGCTCACGACAAGGCTTGTGTCAACAATAAATGCATTAACCCATGTCCGAAGCCGTGCGGCTTGAACACCGACTGTAAAATCATTAACCATAGTCCAATATGTTCGTGTAAGAATTCATACACTGGAGATCCTTTCACAATGTGCACCCCAATAAGATGTAAGTATATTAAAATACATATCTATAAATATCTAGCACTTAAGGTACAATAATTTTTAAACCAAAAAACTAATTTAATAAAATGTTTTTTTAGATGAACCTCCACTAGCCACAAATGTACCGTGTCATCCGTCACCTTGTGGACCAAACTCTGAATGTCGAAATATTGGAAATAGCCCCTCATGCTCATGTTTAGCGGACTTCGTAGGTAGCCCGCCCAATTGTAGACCGGAATGTACGATACATTCCGATTGTCCAAGCGACAGAGCTTGCATAAAATCTAAATGTAAAGATCCGTGCCCAGGTTCATGTGGTTTATCAGCTTCTTGCAGTGTACTAAATCATATACCAATATGCACATGCATCGAAGGTTACATTGGCGATCCTTTCACAAGTTGTAGACTGAAGCCGCTTGAAGGTAAAACTAGTGTTGGAACTTTTTGCGTAGTAATTAAATTTTCTTAATGGAATATACGAAAAATATGAATATGTGCGTTATTATTGTATTTACAGAGGAAGCGAGCACTGTTGACACATGCACTAATGTTCACTGTGGATCTAATGCAGAATGCGTCAATGGACAATGTCAATGTTTACCGGAGTATCACGGTGATCCATATTTCAACTGTCGACCGGAATGTGTATTCAGTACCGATTGCGACAAGGACAAAGCTTGTATTCAAAGAAAATGTGTAGATCCGTGCGTTGGTGCTTGTGGTCAAAACGCAAATTGTCAGATAGTCAATCACATACCAATGTGTAGTTGCAACATCGGATTCACAGGGAATGCTTTCGTTATGTGTAATCCAATCAGAGGTAAAACTAACTGTTTAAAATGGTCAACTTTATATATTCCTTACCATCTTTTCAGGTAATTGAATGAATAATATGTGTATCATTATTTTACAGTACAACAATCTGAAAATCCTTGCAACACAGCAATTTGTGGTCCAAACAGCCAATGCAGAGAAATAAATAATCAAGCAGTTTGTTCGTGCCTGCCAACATATCTTGGTGCTCCACCAGCTTGTAGACCAGAATGTGTTGTTAGTGCAGAATGCCAACAAAACCAAGCATGTACGAATCAGAAGTGTGTTAACCCATGTATCGGAGCATGTGGTTTGAGAGCTACTTGTGAAGTCATTAACCACAATCCTATCTGTACGTGCCCAGTAGGCTTTTCTGGAGATCCATTTGTGGCATGTACATACATTACAAGTGAGTTTAATCTTTATTAAATGATAAAGTCAAGAAATAAATATAACAAGTACGACTACTACTACTAATCCTTACCAATATTTTATAGGCGTTCCGCAAGTCATCAACCCATGTACGCCCTCACCGTGTGGTCCAAATTCTATCTGCAAAGAAATGAATGAAAGCCCATCGTGCATCTGCATGCCCGATTTCAAAGGACAGCCTCCATATTGTAGGCCGGAGTGCATAAGCAACAGTGAATGTTCCACTCATTTAGCTTGTGTGAATCAAAAATGTAAAGACCCGTGTACAAGAGCATGTGGCGCAAATGCAGAATGTCGTGTCGTGAGTCACTCCGCGATGTGTATTTGTCCTCAAGGATATGAAGGCGATCCATTCACGCAATGCGTTCTACGATCAGCTGTTGAAATCTTAACACCGTGTCAACCTTCTCCGTGTGGGCCAAATGCAATTTGCAAAGAACAAAATAAAGTCGGTTCATGCACTTGCAATGAAGGTTACTTTGGAAACCCGTATGAAGGTTGTAGACCAGAGTGTGTGAGCAATTCAGATTGTCCTGGTGACCGAGCATGTATTGGTAACAAATGTCAAGACCCATGTCCAGGAACATGCGGACTATATGCGGATTGCAATACGATAAATCACGCGCCAACTTGTACATGCAACGTAGGATATACTGGAGATCCGTTCCGACGATGCCACGTTATGCTCCGTAAGTAAATGTAAAAAGTTATGTTTTCACTAATCGTTAGATGTTTGTTTATAATTGAGTTTTCGGCTTTCCAGAAGAGCCTGCTCCGGTAAATGTATGTTCTCCGAGTCCTTGTGGACCTAACAGCCAATGCCGTGTTGTCAACGACCAAGCCGCTTGCAGCTGTTTGCCTGACTTTATTGGACAACCACCCTTATGCAAGCCCGAGTGTCTCCTTAACTCAGATTGTGCTACCGACAAGGCTTGCATCAACCATAAGTGTATAAATCCTTGCCCTGGCCCGTGTGGGCAAAAGGCTGAATGTCGGGTATTCAATCACAATCCCATTTGCAGTTGCGTTTCAGGATTTACAGGCGATCCGTTCACAAGATGCTACTTGAAACCAAGTAAATAATACCTTTTATTATTTCACTCTGAATTTCCACTGGCTAGAAACATGTACAAAACACATTGTCATTCCCCTCATTCTCTTTAAAAGTACAGACACAAAATATATTGAAATTAATACAATCGCTACGTTATGGCAGTGGAATTTCACTGTAAAATCAGCTAATATTTTTACTACATTATAGTTATATGATTTATGTATTGATTATCTAGCTTCTCAACCTGTCATCGATGAAACGAGAGACCCGTGTGTTCCATCGCCTTGTGGAATACACGCTATGTGTAAAAATTTCGGAGGCCAAGCGACATGTTCATGTTCTCCTGGTTATTTTGGAAGTCCACCAAATTGTAGACCCGAATGCGTGACAAATCAAGACTGTGTCAGTTCGTTGGCATGTATAAATGAAAAATGTGCCGATCCCTGTCCTGGATCTTGTGGTCAAAACGCTCAGTGCTCAGTATTTAAACATGTAGCTGTATGCACGTGCCGAGAAGGCTATAAAGGGGATCCATTTACTATGTGTAAAATCAAGCCGTTGGAAGGTAGGCAATATTTCATTCCTTTAACTACTTTATGTCCTCTTTACATCGTGTTAAATTGATTTAACGCATTATATTTTCATTTTCAGAACCCATCGTTGCTGATCTTTGTAACCCGTCACCTTGTGGTTCGAACACGAATTGTGATAATGGGCAATGCTCTTGCCTACCAGAATATCACGGGGATCCATATATTGGTTGTCGGCCAGAATGTACAGTCAGCTCAGATTGTGAAAGGAGTCTTATATGTGTAAATAAGAAATGTATTAATCCATGTCCCGATACATGTGGCTCAAATGCGATTTGTGAAGTCATAAATCATGTACCAATGTGTAGTTGCCCTATAGGACATACCGGAAATTCATTTGTTTCTTGCAATAAAATCCAAGGTTAATGATAATTTATTAAACTTAATAAAAAATTGTGTAAGTATACTTTTTGGAATATCCTAACAGAATAATTGTGTTTCAGCTCCACTGCCTACCAATCCTTGTAACCCGACACCCTGTGGACCGAATAGCCAATGTCGTGAAATTAACAACGTAGCAGTATGCTCATGTATACCTGGATATTCAGGAAACCCACCGACATGTAGACCGGAATGTACAACAAGCTCCGAATGCCCGCTCGACAAAGCATGCAGTAACTATAAATGCACCAATCCCTGCACAGGATCCTGCGGAGTGAATGCTCACTGTGAAGTTGTAAACCACAATCCAATATGCTCATGCCCTAATGATTTCACAGGCGATCCATTTAGTAGATGTCTTCCAAGACGTAAGTTTGTCATCACATTTATTATTTATGGATTTTTTTTGTTTATATGTATAATATTCTATGTTTTATTTTAGCTCTAGAATCACCACCTCAAATTAATCCTTGTGAACCTTCACCGTGTGGACCGAACTCCATTTGTCAGACTCTTAAAGATTCACCTTCCTGTTCTTGTATGCCTGAATTTATCGGAGTACCGCCAAATTGTAGGCCAGAATGCACTAGTAATAGCGAGTGTCCGAACCACATGGCTTGCATTAAAAATAAATGCGCAGACCCATGCCAAGGTGCATGCGGCTCAAATGCACAATGTAGAGTTGTAAGTCATACGCCGAATTGTATATGTCTGCCTGGATACACAGGAGATCCATTTGTAAATTGCATTGAGAGTAAATTCACACAAGATATCTTATCACCGTGCACTCCTTCCCCTTGTGGTAGCAACGCTATCTGCAAAGAAAAGAATAATATTGGCTCATGCGCATGCTCTCCTGGCTATTTCGGAAATCCTTATGAAGGCTGTCGTCCTGAATGCAGTGTTAACACAGATTGTCCGTCTGACAAGGTGTGCCAGCAGAACAAATGTCACGATCCTTGTCCTGGTACATGCGGATCTAACGCAGAATGTCATACCATAAACCATTCTCCCATGTGCTCTTGCCTCCGGGGATACACCGGTAATCCATTCCAAAATTGTGTCATTATTCAAGGTTAGTTGAGATCTTTTCAGTCACATCTTTTTGTATATATTTCTTGGACATGTGTTAAAAAAAATTATGTTTTTCAGAAATTAAGGAACCATCAAATCCCTGCAGTCCTTCACCATGCGGTCCGAATAGTGAATGCAAGGTGATAAATGAACAGGCTCTATGTAAGTGTTTGAAAGATTTCGAAGGCAGCCCACCAAACTGTAGACCCGAATGCGTTGTCAGTGCCGAGTGCCCAACTAATAAAGCCTGTGTATCACAAAAATGTATCGATCCTTGTGTAGGACAATGCGGACAAAGTACAAAATGTCAAGTCATAAACCACAGTCCGATATGTACTTGCATAGAACACTACACAGGTGATCCCTTCAGTCGATGCTATCCAATCATTATAAACGCTCCATCAGAAGTTGAACATCCGAAACATCCATGCCTACCATCACCTTGTGGACCTTATAGTGAGTGCAAAGAAGTCGGAAATATTCCATCCTGCGTTTGTCTACCTAACTACATCGGTTCACCGCCAGGCTGTCGTCCAGAGTGTTTAATAAATCCAGACTGTCCCAGCGACATGGCTTGCATCAATCAAAAGTGTAGAGATCCTTGTCCTGGTTCATGTGGACTAAATGCTCAGTGTATTGTGAAAAATCACATGCCAATATGCACCTGTTTGGATAATTATGCCGGAGATGCATTTGTCGAGTGCAAATTAAAAGGTACAACTTTTTCCTTATACACTGTAAGAATATTACTTGGAAAAAAGTTAATCATCTAAAATAAACATCTTTTATTACAGAAATTACGCATGACGAAATCGACTTATGTAATCCATCCCCTTGTGGTGCAAACGCTATTTGTGACAACGGGCAATGTTCTTGTCCTCCCGGATACCAGATGGGACCATCATTTGATTGTCGTCCAGAATGTGTTCTTAGCTCAGATTGTCCACACGACAAAACGTGTCATAAAAACAAGTGCGTTAATCCATGTAACAGCGGTGTGTGCGCCTCCAACGCAATTTGCGAAGTAATCAACCACGTGCCTATGTGTAGATGCCCAGAGCGCATGGCGGGCAACGCTTTCGTTATGTGTACTCAAATTGAAGGTAAGGATTTTAGTTAGAAGTTACATTTAGAAGAGAATTCAGATTAGAAGTTTCATATTATCTGCATACCTGCGTTTTACAGGCATAGAAGTACTACTCCTTAAACATTATGTTTAGTAACTGACATTTACTTTATATCATATTTATTTATTCTTTTAGTTGAAAAGGCGCGGCCATGTGATCCAAATCCTTGTGGACCAAACAGTCAGTGCAGAGAAATAAACGGACAAGCGGTGTGCTCATGTCTAGATGGATTTATAGGCAGTCCCCCTTCATGCAGGCCGGAATGTGTATTGAGTACCGATTGCTCACCGGATGAAGCATGTAGTAACAGAAAATGTATTAAACCATGTCAAGGCGCATGTGGAGTAGATGCGAAGTGCCAAGTAATAAATCACAACCCCATCTGTTCATGTCCACCCCATTACACAGGCAATCCTTTTGTACGATGCATCAAGATAGAATTTAAGCCAGAAATCGTTAACCCCTGTACACCTTCACCATGTGGTCCGAATTCATTGTGCAAGGAAAAATTAGGTTCACCTTCATGTTCTTGCCTCGATGGTTTTGTAGGAGCACCACCTTATTGCAAACCAGAGTGTATTAGTAATTCTGAATGTCCAACCACTAAAGCTTGTATAAACGAGAAATGCGTTGATCCTTGCGTGGGAACATGTGGATCTAATACTAAATGCCATGTCATTAGCCATTCACCATCATGTGGCTGTCTGCCGGACTACACTGGAGACCCATTCAGTGAATGTTACAAGATAGAAATTATTCAAGACATTTTGACGCCTTGCCAACCGTCCCCATGTGGGGCAAATGCCATTTGTAAAGAATTTAATGGCGCCGGATCTTGTACCTGCATAGAAAATTTCATAGGAAATCCGTATGATGGGTGTCGTCCTGAATGTATTATTAATACCGATTGTCCATCAAACAAAGCCTGTCTCCAAAATAAGTGTCAAGATCCATGTCCAGGCGCATGCGGTTTGAATGCTATTTGTCAAGTAGTCAACCATGCACCATCATGCTCATGCTTAAGAAGTTATACCGGCGATCCGTTTAGACACTGCACACTGCAAGGTAAATAAATGTTTTTATATAAAATTTACATTATATTTTTGATCGAAAGTAATACCTCGTTCTTTTCACAGAAATAGAAGATAAACCGATAAACGTTTGTCAACCTTCACCATGTGGTCCAAATAGTCGTTGCCAAGAAATAAATAACCAAGCAGTGTGTTCTTGCTTACCAAATTACATCGGCTCTCCACCCGGATGTCATCCGGAATGCACAATAAGTACGGAATGTCCCAAAAACAAAGCATGTGTTAATCAGAAATGTGAAGATCCTTGTCGCGACGCATGCGGAATGAACACAGAATGTCGCGTCATCAACCACAGGCCCATCTGCACTTGTGTAACACGATACACTGGAGATCCATTCACACGATGCCATCCAATGCCACGTACGTATAAAGTTATCTATTAAACACATAATTTTGTTAAATTATCCGGACTTACGTGTCTCTCTTCCTGATATTACTGCCATCAGCTAAGTAATGTTTTAATTTTTATCTATTTTAGCTCCTGTTGCTAACGCTGAATTGGAACCATACAAAAATCCCTGCCTACCATCGCCTTGCGGTCCAAATTCTGTTTGCCAAGAAGTCGGTGATATACCATCGTGCACTTGTATGCCAAATTACATAGGAAGCCCCCCTAATTGTCGACCAGAGTGTACACTTAATTCCGACTGCCCTACTTCTCAAGCTTGTATCCATCAAAAGTGTCAAGATCCTTGCCAAGGTTCTTGTGGTATAAACGCTCTATGTACAGTGTTCCGACACACACCGACTTGCAACTGTCCAGAAGGGTACACCGGTGATGCATTTACGGTTTGCAATCCAAAAATAACAAGTAAGTTGTATCTATGTATAATGCCCTAAATATTACATTGTATTAACTTGTGTGTAATCAAAATGTTAATTATTTTAGTGCCATCAGATGTATTAGATAAATGCAATCCATCTCCATGCGGAACTAACGCAATTTGCAATGATGGTATATGCACATGCATTGAAGAGCATCAAGGAGATCCATACGTAGGATGCCGACCAGAATGTGTACTAAGCATTGACTGTCCAAAAGACAAGGCCTGTGTCAGAAATAAGTGTATGGATCCTTGTGAAAATACTTGCGCTTCAACAGCTATTTGCGAAGTTATTAATCACGTGCCTATGTGCAGCTGTCCTCAAGGAAAAACTGGAAACGCTTTCTATAGTTGTGATCCAATATCAGGTATGTATTATATTACTAGTAGCTTTCATCTTTTTGATGTTTATTTCCTTTAATATTTTGATAAAAAACACCAGTTTTGACTCATGTGTAATGTCTTAAAATATATTTTTTAATTCTTGTAGTGCCAGTTATAACCAACCCGTGTCATCCTTCGCCGTGTGGACCAAACAGTCAATGCAGAGAAGTTAATGGGCAGGCCGTGTGCACTTGCGTACCAGGATACATGGGCAGCCCACCCACATGTCGACCGGAGTGCGTCGTAAGCTCAGACTGCCCGTCCAATAGAGCCTGCAGTAACCAGAAATGTATTAATCCATGTTCAGGATCATGTGGAGTCGAAGCTAAATGTGAAGTAATTAAACATAACCCCATATGTACTTGTCCACCTAAATACACAGGAGATCCTTTCGTCAGATGCATACCTTTCAGTAAGTTTTTTTTTGCCAAATATAGTCATATTAAATGTTTTAATTATTTAAATAAAAACGTATCGCGATAAAATCAAAACAAATTACCAACAATTGCTAAAAATAAATTGGTCTTCTTTCACCTATAGGAACACCCATGGCAGATGTTACGCCATGTTCACCATCCCCATGCGGACTTAATGCAATTTGTAAAGAAGTTGCCGGATCTCCTTCCTGCGCTTGCTTGGACAACTTTTTTGGTTCACCTCCTTATTGTCGTCCAGAATGTTCTTCTAACAGTGAATGTCCATCTAGTCAAGCGTGTATAAACCAAAAATGTAAAGATCCTTGTATATCGGCGTGCGGTGTAAATGCACAATGTAAAACGATTAGTCACTCGCCAATGTGCTTCTGTGATTCCGGATACACGGGAGATCCGTTCACGAACTGCAGACGTGAAGAAGTAACAATTGTAGAACAACCAACTCCTTGTACTCCATCGCCATGCGGACCTAACGCCGAATGTAAAGAACGAAATGCTGTCGGATCCTGTAGTTGTCTACCTGAATACATCGGAAATCCATATGAAGGTTGTCGTCCAGAATGTACCATTAACACCGATTGTGTCCAAAACAAAGCTTGCATTCGTAATAAATGTCAAGATCCGTGCCCAGGAACTTGTGGACTTTTAGCTACATGTATAGTCGTCAACCATTTACCATCGTGCTCATGTCCAAATGGATACACAGGAGATCCATATCGCCAATGTAATGTACTAAAAGGTACCTTTTCCACTTCTTAGACTATTATCAATCATGCATAATCATTAGATTATGACTATCTTATTTATATTTCCAGAAGCATCACCAGCACCCTTGACACCTTGTGTGCCAAATCCATGTGGTCCAAATAGTGTCTGTCGACCAGCGAACGGGCAAAGTGCATGTTCATGCATGCCTGGGTATATAGGCTCTCCTCCAGGATGTCGACCAGAATGTACTATTAGTTCAGAGTGTCCATCAGACAAAGCATGCGTAAATCGTAAATGTGTAAATCCATGTCCTAATCATTGTGGAACAAATTCAAATTGCAGGGTCATAACCCATAGCCCTATTTGCTCTTGTGCCCCAGGATTTACAGGAGATCCATTTACACGTTGTTATAAGCCTGGTTAGTTTTCTATTTTCATTGATGTAAAATTAAGTAAGGTATGTAGACTAAGTTACCTAATATTTTTGGTTGCGTTTTTATTTTAGTTATTGCAGAACATACCCCAGAAATTCAAAAGGATCCTTGCTTACCAAATCCCTGCGGTGAAAATGCTCTTTGTCGAGACGTTAATGGATTCCCATCGTGCAGTTGCATGCCTGAGTTCCAAGGGCTGCCACCAAACTGCAGGCCAGAGTGCGCTATAAATGAAGATTGCCCTTCAGATAAAGCATGCTTAAACATGAAATGCAAAGATCCCTGTCCTGGAAGTTGTGGTCAAAACGCAGCGTGTTCTGTATTTAATCATTTCCCCGCTTGTACGTGTTCTCAAGGCTACACGGGAGATCCATTCACACGATGTTTTGTTATTGAACAGATTAACGGTAGGTTATCAAATAATCAAATTATAAGTGCATTTCGTCTTTGTTTTTTCTTTATGATATGTATGTATTAGTCAAACATAAATTAATTTATATTTAATTGTTTCAGATGAGTTACCCTCTGATCCATGTAATCCATCACCATGTGGTTTTAATGCTTTGTGCTCAAATGGTGTATGCACGTGTATGCCCGAATATCGAGGCGATCCCTATATAGGATGTAAGCCAGAATGTGTAACAAACATGGACTGTGCTTTAGACAAAGTATGCTCTAGAAATAAATGTGTGAACCCTTGTCCTGGCACTTGTGCTTTTAATGCAATCTGCACGGTCTATAATCATATTCCTATCTGTACCTGCCCAGAAAATATGTCTGGAAATGCATTTACCGAATGTCATGCTATACAAGGTACGTGTTTTTAATAAATTAGGTAGTCACTACATTGATATATAAAATAAAGAAAAATCTATTAGAATACTTTCCTTATTGGTTTTTCAAAATAATTTAGTAACGTTACCCTTTTCAGTTATTGAAGTTCAACCCTGCAATCCTAGTCCTTGTGGACCGAACAGCCAATGCAGGCCGATCAATAACCAAGCCATATGTTCATGTCTGCCTGCATACATCGGTAGTCCACCATCTTGTAGGCCCGAATGTACAATTAGCGCAGAATGTCCGCCGGACGAGGCTTGTAATAACCAGAAATGTATAAATCCTTGCAAGGGCAGCTGTGGTTACGGAGCAAGATGTCAAGTAATCAACCACAATCCGATTTGCTCTTGTCCATCACAGTATACAGGAGATCCGTTCACACGCTGCATTGCAATAAGTAAGTAATTTGTCTAATAAAACGCCATTTATGTAATCTAATGGTTAAAGACAATGCTGTTCCTAATACTTTTCTATTGAATGTTGTTTCTAATCAAAATCATCAAATTATCAGTCTATTTAAAATGACCTAACAACACTGCTATTAAATGTATAATTAGTAATATATGACTTTTGTCACTCAGTGTCTACGCCTCTACCGCCGATAGACCCGTGTACACCAAGTCCCTGTGGTCCATACTCTACGTGCAAAGTCATCGGGGAGTCCCCGTCTTGCACCTGCCAACCAGAGTACATCGGCTCGCCACCAAACTGCCATCCGGAGTGCAATAGTAATTCAGAATGCCCGACCAATATGGCGTGTGTCAACCAAAAATGTAGAAATCCTTGTCCTGGAAGTTGCGGTTACAACGCTGATTGCAAGATTGTCAGCCACGCTCTAATATGTTCCTGTCCCTATGGTCAAACAGGAGATCCACTAATTTCTTGTAATCCTATTAAAGGTATTGAGACAATTTAGACAATGAATCTTATTATTTGTGAATTGGAAATTCGTAGTTGTACTCAATAATTTGCTTTTTCCAGATACTGTCATAGAATACAGTTCGCCGTGCGACCTTTCACCTTGCGGACTTAACGCCATATGCACTGAAAGAAATGGAGCAGCATCTTGCAAGTGCGTCGATTCCTACGTCGGCAATCCTTACGAGGGCTGTCGTCCAGAATGTGTCATTAATAGCGATTGTCCTCCTACATTGGCTTGCGTTCAAAATAAATGTAAAGATCCCTGCCCCGGTATTTGCGCTCCCAACGGAATTTGTCAAGTCATCAACCATCTTCCTTCATGTTATTGCCCACCTGGACTTACTGGAGATGCTTATTCGTATTGCAAGCAAATCGAAGGTTAGTGTTTTCATTTGCCATATCACTTACCATTTATTTTATAAAGAATTGTATCATCATGCCTTAAAATGGGAACATTGCCCTCGTATCGTGATTTATTTTAAAATTTATTAAAAATATAATATTACATATGTAACTTAATATCATTGTAGAAGTCGAAAAATCTACACCTTGCACGCCTTCACCCTGCGGTCCAAACAGTCAGTGTCGTGAAGTGAATTCTCAAGCAGTCTGCAGTTGCCAGGTTGATTTCATTGGCAATCCGCCAAATTGTCGCCCTGAATGTACCATTAACAGCGAATGCGCCAGCGACAAAGCCTGCAAAAACCGTAAATGCGTCGACCCATGCGTCAACCAATGCGGTAGAAATGCCAACTGCAGAGTGATAGCTCATAATCCGATATGCTCATGTCAAGAGCAGTTCACTGGAGATCCTTTCACTTATTGTATGCCATGTAAGTATTTAAAACGTTTTTACTATAAGATCATCTCAGAAATTTTTATCTATTTAATTTACTACTTACAATAAGTAAGTAATAAATATACAACAATAAGTAAGTTAAAGTAATAGAGTAAAGGCGTATTTTGAATATTTTTTTATTGTAATGTCGTTTAATAAACTTAAAAATAGTAAATAACATAATGAAATTTATTTTTTAGCCGTCGTATCGGTCCCAACACAAGATGTCAATCCCTGCGTGCCTTCACCATGTGGTCCAAACGCCCAGTGCCAGGAATACAAAGGAAATGCTCGTTGCACTTGTCTGCCAAACTATATCAGCACACCACCTCGGTGCAGACCGGAATGTACAGTGAACAGTGAGTGCAGTGCGGTGACTGCCTGCATCAACAACAAGTGTGCAGACCCCTGCCCCGGCGCGTGTGGTAACAACGCTCAATGCAATGTCAACAATCATATGCCAATTTGTTCTTGCGTCCCAGGCTATACCGGCGATCCCTTCATAAACTGTAATCCAATGCCATTAGGTAAATATTATTTTTAACGGTGTTTTTTTTATTATTTATTATTATTTTGGCCTCTTACTGACATTATGGAAACGGTTGATATATTTTCATATATTATATTTTTTTAGAAACTGAACCCCTGGATCCCTGCCACCCTTCACCTTGCGGTCCAAACGCGGAATGTGAAAACGGTGTCTGCACATGTTTGCCAGAATACCACGGAGATCCATACTTCGGATGCAAACCCGAATGTGTTCTTAACTCGGATTGTCCACGCGACAAGGCGTGCATAAAGAATAAGTGTCACAATCCATGCGTGGATACATGCGGGACGGATGCTCTGTGTGAAGTCATCAACCATATACCAATGTGTTCTTGTCCACCAGGAACAACAGGTTCTCCGATGTACTATTGCACGAAAGTAATAGGTAAGTAATCGACCTTTTCCATATGAGTTTATCTCAAAGCTAAAGTTGCATTTTAACTACTGTTCTTGCAATCAGACATATAAATGATTAAATGGAAATATTACAAAAATGCGAATTTAATCTTGTAATATTGTTGTTTCTAAAGTTGTTAATTACATTATTTATTATTATTACGTTTTAATATTAAGTACTATTTATATCATTTTCAATAGCCAAAGCGACTGTTATATTGTAGAAGAGATTTTGTCTTTTTATTTATATTGTAATTAAAAATTAACTCTTTATTTATTGTTATTAGAAACACCAATAAAAGAAAGCTTATGCGACCCGTCACCGTGTGGCCCATACAGTCAGTGCCGAGAAGTGAACGGTCACGCCGTATGCGTATGCGTCCAAGGTTATAAGGGAAGTCCACCGAACTGTAGACCCGAGTGCACCGTCAGCTCCGACTGCAAACTGAACGAAGCGTGCTCGAACCAAAAATGCATTGACCCTTGCCCCGGAGCTTGCGGTAGAAACACGCACTGTATTGTCGTCAACCATAATCCAGTGTGCAGTTGCTTATCCGGATATTCAGGAGATCCATTCTCAGTTTGCCAACCGATCCGTAAGTACTTTCTAACTCTAATTTTATTTCCAGTCAATTTCTAATATTGTTTTTATTTAATAAGAAGCCAGAATAAAAGCTATGAAATTGTTCATTCCGTAACAAATATTCACATAGTTTGTATCCATTACTTCTTTCTAATAATTTCAAATTCAAAAAATTCATACTAAAGTCATTGTTTTTTTTTAGCTGCGACACCACCGACTATAATAAATCCGTGCCTACCCTCACCCTGCGGACCGAACTCACAATGCATAGAAAATGGCGAAAAGGCTGAATGTAAATGTTTATCAGACTTTATTGGGTCACCGCCTCAATGTCGTCCTGAATGTACCAGTAACGCAGAATGTGCATCCACGATGTCTTGTATAAATAAGAAGTGCAAAGACCCATGTGTAGGCTCCTGTGGCGTTAATTCAGAGTGCAGAGTAGTGAGTCACACGCCGATATGTTTATGTCAAAACGGATATACAGGAGATCCTTTCATACATTGTAGCATTCAAGTATCTTACTCAATAGAAGAACGGCCAACACCTTGTGTGCCCTCTCCATGTGGTACCAACGCCGAGTGTAAAGAACAAAACAATGCCGGCTCCTGTACATGTCAACCCGGCTATTTCGGAGATCCTTACGTGGCTTGTAAGCCGGAATGCTTAATCAATTCTGATTGTCCACCTAATCTGGCATGTTATCAAAACAAATGCCACGATCCCTGTCCCGGTACATGCGGTATCAATGCAATATGCAATGTGGTCAACCATTTACCTAGTTGTAGTTGCCTCGAGCAGCACTACGGCGATCCGTATAGAATTTGTACGTTCAAAATTTATGGTGAGTAAAATGAATACAATTTTTTTTTAATTAAGTGTATAACTAACGAGCATTTATTTAATTTTTTACTTTTTACAGAAAATAAGACCGACCCTTGTAACCCATCACCATGTGGCCCTAATAGCCAATGCAGCAACAAAAATGGATTAGCGATATGCACTTGTTTAAGTGGTTATCTGGGGTCGCCGCCCAGCTGCCGACCTGAATGCTTAACGAGTTCCGAATGTCCTCTCGATAAAGCCTGCGACAACTTCAAATGTATATCACCATGTCCAAGAGGCTGCGGAGTAAACACAAAGTGCAGAGTCATCAAACATAACCCTATCTGTTCTTGTAAACCTCAACATACCGGAGATCCTTTCTCTATCTGTTATCCTGTCGTTGAAGTAGAGTATCAACAAAATGAACCAATCAACCCATGTGTGCCTTCACCGTGTGGATTAAACGCCGAATGTCGCGACGTCGGCGGTATACCTTCGTGCACGTGTCAAATAGGATACTTTGGAAGTCCACCAAACTGCAAACCAGAATGTATTACAAATACCGACTGTAGCAACGACAAGGCCTGTATCAATATGAAGTGTATAAATCCATGCCAAGGTTCGTGCGGTATTGACGCTGTATGCAACGTAATTAACCACGGACCTATCTGTTCATGTCCTGTCGGTTACCAAGGCAACCCATTTGTAGCGTGCCACATTAAAACACCAGGTAATATAATTGAAAATATTATATATCAAAGTTGATTGTATGAAATTGGTTGAAATTATTAATAAGCCCTGTCTTTTCTAGATGTAATTGAAAAACTTGATCCTTGCCATCCGTCACCGTGTGGCTCCAACGCTGTATGTAACAACGGCGTCTGTACTTGCCTTCCTGATTACAATGGAGATCCTTACTTCGGCTGTCGACCCGAGTGTGTTCTAAGCACCGATTGCCCGACCGACAAAGCTTGTATGCAATTCAAATGCAAGAATCCTTGCAACGATATGTGCGGAGAGAATGCCGAATGCAACGTTTACAATCACGTGGCTGTGTGCAGTTGTCCAAGTGGCATGACTGGAAATGCGTTTTCGCGATGCATCAAAATAGAGAGTATGTCAAAAGTTTACTTTTTAGTATTTTGTTACATATTGTGTTCACAATAAAATTTTAATTCATGTATTTCTTCCAGAACCTGTAACAAGACCCTGCGAACCATCTCCGTGTGGTCCAAACAGTGTGTGCAGAGAAGCGCAAGGTCAAGCTGTTTGCGCTTGTGTGACGGGTTACATTGGAAATCCACCTAATTGTAGACCAGAGTGCATCCAAAGCGCAGACTGTTCACCATCACTGGCGTGCATTAATAGAAAGTGTCAAGATCCCTGCCCAGGTTCATGTGGACATAACGCTAAGTGCAAAGTTCATAATCACAACCCTATATGCACATGTCCACCTAAATTGACTGGATCTCCGTTTGATCACTGTTATGGTGAGTTATTGATAGTACATAGCATCTCAATAATTAATATTTACTAATGAAACAATTTTGGTATTGGTATTATTTTAAATATACCATTATTTACAGCTCCAGTAGTGGAAGAATCGCCAACCAATCCTTGCCTACCAAATCCTTGCGGACCAAACAGCATATGTACATCGGCGCCGAACAAAGACTCTCCGATTTGCGCCTGCCAAACAACATTCGAAGGCTCACCGCCGAATTGTCGTCGAGAATGTACCTCAAGCGAAGATTGTTCTTACGACAAGGCCTGCATAAATTACAAATGCAAAGATCCCTGCCCAGGATCGTGCGGTTCACAAGCAATATGCACCGTGCGCCTTCATACCGTTATGTGTTCTTGCGACGAAGGTTACACCGGTGATCCTTTCACTTCTTGCGTCCAAAAAGTACACGATATTATACCTTTGGATCCTTGTGAACCTTCACCTTGCGGCCCGAACTCGCGTTGTAAAGTATCAAGAAATGGTGTCGCCGCATGCGTTTGTGATGAGGGCTACTTTGGAAATCCCTATGAATCATGTAGACCTGAATGCGTTTTGGATAACGATTGTCCGTTCGACAAAGCTTGCCGTAACAATATGTGCCAGGATCCGTGCCCCGGTGTATGCGGTACAACGGCAACCTGCCAAGTTATAAATCATTTGCCTTCCTGTAATTGTGCGCCTGGGTACACTGGCAATCCATATCAATATTGCCACATCATTATAAATGAACCAGGTACTGTAACTTGTGTTGCTTCACCAGTTTTATCAATTTTTACACTAATAGTAAAATTTAAATTAGTAGAGACTTTCGATTACAGCAGAGTGTAGTTTATAAAATGTAATTTTTTTAATATTTTTGCAGAACCTACGCCCAAAAATCCATGTACACCTAACCCATGTGGCAGTAATTCTATATGCAAGAGCAACAACGGACTAGTCTCATGCACATGCGCCCCAGGATTCTTTGGGACTCCACCAAGTTGCAGACCAGAGTGTATCGTGAATTCGGAGTGTGAATCATCCAAGAGTTGTGTTAACCAAAAATGCATCGATCCCTGCATCGGCGCGTGCGGACAGAACGCAGAATGCAGAGTTATCAACCATGCACCAATTTGTTCCTGTAGTCGGGAATTTGAAGGAGATCCGTTCATTAGATGCACTCCTATTCGAAGTACGTAGACTTTTTTATATTCCGTTAATCAATTAATAAGTCTAAATCCTGTTATTTTTATCAAGACAATTTTTTTACAAAAGTTAATACAAACAAAACTATTTGAAGCTTTGCTTCATGTTTTACATTGCATATTTCACCAAAAGAAATATTTCTTCCATAGGCATACCATCGCCAGAAACAGATCCGTGTACCCCATCACCATGCGGACCGAATTCTCTATGTCAAACAGTGAACAAAGTGCCAACATGTACTTGCATAGAAAACTTTATCGGCACCCCGCCAAACTGCCGAGCGGAGTGTACTGTGAACTCAGATTGTCCTAGCACCATGGCATGTATAAACCAGCGATGTCGCGATCCGTGCCAAGGCTCGTGTGGCCTGAACACAGTATGCCAAGTGCACCAACACGCCGCTATCTGTAGCTGTATGGAAGGTTACACCGGTAATCCATTCCAGAGCTGTTACGTCAAAGAAGTTATAGGTAAATTCACTTTCTTTCTCATTTTATAAATGAAGTCTCGCTGCCTAGCAAAACATTTTCATTTTGTTAATTCTGTGTGCATTGAATATTCATACATGATATTTATTATCAATATTACTTACAGAACACGTGCCTGAAAACTATGACAAATGCAATCCAAACCCTTGCGGAGCCAACGCAGACTGTAACAATGGACTGTGTACATGTAAACCAAACTTCTTCGGTAACCCCTACATGAGCTGTCGCCCCGAATGCTCCCACAACTCAGACTGTGCACTCAATCTGGTTTGCTTTAATAATAAATGCATTAATCCTTGCAACAACCTCTGCGGCCAGGGCGCGCAGTGCGAAGTTTATAATCATCTACCTATGTGCTTCTGTCCACCGAACACAACTGGAAATGCTTTCTTCTCTTGTACACCCGTCACAGGTAACACATTAAGTGATATTCTCACTAAAAATCTTAACAAAAACTCTGATAATCTTTTAATTTATCCAATAATATATTTTTTTCAGTTCAACCGGAACGACGTAACCCTTGCGAGCCGTCACCGTGCGGTCCCTATAGCACGTGTCGTACCGTCAACGAGCAGGTGACGTGCTCGTGTCTAATAGGATACGTAGGAGTACCACCTTCCTGCAGGCCTGAGTGTTTGGTCGACTCCGACTGTACCAGCCTGAAATCATGCTCAAACCAGAAATGCATTGACCCCTGCCTAGGAACGTGCGGCTTGAATGCAGAATGCAGGGTGCACTACCACAAGGCACTCTGTTACTGTCCGAATGGTTACAGCGGCGATCCATTCACACAATGCTTACTTAAAGTGCAAGGTAAAATAATTAATTCTATTATATATTTATAGAAAATAAGTTCTAGTTAATATTTTATTATTATTTTTTACATAACCACATTAAAAAATATATTTATTTTAATGTCTACAGATGAAATACCGGCCAAGAAAACTCCCTGTGTACCTTCACCTTGTGGTCCTAATTCGATATGCAAAGCTGTAGGAGATTCACCATCGTGTTCGTGTCAGGCGGATTACATTGGCTCACCACCTTACTGCCGACCGGAGTGCGCATCGAATAGCGACTGCAGCTTTGACAAATCTTGCATAAACAACAGATGCGCAGATCCCTGTGTCGGTGCTTGTGGTATCAATGCTATATGCAGAGTCATTAGCCATTCGCCGCAGTGTATATGTGAAGGAAACTACGAAGGCGATCCGTTTAATCGTTGCTATCCTAAGAAACCTTTGAACTTACCATCGGAATCGGACAAGCCATGCTCACCGAACCCCTGTGGACCCAATGCGATATGTCAGGAACGTAATAATGCCGCCAGCTGCACATGTGTCACTGGATACTTTGGTGATCCCAACGAAGGTTGCAGACCTGAGTGCGTAATTAATTCTGATTGTTCTGATAATCTCGCATGTATAAACAACAAATGTAAAGACCCATGTCCAGGTTTATGTGGCACAAACGCCCAATGCCAAATGGTCAATCACGTACCTAAATGTATTTGCATACATAGTTATGTCGGTAATCCCTATGATATTTGCCGAATTATAAAAGGTAAGACAATTAATTAATTTTGATTAAATATAAAAAGGTGTTGTTACTTACAACTTTTTTTAATGCAATTTAATTATTTTTTCCAGAAACACCATCTGATCCTTGCAGCCCATCGCCTTGTGGTCCTTATAGCATTTGTCAAGCTCGTGATGATAAAGCAATATGCTCTTGCCAACCCAATTATCTTGGTAATCCACCTAATTGTCGTCCAGAATGTATCACAAATCCTGAATGTCCACTTGACAAGGCTTGTGTAAAACAAAAGTGTATAGACCCTTGCATCGGAACATGTGGAGAAAACGCACAGTGTCTTGTACACCATCATAGCCCGTACTGCACTTGTCTGGTTGGTTATGAAGGAGATCCATTCTCTGTTTGCGTTAAAACTGCTGCTCCACCAGATAACAAAAATCCTTGTGAGCCTAACCCTTGCGGGCCCTACGCTACGTGCAAAGATATTGGTGGAACAGCAGTATGCAGTTGCAAACTAGGTTACATCGGTGTACCGCCAACTTGCGCTCCAGAATGTACCATTAACGAAGACTGTCCTAAAGATAAAGCATGTGTAAGAGAGAAATGTCTTGATCCTTGTATTGGATCATGCGGCGTTAATACTAACTGCCGTGCTATGAACCATCTTGCTATTTGTACTTGTCTGCATAATTATCGTGGTGATCCATTCGTAGGATGCAGTGCTTACAAAGGTTTGTAAGATTTTTTTTTTTTAAATCATGGACTACATATACATATTTTAATGGGTGATTATATTTTTACCAACAGAAATAGAGAAACTACCCCCGATCAATCCTTGCGCCGGTTCTCCTTGTGGCGTTAATGCAATATGCAGCAATGGAACTTGTTCTTGTATTTCGGGATACCACGGCAATGCGTACGTCGAGTGCCGACCGGAATGTACAGCCGACACCGATTGTGATAAACAACTAACGTGTATAAATTATAAATGCGTGAACCCATGTAAAAACGCTTGTGGTAACGGCGCCGTTTGTAATGTATACAATCACATAGCGATATGTGAATGCCCGGCTCCATTGCGAGGAGATCCCTTCCTTTCTTGTAGACCTGTTATTGGTAAGTTAAATTGCGTAAATTTCATTTGACCTTAAAGACTGGAAGAATTACTGTAGTGTTGTCTGTCTCGAGTGTACACGCCATAAGTACATGCCGGAGAGAGGGGACGTCAGTCGATATCAGACCTTTGAACCGGCAACTTTTGTCGGTACGTGAACGAGCCAAATATAGCGAATGCTACAATTACTTAAAATAACTAACGTATTTACAGAAGCCACCGAAACGGACCCGTGCACACCGAATCCTTGCGGACCTAACAGTGTATGCCGGGCTAGTGGTACAGTGGCACATTGCTCGTGTAAACCAGCCATGTACGAGGATCCGCCAAGCTGCCGGCCCGAGTGCCGTGCTAACTCCAATTGCCCACCGGACCGTGCCTGCCGAAATAACAAGTGTCACGACCCATGTCCGGGTACCTGCGGTGCTCATGCTGTATGCCGCACCCGAATGCACTCGCCAATATGCAGCTGTCCGGTCCGCTACACTGGCGATCCATTTACTCGTTGTTTACCAAGTATGTACATACTGTTAAAAGAAGCGTTGATCATAGATAGTTCAAAAAATAACAAAACCACTATTGTTTCAGTTGCGTTTGATACGGAGTCGAAAAATGTGTCACCTTGTCCAGACTGTGGTCCAAATGCGGACTGTATAGACGGGCAATGTCGCTGCAAAGTCAACTTCTTCGGCGCACCACCGTTCTGTCGTCACGAATGTCTCAGTTCCAGCGATTGTGATTGGCGGTTCTCCTGCCTTAATAAGCGATGTGTCGACCCTTGCCTCGGGGCGTGCGGTCATGGTGCAGTCTGTAGCACCGTTGGACACAATCCACGCTGCGATTGCCCGCCGAATACAACTGGAAACCCCATTTTTGCATGTCGACCCATCGAAATGATTCGTAAGACAGACTTAACTGGAAGATATACATATGCTTTTAATATACAAAGTTTTAATTTTACAGATGTTGCTAGCCAATACCGACCGATGTACAACGGCGTACTTATGTTTTCGCTTTTAAAGCTTAGGCATGGGTTTTACTAGCGAAACTAAGGAAACCGTTTGTACAAACCCCTAATTCTCGTACGCTTTGTACTAAGCGCTTGTGATGTTTGCTCCGAGTGTATTCCAAACTGTTACTCCATACTTAAATTCTCGTTTACATTTACAGAGATTCCTCAAAACACGTCATGCAATCCGTCGCCTTGTGGACCCGGTGCTATTTGTCATATCAAAGGAAACGCTGCATCGTGTGAATGTGAACCGGGACTCCGCGGAGACCCATACTTCGGCTGCCGGCCAGAATGTCTCTCCGATTCCGATTGCTCGCCGACAAGAGCATGCATGCGATCCCACTGCCGGGACCCGTGCGAGGGCACCTGTGGCATTGGAGCCGAGTGCGAAACCGTCAACCACATACCGCTATGCTCCTGCCCACCAGGCACCAGAGGCAACGCCTTTGTTAAATGCGACCCTATTCCAATAGGTAAGACGTTTAGTATAATCAAAATCCGTAATGTTATTCATTGTTAATTCTATTAAACATTTTCCTTATTCTAACATTAAAGTTAAATGTTTTATTATAAAATATTAATAAGGAAAATCTATTACAGCATTGCCATGCACACCATCGCCATGCGGACCTGGTGCACTGTGTACCGTGTCCGGCAAGGCCGCCGTGTGCTCGTGTCCGAGTGGCACCAGCGGAGATGCGGCCACCTCAGGCTGCCGACCGGAGTGTGTTGTCAGTTCGGAGTGCTCACGAGACCGAGCTTGCGTCCGCAACAAATGTATCGACCCGTGTGTCGGCGCCTGTGGAAATGGTGCGACTTGCCGCGTCTTCGATCATGCACCGATTTGCTCTTGCCCACCTCAGACTACAGGAGATCCATTCCTCAGTTGCAGAAGTAAGATTTCATTGAATCTAAAGTGTATGTACTAATGACTAATAAAATGCATTATAATCATAATAATATGTTATTTTAGCGGTCTCGCCTTCAACGGTCGACCCGTGCGACCCCGATCCTTGCGGACCACGAGGCACGTGCCGCGAGGGAGTGTGCACGTACTACGAATGTACAGTTAATGACGACTGCCCCGGAGACCGGTCTTGTATTAACAGAAAGTGCGCAGACCCATGCATTAACGCTTGCGGTCTGAACGCGATATGTACAGGCATTAGACACACCGCGGTATGTTCATGCCCGCCTGATTACACCGGCTACGCTCTCGTCCGCTGCGATCGTATCACAATACCGGAAGTGAAACCAAAACCAGAATGCGAAAACGATGACCAATGTCCCGATAATGCAGCGTGCATCGATTTCCGATGTGCAGCAATATGTGGCCCGAACAACTGCGGCCTGAACGCGCAGTGTATTGCACGCCGGCACAGAGCCAGCTGTACTTGCTTGCCGGGCTACGAAGGTGACGCATATTCAGGATGTTACTCCGGTACGTAATTTTTTCTTTTTAATATTTAAGATTAATTAAACTTCAGACTGCTTAGACTATTCATTTTGTTGATTAATGTTCATAATTAATCCAAAATTAATTTTCAATTTCAGTTCAGTGTCATAGCAATAACGACTGTCCCGACGATGAGAGCTGTGAAAGCGGCTCATGTATCAAAGTATGTTCGCGATTACGCTGTGGAACTGAAGCTCACTGCGTGGCGCGGGGACACAGCGCGTCATGCGAATGTAATCCGGGAGCGCAAGGAAACCCATGGACCTCGTGCCGCAGAGACGAATGTACAATGGACGAAGACTGTCCGACATGGCTGGCTTGCAGGGCGAAGACATGCCAAGATCCCTGCCCTGGAGCTTGCGCACAAGGAGCCCATTGTACTGTCATGCGACATGCACCGATTTGCGAATGCCCACGAGGAACCCAAGGCAATCCGAGAATAAAATGTGAACCTGGTAATTAACTACATAACTTTCTTTTATTACATACATTTCTTCGCTCCGTGTTTCGGACATCTAATTCCATCACTACTATATTATGGTTATATAATTGGATTGGTTTACAATCAGTCTCCTTTCCTTAATTCTTGACATTCAAAGCAATGCACTTACTGTGTGTGCAGGTTTCAAAGGATGTCACTGAGGAATGTAAATGTAATGATTTTAATATATTTTTATTATTTTAGTACAAAGAGACGTGGAGTGCGAAGGCGATGCAGACTGCGGCCCCGACCTGGCGTGCTTACGCGGCGTTTGCCGGGACCCGTGCGACTCAACATCATGCGGCGCCGGCGCCATCTGCCGCGTTGCCAACACTCTGCCCTTCCGCACTCTCATCTGCCAATGTCCTAAACCGCTTACTGGAGATGCGTCCGTTCAATGTGTACCAAGTAAGTATAAAAGTGTATATACTATGGAAGAACATAACTACATATTTTATTAACACGTATCATTTTTCTAGAGCTACATTTACAGGAAATAAATAACTCGGCCGATTGAAAAATGATTGCATTTAAAAATGTAGGTACATCATAGGTAGGTTTAACTTAAATTTGTGGTACTTTTATATTTTACTTCCTGTGTACAAATGAATGTACAAATTATACACACTTAATTTGTATATACAAAGTTTTCTTTTTTAGCATGTCTTCTGTACAAGTATAACATAATTTCTACTGTATATTTCATAATGTAGGCATAACACTGTAACATGTTTTAATTTAATATTTATCTATATAGGCTTATTATGACGGCTGCACTTCGTAATGTTACATCGAATCAAATTCGGATAATTTGATTTTATGGGTTGTCATAAAGAGCACGTTTAACAATGTCCGGCATTTAATGGTTACTTATTAATTTAATATTTAATAACCGAATATAAATATCAGGAGCACAATGCGAACAAGACAGCGAATGCAGCGACGAGGAGCGGTGCGCGAACGGGCGCTGCGTGGCAGTGTGCGACGAGCGCGCTTGCGGCGCGGGCGCAGAATGCCGCGCGCAGACGCACCGCGCCCTCTGCCGCTGCGTGCCACCTCTGCAAGGCGACGCCAACGTAGCCTGCACTCCGGGTACGCATAATAACATCTACAAATATCATTATTTAGGAAAAGTTTTCTCTAAAGACTAAACAAATTTTCTACTATTTTCAATACAATTAGGAGTGGAAGGCGCTGGCTGCACATCAGACACTGAGTGCGGCGCGGCAGAGGCATGCGTGGCCCGGCGCTGCGTGGCGGCGTGCGCGGGCGCTTGCGGGCCCGGCGCGCTCTGCTCCGCGCCACAGCACCGCGCACGTTGCCACTGCCCACCGGGCACCGCCGGTGACCCTGCGCGCTTCTGTTACACCCGTACGTACTTTTCTTTACAGTATAAGCTTTAAAGGATCGTCTATAGAGATATTTCGGTTCGAGAGACGCTATCCACTGCATTGCTTTTATAACCTTACGTTTATGACCTTTCAACAAGTTGTGTGGTTCGATAAATTACACATATTTTTGTTGATTATTCTTGTTTATCACGTCTTGTTATGAATGACTAATTTAAATATACATGTTTGTCTCGATTAGCCGAATGTACCACCGATGAAAACTGTCCGTTTGACAAGAGCTGCGTGAGCGGCTACTGTCAGGACCCGTGCGCTCTCGGATCTCCATGCGGCCGCGATGCCATCTGCGTGGCCGTTGCCCATGCAGCCACGTGCCGCTGCCCGCCGGGCACGCAAGGAGACCCCAGAGATGCCTGCGTCACCGTCGCTTGCCACTACAACGAAGACTGTTCAGACCATCAAATATGCAACCGGCTCAATCACGTCTGCCAACCGGTGTGCACCGACAGTGCATGCGCTCCGGGTGCCCTGTGTTCGGCCAGCAACCATCAACCAACGTGCACTTGTCTCCCCGGCACCTCCGGAGACGCTTACGTTCGTGGATGCGGAACAACTGTGTCTACGCCGGAATGCTCCAAAGATGTCGACTGTGCATCGCCATTAGCCTGTGTCAACTCACAGTGTATAGATTTGTGCCTGAGTAACCCTTGCGATGAAGGACTAATCTGCAAAACTGTGGACATACTACCACTGAGAGCCGTGGCATGCGTGTGTCCGGAGGGCGGCCGCGTGGCGCCCAATAACGGGTGTCGGCCGCCGCCCGCTGCGGAGTGCTCCTCGGACGCTGAGTGCGGAGATAGTGAGACGTGCCGGCGTGGCGGCTGCGTAGAGGCCTGTAGAGCCGCACCCTGCGGATACAATGCTCTCTGCGAATCTATTGACCACGTCTCTCGCTGCTCTTGTCCACCTGGATACATCGGAAACCCCAGAATAGAATGTAATAGTGGTAAGTTTTTTTTACAAAGAAGATACCAGTGTAAGACGTATACTCGTTATTAGTTTCTATAAATTTAATTACATATTATAAGATGCATTGTAAACAATAAATCATTATTTCAGAACCAAGAAGACCTACCATAGTTGAATGTTATAAGGACGACGAATGTGGTTCGGAGCAATCGTGTGTTGAACGCACCTGCATCAATCCATGTGTGAATGGTTGCGGCGTAGGTGCGTTATGTCGCGTCATCGACCATAAACCGCAGTGCTCGTGCCCCAGAGATTACACTGGAGATGCCAACGCACGATGCATACCACGTAAGTCATTCAAAAATATAACTATACATATATACATACTTTATATACCTTGTAGGCTTGATTAAAAATAGTTATTTGTCGCATGTCTGTTGAAATAAAATTGAATAGAACCAAAATGTTTGTGGTACTCCATTATCTAAGGTCCATTAAGTTCAATGTAATAAAAATATATATATATATTGAAATGAATAAATATTTGTTTAATTTTCAGCGTCGGACAAATCTGTATTACCGGTGGGCTGCAAAGCAAACTCGGAGTGCCCACTGTCACAAGCTTGCATAAATGGCGCATGCGCTAGTCCATGTGTTTGCGGCGACAACGCAGAATGTGACGTCTTAAGGCATCATCCTGTTTGCTACTGCGCACCTGGGTTCTCAGGAAACCCTTACACTGGATGTACCAAAGGTATGACTTTTCTCGGATAAATATATACAAATAATTATTTTAGTAATAAACAATTCATAAAAATTATGTTTATTATTACTCAAATTTATTTTATTTTTACAGTTAGCTGCAGTTCCGATAACGAATGCCCCGATAGTGACACATGTTACAATGGAGCTTGCGTTAACCCTTGTGTCCTTGAAGCGCCGTGCGCCATCACCGCAGAATGCTACGGACAAGCTCACCGACCCAACTGCCGCTGTCCGCCTAGAACTATGGGAAATCCTTACGACAAATGTCAATCGAGCGAATGCGAGGCCGACACCGACTGCAACGACGACAGCGTTTGCGTGAAAGGAGTTTGTCACGACGCTTGCTCAGTCGAAGGTCGCAATCCTTGCGCCAGTAATGCAGAATGTTACGCACGTAATCACGCAGCGGCTTGTAAATGCCCACCCACGCTTCCTCTTGGCGATCCTTTGACTTACTGCCAGAGAATTGTAATCATAGGAGAACCGGAATGCCGAATGGACGGAGACTGTCCCAGTGGTCACGCTTGTCTCAGAGATAAATGTCGTGAAGCTTGTTCCGAACTAAAACCATGCGTCGGCAATTCTCGATGCTCAGTTTCAGACAGCGTACCATTCCGTACCTTAATATGCCGCTGTCCAGAAGGATACACACCGGATGAAAGAGGTTCATGCAAACCTGCACAACTGCCATCCCTTAGTTGCTCGTCTGACCAGGACTGTAGCGACAGCGAATCTTGCGTTAACAGAATTTGTCGCAATCCTTGCAGTTGTGGCGACAATGCAGAATGCTTCGTCCGAGATCACAGACCTGTATGTTCGTGTCGCGAAGGCTACGACGGCAATCCCTACCTATCATGTCGCATAGTGGGCTGTCGAACTGATACTGAATGTGAATCGCATCAAGCTTGCATCAACGGAAACTGCATAAGTCCATGCTTGTCGAACAACACTTGTGGAACGAATGCCGAATGCTATGTAGAAAGAAACCAACCTCTCTGCCGCTGCAGATCTGGATTCGAAGGCGACGCATATACAAACTGCAACCTTGTCGAATGTAGAGCCAACGGTGACTGTCCACAGGACAAACAATGTCACGCGCATAGATGTATCGACCCTTGTCTTTCAGGAAGTATTTGCGGAACAAATGCCATCTGCTTGGTAAGAAACCATCTTGCAGTTTGTAAATGCGACCAAGGTTACACCGGCAGCCCCTATGTTGAATGTCGACGAGAATCTACGCCACTATGCTTTGTAGACGCTGACTGCCCGTCAAGACTAGCCTGTTTATCTTCTAGATGTGTCAATCCATGCACAGAATTACGTCCCTGCGCCACACCAGCGACTTGTGAGGTCTCCCCGACATTACCCGTTCGCACTATGCTCTGCACGTGCCCAGTGGGATACGTAAGCAGCGGCGGTGGCGTTTGCCGACCGGCAACATCGATCACTGACAACGTCTGTGTTTTGGACAATAATTGTAGCGCAAATCATGCTTGCGTAAATTCCTTGTGTAAAAACCCATGCTCCTGTGGGCCGAACTCCGATTGTAGAATAAAAGATCACAAGCCAGTATGTGCTTGTCGACCAGGATTTGTCGGCGACGCACGAACCGGTTGTTACGAAATTACCTGTCGCGCCGACAACCAGTGTGCAGACGATGAGACTTGTATTAATAACCGCTGTATACCGGCGTGTTCGGTGGATGCTAATGTCTGTGGTCGCTCGGCGGAGTGTTACGGCATAGACCATCGTGCTTCCTGCCGCTGCAAAGTTGGAACTGTCGGCAATCCATCAGTCGCCTGCACTCCGATATCTTGCCGAGCCAATAGCGATTGTCCGGTCGATAAATCTTGTATTAACTCTAAATGCGTTGAACCTTGCTCGGAGACCTCTTGCAATGAACCGGCCGAATGTAGAGTGCATCAACACGAAGTATACTGCGTCTGTCCGCCGGGTTACCAGAGTGCAGACGACGGCTGCGTGAAGACCGGAACTCCGCAGTGTGCCACCGACGTTGATTGCCCGTCAGGATTAGCGTGCTTTAACACCACGTGCGTCAATCCATGCTCGAAGACAACACCATGTGGTAATAACGCAGAATGTCATGTAATCAACACTCTTCCCGTAAGAACTATGATATGCGCATGCAAACCAGGATACAAAGGAAATGCGCTCATCGAATGTACACCATATTTAAGTATGTTATTTTATACAGTTATTTGGCATTATTTCTTAAAGATATCTTAAAGATAGGAATTGTATTAATATTTAAATAATTTTACAGCACCTACAACAAAATGCGTAGACGGCCAAGGAATCAATAGTAATGGCGACTGTGAGCCTTGCAACGCAAACGAAGGACGAACAGTCGACGGTCGTGGTCGTTGCGTGTGTGACTGGGACAAGGGCTACACACCGCGCGGAAACACTTGCGTTGCCATCGGGTGCCGCGCGGACGAGCAGTGCGACGACCAATCGCGCTGCATCAATGGCGCCTGCGTTAACGCATGCGAGGCGGAGCCCTGTGGCCAGCACACGACTTGCGATGTCATCGGACACCGCTCGCACTGCGCCTGCATCCCCGGCTACGTCGGCAACCCAAGGGTTCAATGTTACAATGCGACCACTCCCCAAGACAATTATAGAACTGATTTCCCACTTCCAGACATGCAGGTACAGTTAAGAAATTGTTACATTATACGATCGTCCATGAAATCTATGGCAAAATTGTAAAATATCAAAATCACAACCTAAAATGTGTTTTTGTAGGTTCACTGCCTGGCGGATGGAGTTCGAGTCAGTCTTAAGATCAAGGACTTTAACGGGGTGTTGTACGTGAAAGGCTACAGTAAGGACGAGAGGTGTAGACTGGTCGTGCATACTCCAGAAAATCAAGAGAGCACCGTGGACTTTACAGTCCACTTCGGCGATTGCGGTTTGGTCCATGTGAACGTAAGTGGTTTTTTTCAAGAGAATCTCTTTTATCTGTCTTTCTCGGTCCATCTTAAGAGGCGTTTCCATGCTTTGTCGTACTAATCTCATCAAATGTAAATTATATTTCGAACAATTTTGAATTTCCAGGGTCTGGCAAGCTTTGTGCTGGTGATGCAGATACATCCTACTTTGTTAACATCCAACGCTAAGGCATTCCACATCAAATGTATCTACCAAACGGGCGAACAGAACGTGACGTTGGCTTTCAACGTATCGATGCTGACAACAGCGGGCACGATAGCCAACACGGGTCCGCCGCCCACTTGCTCCATGAGAATCGTATCCAGATCTGGCGACGAAGTGAGCTCTGCCGAAATTGGAGAGAACCTCGTCTTACAAGTGGATGTTCAACCATCAAGTATGTAAAACAATGTTATTTAAAGAAATCTAAAAAGACTGGATTTTACGTTAGACTTATTAACGCACCTACTTCAACTTGATTCCTTGAAAGTTGCAAAGGTGTTAAAGCATCAATATGTATTCGTATACGACGTTGAGCTTTTATATTATCCTCGTTGTAACTGATTACGAAATACAAATCATTGTACACTTTTTAATATTTCGTATTCTTGCACAGGTATATACGGTGGGTTTGCACGAAGCTGTATAGCGAAGACGAGTGAAGCATCGACGAACATAGAAAACGAATACACCGTAACGGACGCGGACGGATGCGCTACGGACGCCGCGATCTTTGGAGAATGGGAAAGAAGCGAGGACGGAAGCGCTTTAAGGGCAGCTTTCAACGCCTTCAAGTTCCCAAGTAGCGATAATATTCGATTCCAATGTAATATACGTGTCTGCTTCGGAAAATGTCAACCGGTAAGATTTTTTATATTTTAATAAAGTTGTAATTATCTGTTAATTGAGAAAGCTTAAATGCGATTAAATCCATGCAAAGGCCATCATGCATATATAAACCAAACGTGGCGTACATGACCCCTGAACATTATTTTTTACGAACTTGATTGTTATTCGTCAGTTAAATTAAACAATGTATGCAAATTTCAGGTTAACTGTCGCGGATACGACGCTTTCGGAAAGCGTAGAAAACGAGAAGCAATCGATCCTAAGAATGGCCTTAACGGAAACGAAGGTCAATTCAGGGAGGAGGTGGTCGTCGAATCGAATCTGATATTGACGCTGGAAAGACGCGACCCGTCGCGAGTGGCCCGGCGGCGGGACGCTGGCAGCGATAACGGCGCGGGCGGCGCGTCCGGCGGCGAGGTGTGCGTGTCGGCCGCCGGGCTAGCCGTGGCGCTGGCGCTGACGGCGCTGCTGGCGCTGGTGGCCGTAGCCGCAGCCGTGGCGTGCTGGTTGGTGGCGTGGCGCCGCGCGCGGCCTCCACCCGCGCCGCTGCCGCACCCGCCTGACTTCCCCAACCCGCTGTTCCAACGCTGAGCAGCTCGCTAGTCGCGCGCCCCGCTCCTCCGCCGGCGCCGGGCGGTGTCGGCTCTTCTTTCCTCTCGGCTTCAATCTGTGCGCGCCGCCGGAGGACCGCCGGGCGAGGGCGCAGCGAGCGCCTCCCTCGCTCGCGCTCGCTGCGTCCTATCTAGAATTATTTTTATATTTTACTTTAACTCTTTAACATAGACTCGCCTCCTTCGAACTTTGTGATATTCATGATATAAATATTCGAAATCACCATACCTTTATGTAATATAACTATTGACTGTAGTTTGTAAGCAAATAATATTAATAAATAATAATGACAATACACGGTTGTTTTATTGTTTTATTAACTTTTATTCCGGTCTACACTAGAAAATTGGCTAGTAAATTCTAAAATACCTAATAACCTGGGAACTGGTCATGCCAAAAATTATATCCGTAAGCGAACGCAGCGTCACTGTTTACTGTTTAGTATTTACTGCTAGTATGTATTTTCTGTCTAGAAATTTTGCTATTTAAAATTTTACTGAACCAAAAAATGTATGTATGTCATGTCAATAAAGGTTGAAAGGATAATGGCTGACAAAAAACTGGCAACCGAGTGATGCGCTCGTCGCCACAATATGGAAGTGCGCAAATTTAACCGGAGCTAAGCTAACGAGTTAACTAAAACCGCGTATTGAGGTTCAGAGGCCGCCCGAGGAAGGTGCGCCGTCGGTCCGTCGCAGCCGAACAAGCCGGGCGAGCGGACGCAGCGCACATTACAAGGAAGCGGTCACTGGCAACGACGTGACGTCACCTACTGTTAGAAAAGACCAGCAAATCGCTTTTTACAACGAAAGCGATCTTTGTAAACAGTATAATGGCATCACACTAGAGAATACACTTCCAACCAATAGTGAAGTCTCGCGGTATATATGCTCGGCAACCAAAAAACTTTAATAGCGTGATTCAGAATCTGCATTATTTTTTATTATAATTGTTCATAAAACACCTAAAATATTTATGTTTCACGAATAATATTTAATGAGAAGTGTAAAAATCTGTTTTTTTTATTGTTTTTGCAGAGGAAATGAATTATTGAAAAATATTTTAATTTTACACGCCACTAGCCCCATCTGTTGTACGGTAAGGAGGACTAATACTTTTGGAAGCAACTTAATTTGTTGGACTTTCCAAATATTTCTAATAGATGACGCTCAGAGCAACATGTATCATACTTTTTTCTTTTCTTATATTAAATTTGTTTTGTTCTTAAATTAATTCAATAATGTGAGATAATTAAAAAAGTATTTAAAACTCATTTTAAATTTATTTCTAATTTCACAAAAAAAATAAAGTTTCGCAGTAAGGCCATCATTTACATAATTAAAACGATTAAAAAATCTTTGTACATAACTTATTCATTAATGCGTATGTATACATGGATGGATGGATGGATGTTTGTTAGAAGATATCTCCAAAACGACTCAACAGATTTCGATGAAAAGTGGCATAGATGACGAGCACAGTCAGAAAGAACACATAGGCTACCAGTTATTTATTTTTAATTCTGCGCAGACAGAGTCGAAAGCGACAGCTGCAAGCAAGCTAAGTCTGGAGTTCAAATCCAGGTTATTTTAACAGTTATGTGTAGTCATCTTATGTTTTCGAGAGTCTAGAAGAAACAGTATGGGTCGTTTGGCGTTCCGCGTTTCGCAACCAAACTTCATGTTTCTAACTATGTTGTCCATCTAGGATTAAACTGAAAATTCTTTAAATGATAAAAAATAATATACAGACAAATATTTAAAAAAATACATAATTAAATACTAGTAAGATATAGGCCATCATAAACTAGGCGGCCGTTGAAAAGGAAAGTTGTAAATTATACTGTGAACCAGCCGTACAATAATTTATGCCAATTTTGTAAACATTCACTGCGTTACATCTTTTCGCAGATAATAAAACTAGTTCATTATAAGTCCATTTTGACTATAGAATATATATTAATAGCATGTTTTGACTAGAATTTAAAACATCGAAATGATGTGATTATTAATAGATATACTAACTAACTAGTTCATAGTATTTAAGTCGATAGTTTTCGCCTAATCGTGTACGCCTGATACCAAAATCCCGTTTTAAATATATTGTTATCTTTTTTTTGTCGAAAATGATGACAGAGATGACGATATGTTTTATACAGAGATATTGATCTTAAAAACCAACGGTATGCAGTTACAGATAGAGATCTTACAAATTTATCGTTTTGCGTCTCAAAAAATGAGACAAGGAAAATTTAAAGATTTTTTTTGTAAAATTGAATGTTCTAAAGAAATGGGGACTTTGGATTCCCATTGCATACCACAACGCTATTCCAATATGCTCAACACGGCTCCGGTTGAGCGAAATTTCTACGCCCCCCCCCCCTTTTTACCATACCTTTAAGGTTTAACCCTTAACATGGTTACTTACGTGACACCGTGTGGCGCACCTGTGGCGCCCCCTTTCTGTACAGTCCTATCCTAGCTCCAATACTGGCTCTACAAAATGGCATAGCAAAAACCAATTTAAGTTATTGTTTTTTGAATTATACCATGGTCTAAAAATAAGTTGCTATATCTCTCTCTCTCCCTAGCTTGCATCCCACAAGGTGGTGGGGTCAGCTTTCCCAATCCGTCTCTTCCACTTCGCTCTGTCCATGGCATCTTCTTCTGAGACTTGGCACTCACTCATGTCTTGCTGTAAGTGTAAGTTGCTATCTCTATTTGTCAAATTATGTATGACATTGCCGTTAATATAACTATTATGTTAAAACTCGACCTAAGACATAATATGTTGTCATCTATATTGTTTTTTTTTACCGGGTAGAGATGGAATGGTACATGAGAAAGAGTGCAATGGTTTGGAGCGTGCAGTCCCTAGTGCTAATCTTTCAAAAAAGTATACATTAACTATGTAAAAATCACAATCTTAGATTTTTCTTATTCAGATATGAGACTGGAAATACGTTAAAAAAACTTTATAGAGACAATTTTACTAGTTGCTCGTTACTATTTACGTAATATGGCATATTCTCTTCGATACATTATGTAACTACATATTTCCGTAAATTTATTTTAGGACAGGAGTATATACGCCATTATATCAATAATAGCTGTTATTTGCATAAATGTTGTATGAATTTTCGCAAAATAAATGTTTGGGGCAATAACACGGTAATGAGGTGAAAATTAAAGTGATAATTAGTGTTGAACGACTTTGAAATTAGCGAATGATAATGGAGGGGACATGTTTATATATTTATTGAGCAACGTACACTAATGTTGTATTTGAATAACAATCATATTTGCTAGATTGTCGGTAATTCGACCCATGGCAGAAAAAATGAAACCAAGTTGCATTATTACTAGAACAAAATATGATATAATGCGGTAAGTAGCTTCTTTTATTTTCTTAAAATCGCTGATTGATAGCGCATAATATCAAAAATAAAACAAAAACAATTTAACGAACCTTACGTTCTTTTTAAAGAAGGTTAAATTTTCAATAATATCTAGGTAGAGTAAGTAATAATTTTGAATATACATAATATGTCTATGTGTACCATACACTTTCGGTAGCTTGATTAGTGTTAAAATTTATCATGTTACATTTCTTATAATAATTCATTTTGCAACATGCAGATGTGATGTGTTGCCGGAATTTCTTTAACGGTATATTACCATATTGTAATATGTATGTGAATACCATTGAGCGGCTAAATGTATTAGGTATGGGTATTAACCTCGTCGCAGGCGCAGAGCAACGTATCGCGGTCACCACGACCGGCGCATGCGCATACCCCCCTCTTCCTGTGCTCTCCCCACTCCGCACCAACAAAGTCACACTTTGTTTACCAATTGCTGCGATTGACGAGATAGTCGGTCGGTCGGCCATACCGACGTCGCTCGCCCGCGTTCGTTTATTATTCGCCACTCGCTAGTCGGTCGCAACGACGGCGACATCAATCGGCGCGTTATGACCCTGTGACGAGATAGCATGAGTAAAGCCGATACCTCGGCGGAAGCCGCCTTGTCGAGCGTGGCCGTCCACGTAAATCAATACAATGAGCCGGACGAGGAGCACTCCAAGCTGCTCGAGCCGCAGTCGCTGACACCGACCGTGACGCCATCTGGACAAATACGTAAAGTTAAGAGCTTCACCGATACACACAAAATCCGCGATGTAAGTGCCGCTTCTGGTGCGGCGTCCGCACGCTGCCTGCGCCCCTACGAACAAGTGACTCCGTACCCTGAAGGTTCTGAAAGTGGGACCAATCAATATGGAGCACCATCAGTACGATCCCTCGCGTCCATCGGCATGGGCTGCACAGACGGACGTAAAATGGTCATCAGAAGAGTGCCAACGTCCCCCACGGAGTTGTTCCACTTAGTACGTCCTCCTACGTAAGTAGTTGCGCGGATATTACATATTACATGTTGCTATTATTATTCAATTGTCTTAACCAACAACTGTCCCTGCATTCTGAACCAGACGTTAGCTCAAGACAAATACAAATATCCTTACATCGTCTTACATGCAGACCATGCGCTCACACAACTTTAGGTTTAATGCTAAAGTATCGTAGCAAAATTGTTGTGACTTTAATTCAGTGAATTGCCAGTTTGCATAACATAACCTAAAATTACCTGTCGCGTTGTTTTAGTGTTGTTAAAATAAACAATAGCCAGTCCGTCTTCTCAATGAAATAAAAACAATCAATTGATTTTTCCAAACATGTAACACATAATTATAAGCACAATCTGAAGTTATTTTTACAATTATAGGTGTACCAAAACTAAGTATCATTATTATTTCCACCTCACTTATGAACTGAATGAATGACGGTATGGCAAAAATAATAATTTCTCTACAATCATAATGAAACGGTTAGTCAAGTAAGTCGCTACGTAAATTTTAAAACTAAGGAGTGTACATTACATATTTTTAAAACAAATCGAACGGTCAGCCTTGAAAAAACACGATCGCTTGTAACATGATCGATATGAGATAATAAATACTAAAACTAATAATGTGTAGTAAAATTATACTAGTTATCTTTTCAACGTTTGATTATTCAATAAATAATAATAATTGATTCGGTATAAAATGTTTCAATATACTTTTATAAAAAAAATAAGTGGAGAATAAATAGCAAAAGTACCGAAATTATAAGAAAGTTGTGATTTAAATTTTGCTCTTGCTGAATGAGCAAAATTGTCCATCGGTTATTTTATTTGTAAATATGTTCTATTTTAAACTAATGTGTTAAGGATGTGGAAATGGCTGCGAGTCGAAGCAATAATTTTTTACTTGCACAAGGGAACTGTTAAATCGTCAGTCGTGACAAAGGACGAGCAAATTTGCCACCGGAAAAGTAGGATGAGGGTCCGTTCGGCCACTGCTATGCATACTTTATAAGACTAGCTGTTGCCAGCGACTCCGTCCATGCAATGTTATACATCTTTGCCAAATTACAGTGAGATCTATGCAGCAGTTCTAGAAATACCTTCTAACAAACATCCAAACATTCGCATTTATATTATGAAGATTTTAATGGACCAAAAACTTTTGTAATCATTATTAAATTATAATTGCCCCGCTCCATATTTAGTTTTTACTGTGCTGGCAAAACTGAGAATTGTACAGTTCAAATTAAGCATCTGTAGCGTGCTTTAATTTAAGTAGTACGAATTATCTTACTAATACAACTTACATTTTGTCAGTTGCAATTGTTAGTTGTTAGCATTACTTGCGTAATTATAAAACTTACTACACTCAGAGTCAATGTAGACTTCTTCTATTCTACTAATCCTTTGGTAACAATAATATAAGTGCAGCAATAACTCTGAAACACGGAAAACTCATTCTAATTCTAAAGACGAAGAACTCGAATGATTTTAAAGCATCCATAAAAATAATTTGTTTAAACAATATTTGTACTCTACTTGTACATCTGTTTGAAGAAGTTATTTAAATTAATCTACGTCTAGACATCTTTTGTTATTTGAAAAACTCACGTTTATTGATTTGTGTCAGTAGTATAAAGGCTATAAAATATTTATTTACATCCTTATTTCTATGAATACATAAACTCTTAAACCTGTGATATAAAATAAAATTTAAAAAAAAAAACCGAATAATTAACTAAAATATGTTAATAAAAGGAGTCCCTTTAGGCAAGGTCCCGAAGATACTGGCAGCGTTCCCCCTCTGTACAGCTAAACTAATTCTTTCTTTCTTTTGTTATTTAATTAACTCAGTTTTTAGTTATAACTACAGTACCTACAAGATAAAGAATGTTTCAAATGACAGTTACCTTTTCACTAGTCTCTTGGCTTCGAGGTGTCTATTTATCTGCAGTTCGTATTACAATAAAACTGCATAACCAGAGCGAGAAACTGATTCCCACATTTGTATTTCGCATTTGAAATTAAAATGAAGACCTATAGAGTGATTAGACACGCCTAGTAAGTACACTAGTAACATCTAAGTTTATCCGAAGCAAACGTTGGATAAATCAAATCTTTACTCTTTATATTTAAAGAAAAAAAACATTACTTATTAATTTATTACAAATTACAATCCTGTCATCTTTGACTAACCTTAGTTAATAAATCCGGGAAATAATAACAACCACCTTTGGGATAAATATTGGCAAATAATGTCTATTCCACTTTGTATTCTATGACATCATGCTTCATATCCATTGAATATTTGCATGTATTTAGTATGCATTCAATAATAGAAGACCAGAGCTTATCCACTGTCCTGGTAAATATTACTTTAACTCTATTTAGAAGACGTATTCATATGTAAAAATGTGGTTGAATCATTAGTGGACATTATTATAAGTCTTTACAACTGGACATATGTAGATTACATTGTAAATTGGTTATTAGTATGCACTCTGACACTGCTAGTTCCACGAATGTTCTCGAAGCATGCAAAATTCTCTTTATAATATGGCTTATATTTTCCGTTTTTCTTCCCTTTTAAGATAGTATCCTATTTTCGGATATTGAAGCGATTATGTCCAGAATTATATTGTGCATTATTAATTGAAAATACATTTTAAAATTAATAACGTTAGTGCTTGCATAAATATCGAAATGCGTGTAGTAGCATAAACGTTGTTTCCATTTTTACATAAGAAGCGGATAATAATAGATTGTCCTTGTTTCTTGACGACATTTTGATGTAAGGCACGAAACCAAGACTGATCTAATATTTTTACGTTATTTAGCAGTTATTAAATCTTACTAATTTTATAAATGCGAATGTATAGATGGATGGATGAATGTTTGTTACAAGGTACGAAATCTGCCACAGATGTAGAACATAGCCTGGAAGAATATAAGGCTGCTAATTCAGTTTTTTTTTTAATCCCGCACGGAAGGAGTCTGGGGCGACATCTAGTCTATTCATAAAAGTAATCTATGGTAAAAAAAATTGAAGATTGAATAGCACAAAATATTAAACATTGTATTGTTACAATGTTAACGACGATGGCTAAACTAGCCTTGTGCCAGATCACTTGTCCTAATTAGTTTTTTTATATTTTTGAACACTTGCTTTCGAAATAAACGCTATTTGCAAAATTAGTGGAACAAAAAATAATTAAATTGAAAGATATTTGTATAAAAATATCAGAAATTCCTTTTCATCAGAAAAGATTTCCTTTGCAAATTATTTTCTATTATTTTTAACGATTTGGCAGATTTCCTAATTATGCCCGTCTGATGATGATTGACAGACTCTACCAAGTATTTAAAATTATAATTTTCATTATTGACAAAGACTATAGAAGTAAAATGAAACATCGAATATTAATAGACCATTATATTCATCGACCAGTCTTAATATTTTATCGATAATTATATGATGTACCAATTTTCTTATACAACATTCCCAATTATGCTTTTTCGTCTAACAAGTACATCATTAGAGCGTACACTATTACCTTGTTATTAAGTTTTTAACGCGCTAGTGAGAAGTATGAGTAATTTATACCAACGCCGTTTACATAGTTAAAGATTTTAGTACGATACTTCGATTTCATTCATATATTTTTCTTGAAAATACTTAATAAAATGACGTATAATTTAAAAACCTTATTTGTTGGTATTGTAGTAACGTACCGGATCATTTTAAATCTGTGCGATTAACTACAATAGGTGTATTGTTTTACAATCAACATGTGGTTAGTGTACTATCGTCAATAATTAAAAGCGGTATCTATAAAACAAAACCTAATAACAATGATGTATTTATACCTATATCTACTATAATAATCGTACTAATATTATAAATGCGACCGTTTAGATGTATGGATGTTTATTAGAAGTTATGCCAAACAGCTCTACGGATCTCGATAAAATTTGGCACAGATGTAGAGCAAAGTCTGGAAGAACACAGACTATTTTTTAAAGTCCTCGCGGAAGGAGTAGCAGGCAATAGCTGTATTAGTACAAATAGAAGTTCGAGCCATTATATAGAACACTTTATGTCCTAGTAAATAGAAGTTAAAAATGCCTATTACCATGTATGCCTATGCCCACTACCTACAAAAGTTTGCATACGATTTTGTTATAGATACCTAGATAATCAGTGTTTGATTATTTTATGTCATTTTGAGCATAATTCTATAAATATAACTCTTGTGAGTTTCAAATGATTCACACATGTCATTCTATTTCGCCGACGAGAATGCAATGGGATTTAGTTGCATGAATTGTGAAACGATAAACATACAATTCTTAGACGATCCTTAAATCCTAGCTTAGTTGTGGGATTTGGTCGAAATGACCTTGATGTTGGCGGCCGATAACGTTGCATGTTTTTATCTGCTCCCGCGTATCAAAATTCAGAAACACAATTGATCGTGCGCTAGCTCTTATCACTGCCTATTTGATAATGATTTTAAAAAACGTTTACATACTTACCCGTTGACAGGTAAGGATTACCCGCCGTCCCAATAATACTAAAACATTTATTCACCTGCATGAGATAGGTAATAGACTACTTTATCTTTTTTTCTAATCATAATAGACGAGTAATGCAAGTAATATGCATTAAAATCTTGAGTCATATTTATCCCTACCGTCTCTACCTAAAAAAGAAGGTACCTGAATTAAATTTGTAAAGACAATATAATGGCTAATTCTTGGTGCCTGCACATCTGATATCCAATAGAACATTTCAGTATGTATGTAAGTGGTAAATTCAATCAAACTTACCTTTGTCGTCCTAATAGCAGCTACAAACTGAATAAAATCGTCTTAATTCTATCTAAATTATTTCGTACGATAACAATCATCAAATCAATAGTTAATGACTCTAAATGACAATAATAGCATACAATACGTGATCTGAAAGACTGGAAAAAGACAATGACATTTTAGAAGGAGGCTAAAAAATGAACAGATAATTGACGTTTGAATTTCCGGTTACTTGACGAGAAGAAATACATTGGTCTATGAAGTACTCCTTCAAAACGGTTTGTCGCGACAATTTTTATTATAAAATACCGCTCCTCTTTGTTTTATTTAACATACAAACACAAAATTCAAGGCTAACGACAAGCATGTCCAAAGAATATGTGAATTAAAATTAATATGTATTAAAACGTCGCACATTTGAAAAAATACTTAAGGAACATATCACAATATTTTTTATTAGTAATGCAGTGTACAGCCGTATATAAAACTAACATAAATCACAGTTAAATACAACAATTGCATACAAAATGAATATAGAGCTAGACGAAGCAGTCATTAAGAGCGACAGACATTAATCTGCTAAGCTTTACGACCTTCCTTTAATCTAAAACATGTAACGGACATCCATCTTAATCCAAACAACTTTCAGTGCTTATCAAAGTCTATTTGCGTATATACGTGTATAGACAAGATGCGGAATTTTACACTATATATTAATTACGTAATATCCATAATCTATTTACAGCTGCTCTTTACATATTACAAGTCTAGCTGCCGCCCGCTACTCGGTCCGCGCGCATTTAAAAATGACTTAAAAAACAAAAGAGCCAGACTATGTTCCAAATTTCATCGAGATCCGTTGAGTAATTCTGATATCGTCAAACAAACATCCATCCATCCAAAAATTCGAATTTATAATATTAATTAATAGTAAGGTAAAAAATATATATCTACAGTATCACTATTTGTATGTTTCTAGACAAATATTTACGCGCTTGTCACTTAATTAACGGTTGATTAATTTTCACCATAGAAATTTATCGCTGAAGGCGCCATTCAATTCTTTTAGTTAGACTTCGTCTGAACCCAGCACACTCGGCTTTAAAGTTAGCTACAATATGTTACGGCTTTAGAAACCTAATGTGACTAATTGTAGTAGACAGACATTTCTAATTTCCATTTAGAGATTTCATATCGCACCACTTTAGCTTCTTCTCTATCTATATATAATTATATGTACTTATCGTTTGTGGGTTTATTCGGGGACGTGACAAAACTGTCACTTTTTATTTATATAATCAAGATGAATTTTTATTATAATTTTTATTCATTATTTAATCAATGAGTGACATCATTGTTAAATATTGAAAGTATCAAAACAAAACGATCGGAAATACTTATCTTTATATATTATTTTCATTCTTAAAAAAATGATAAAAAGATATCTCGTAACATGCTACCGTTCTATCCCACAGTGTAAATTTAAAAATTAATGCCAACTTCAATTTCATTACAATCCATTTTATTCCATACTCAAGGTAGTTTTGGGTAACTCAAAATTGGTAAAATAGTTTTCACCACAACATAAACACCTTAAAAATATAAATATATATAAAATCACCAAGACCCAAGGCATCACTGTCAAGTTATGGCTGTAAAAAATACTTTTATATTAGAAAAAAAACAAATAGAAAATTTACGTTAAAAATACTGCTAAAATATTTTTAAAATAAATATAATTTAAATCGCATTCACTTATAATATTGTCTCAGTTTGTATCTGATAAATCTTGACAGCTCAGCCACGATGTTATATTTTCTAATCTTCCATGAAAACGTCAACCACTTAATATTATTTCAAACATTTGCACTTGAATTTTAACGATATCGCGTTATCTACCAATTTAAATAAGATAAACAAATGTCAACGTAACGTACATTTTTATATTCATAATAAATAAATAAATATTAAATTGTAACAAATTTCTCGATTTACTGTGAAATCCCACTCTTGAAACGCTTACAAAGACATATTTCCATCCTTCTCATTTTCATAAAAAAAGCTGTGATAACAATATGTTTTCGTATCGAAGTTTCGTAAATGCAAAGTTAACAATACACATACATCAGTATCTAGTTCCACAAAGCTTAAACGAAGCTACCAAGTTACTTACGAATGGTCTTGGTTGGCTGAACAGTAGTTTATCACTGAATTACGGCGTACATAACGGTGTTCGCCAGACCAGGCCATCACACAGGACGTCACACGTCAATACCACACCCAGTTTAAGTTTTCTTAAACATTGCATTTAATTTTATTGTGTAAAAGACTTACACATTAAAGCCCGCTGGATAGATGATAGATGGTCGATACCATCAGTTTAAACTGTACAGTTAAAGCGAATTTATGTAGAAAAAATTTAAAATGTACAGCTCTCAGTTTTGCACTTTTTTACAGTTAAAACTATTCATCTAAAACTAAATGTGTGGGCTTTAAATAATATTCGTAAGGGAAAAGTAATAAACGATATCCAACTTATTTTCCTAAGATTTAAAAACCAATAGTAACTCATTATAATTATTCAAACAAATAGTACTGAAAGAAAGGAAAAACAATAATGACGGTATATAAAACATAATCGTACGTTTACTTCTAGTTATCTTAGTTTGTTCCAAGGTTATTTATGAAGTTTAGAATAGATTATCCAATGTGACGTACATTATGAGAAAAATAATTTATATAATCGTTGTATTATACATACATTGTACAATTAATTACAATAGTACCTGGATGACCGAGCTTTGCTCGGTATTTTTTTTTTTTAAATTGTGTTTTTTGAAAATTGTATTTAAGTACGAATTACTAATAAAATTATGAAATATGAATAATATTTTTCGATCTTACCGATAGAAAATGACTTACATCCTTTGTACATTTACATGAAAAACAAGGTTTAAATATTATTTACAAGTGTTTAAAATATCACTTATACTATTAACAATACTCATTGCATGCTACTCTAATAAAAAACTGATAGTGAGAAAATCTTCCTAAAGAGAGCAATAAGCTTTTTGGTTTCTAAAAGTAATCATCCAACATACTCTACATTTACGTGGTAATAAGAGGGAAGTAGACAATTTAAATCAGAATTATATTTAATCGTCGATCTCTTGAATAATTTACCATCGTGATCAGATTCATTATTGGTAACTAAACATTGAAAGAACAAAGGACTTCTTTAAATCTCACTCACTGTCGGCAAGCCCTTATCCCTCCGGAGGATCTGCATAGTGTGTTATGCTCTTATTGCTCTTTCGATTTTTGTATTGTAAAGGTATATCATTGCAAACTGTTCGTAGACCTCCTGATGAAGACACCGCATCACACGAGAGCGACTGTGATGAAGAGGAAGAGGACGATGAGACGGTGCACCTGAAGCCACGCCGGCCCTTCTGGGCCAATAAGATACAATTCGTGCTCGCCTGCGTCGGTTACTCCGTCGGCCTCGGAAACGTATGGCGCTTCCCATATCTTTGCTACAAAAGTGGTGGTGGTAAGATATATAAATTAATGAACTTCTAAATGAGTATACATAAATATTAAAACTTAAGTAATTTAAAATCTAATTCATGTCTAGGTACAGTTCTTAACTTATATGCTAAGCAATTTGGTTAAAGCGAAATTAACGAAAGCGAAACAGATATTTATAGAAAAAACATATCTGTATTATGTCATTTATTATAAAGATAAATGTAATTATTGTTTTAATCATTAATTCAGTTTTAGATATGAATAATTATAAAATATCTTTAAAGTAATATTTAAGGAACATTTACAACGCTTACCAACAAGAACACTACGTATGGTAGAGCTAAAAGCACAGTTGCGTCAGTAGCAAGGGGCGTTTAATTGTAATACATCAATGGCATACTAATACCATATAGAATTAGAAAAGTAATTCGTAACGTCTTCTAAAGTAGACTTTTGCGAAGGAGTGGGTTATCAGATAGAGTCGAGGACGTTTATTACTTACCCATTTCGGTAAAACGTTTGTAGCTTTGCTAATAGGTCGAAAATTCGTCATAGCATACATATGAACAAGGCTATCTGAACCGGTGGGCATAAGTCAAACTAAATTATGACAGCTCACTAGCGCCTCTTTGTATTGTCAAAAATGTCACAAGATCCACCGCATTCTGTAGATACTGTTAATTTCTGAGACCTAAGTCACCGTTTCAAATATATTGTTATCTCTGTTTTGTCAAAGATAACGACAGGGATGACGATATGTTTTATACATAGATTTTGGTATCAGAAACCCACAGTTATAGTAACTGTAGTACAATATTCGATCCTAATTGTGAACTACATGGTCCAAGTTTTTTTACTCTATTGACCATGTATTACGTTACAAGTTTATTTCATGTTAAATAGTTCGATACGTGACAGTGTACTTAATCAAAATGTAACATACAATCAATAACAGTAGAGTCAGCGGCCACACCTACAACTTTTGAGATATTGTCGTGATAGATAAATTCACAACAATTAATATTCAGATCGTAACAAAGCATGTTTACGTCGTTTTGCATAAATGTGATACATAATTTGACACGACTTGACGGAATTCGCTAACATGTTAATAGCGAATACAAGTGTTCTTAATAAATCGTGACAATATTATTAGTGATATATATTGTCAAAAAGCTGCTTTACATTATATCTTACTCTTGCTAATATTATAAATGGGAATGTTTAGATGGATGGATGTATGTTTGAAGGTATCTCCGGAACGTCTCAACGGATCTCGATGATGACATACATATAGAATGTCTGGAATAACACATAGGGTACTAATTATGTATTTTGTTAATTACGCGCGGAAGTAGTCGCCAGCGATCACTATTCTATAATATATACAATAAGTTTATAATACATAGCACTAAACTAAGCGGCCGATATTAGATATAACTAGCATTTTCCGCATCGATAGCATTTTATCAATTATATATTATATACCAAACATTGTGATAAACGTGAAACTGTAAATAACTCTTTGAAATTAACCGGCATTATATTTATTTTGCAAAAAAATAAATTATTGCACACTTCCCTAATTACGACTAAATAATCATTCACGACTATAACTAGGAAGGCAAAAGATTAATTACAACTACGTTCCTAGTACACTACTATCGCTTCTTCTAAATCCATATTGTCTTTGCATAAATGTTGTCGATTACGTTGATTAGAACCGATATTACCAAAACCGATAATTAACAAATGTCTTGATAGTATAAGATAGATATAAAAATATTGTATCTACATTTCTAATGTAGAGTAATACAAATACTGCTTCACGAGTTCCTAAGAATACGAGCGAATATGGACTCACAGAATCTAAAGAACTGTCGTGCATCTCGTCTCAGTGTCAATGGAGAGAAGTGCCGCGAAGTAGAATCTGCAAGGCGATACGTCACGCCGCCGCTGCCGTCTCGCTCGCCTCCACTCGAGATATCAAATGATTTATTGCTTTGATTTGTTGATACGTCATTAATTTAAGTACACAAATATAGAAATGGAACCGATACCAATAGTAACGTTGCTTTATCGCGAAAGTATTTTAAAACCATAGATATTTGCGATTAACGATAAAAAAAGGTTGCATAAATCCATTGATTGGACGGTCACGCGGTGTGACTAACATCTCTGAGAATATGATGGCATTAGATTTATTCACGATATGTGCTAAGCCAATAATTCATGTTACTTCCTACGCAACTCCGGATGTCCGATGACGTTTAAAAATACTACAAACATGGTCTTATTCATTGGCACAAAGCATTGTTGCAAATATGAATTCGTTTAAATAAACATTAGTCATTTCTTAACTAACTAGTAAGTTATACCTATTACGTATTTATGAGTAAAACCGCTAAAGATATAAATTACGATTAGATTAAACAATATTTGTTATCGATTGTATTATTTTTTTTATATTCTAACCACAAATTCTGTGTTATGCAAAATATTGCACACGTTCCATATCATGCCGTCTCTGTCTTTCCTATTCAAATATCACCTTGCTCACAAGGCACAAGTCACAACTAAACTGGCGAATCACAAAGCGTCTCGAATGACTGCAACACGCGCCTAAATAATTTAGTAAACGCCGGCTTAATTACGGCAGTTCCTGTAGGTCAATTCGTTGATATGAAGGATACAATTGGTCTTGTAATTACGCTATTACAACGATCAAGAGCAATGTCATATTTAGCTAGAACACTCATACAAGACAAACAATAACAAACAAAATAACAACCTCAATTACAAAAACTAGCCTCTATTTCAATATTAAGCACATCTTAAAGTAGTTCCTAGATTACTATATAAAAGTAATCATTAAGTCGTTGAAATAAACGAATCCGGTACTGTATAGATATTATTCATATAGTCTCTTACGTCCTTAAAACCGGAATGCAGAAATAAACGACGAGGTCCTTCAAAACGAACTCTTCCGAGATAGGTTCTTACTACAGCTTTAATTATTGTGGTATATCGCGGATGAATTAAATTCCATCATTAACCGTTGGTTTCTGAGATCACAATCCCTGCAAACATATAATCATCCCTATCATTATCTTTGACAAAACAGAGATAACGATATGTTTTAAACGGGGATTTTGGTCTCCGAAACCCTGTTGGTAAAGTATATCTTCATAAAATGCTATGACGTATAATTTATAAAAATATATTTATCGTTGTATTTCAGGTGCTTTCCTGATACCTTACTTCATAATACTGTTAGTGTGCGGAGTTCCCATGCTCTTTATGGAACTAGCTGTGGGTCAGTACACAGCGCACGGTCCCATCGGCGCATTGTCACAAATATGTCCACTGTTTAAAGGTAATTTGAACACCGTCTATCACTTATCATATACCACGCCCTATTCTTGGTATATTTATTGTAAGTAATAAAGAATTAAAGATAACCAAACGGCTGTCTGGGTAAAAAGAATTATTATTCAGGAACTGCAAAGAAAACTTGATCAATACAATTTCGAAGGTTTATCGTAATTCGGTTTTGTACTATTTAACGTTATCGTGTTATGACATCACTTCTCAAAATGGGTTTTTTCATATTATGATGGATGCAAGTATTAAAATGATAATCTAGTGCAATAAAGTGACAACATTTGTATTGGAAAATGATTTGCCCTCAAAGTAACATTTGATAATTTCCAGGTGCCGGACTGGCGAGCGTGGTGATCTCTTTTCTAATGTCCACGTACTACGCGGTAATAATAGCATGGGCTATCTATTATTTCTTCACGTCGTTCAAATCTGAAGTGCCATGGGCGAGCTGTTCTAACCGATGGAATACAGCGCAATGTTGGGTGCCATTCCACAACCACACCAAACCCAACGGATCTCAAACGCCTACTGAGCAGTTTTTCGAGTAAGTCTTTAATTAAATTATTGGATTTAAATATATTAAAATAATTGAATAGGGAAAAATGACATTTTACCTGGGATATATGGTTTGCAAAATGCCAATTCACTTTTCAAGATACAATAACTTATTAACTTACTTAACTAGGACGATTAAAGCATAGCTTGAATATAAAATCTGTACTAAATAGATGAATGTTTTAACTGAGATAAAGATTGTTACTATAAGCAAAATCAATACGTAAGAGACACTATTGCACACTTTTATCTTTTTATTTAATTTTCCAGAAAAAAAGTGTTAAACATAAGCGACGGCATTGAATTTCCCGGTGGAATGCGATGGGAACTGGCGGCGTGTTTAGTATGCGCGTGGGTGTTGGTGTACTTCGCACTTTGGAAAAGTATCAAATCATCTGCAAAAGTACGTTACATAACCACGACGTTGCCGTTCCTCTTGATCATCGTGTTCCTAGGACGATCATTAACATTGGACGGAGCGGACAAAGGGCTAAGGTTCTTCTTCAAGCCGGACTGGGAACTTCTCAAGCAGTCTAGGCCCTGGGTGAATGCAGCTTCGCAAATTTTCAATTCAATTGGCATTGCCTTTGGCTCTATGATTATGTTCGCGTCGTACAATCGCTTCGACAACAACTTCTTGCACGATACTGTAGCCGTTTCGCTGGTAAACGCAGTGACAAGTCTTATTGTGGGCATATTCACATTCGCCACCATTGGAAATATTGCATTCGAACAGAACACCAGCGTAAAAGACGTCATTGCTGATAGTAAGTAATCACGTTACAAAAGTTTAACGTTATATAATATTTTTAAATTTTTATTTAATTCTTTCTTTGTTTTTCAGGCCCTGGTTTACTCTTCGTCGTATATCCACAAGCTATAGCCAAAATGCCAGCGTCTCAATTATGGGCTGTTTTATTCTTCTTTATGTTCCTATGTCTAGGTCTTAACAGTCAGGTAATCACTTATTTTTTGTCTCATTTTTAGACTTATTTTTGTTTTTAAGACTCAATTGAGGTTAAGAATTTTATTTCATTCCAGTTCGCAATAGTCGAAGTGGTGGTGACGTCGATACAAGATGGTTTCCCCGATATGATACGAAAGAGACTGGTGTATCACGAACTGCTAGTTCTTTGCGTATGCATGGTCTCCTTAATATTTGGTATACCGCATATAATACGAAGCGGTATATACGTGTTCCAGCTGATGGACTATTATGCAGCTTCGCTCAGTATTACATACCTGGCTTTCTTCGAAGTGGTCGCCATTGCATGGTTCTATGGTGTGGGTAGACTTTCGAGGAACATTAAGCAGATGACAGGTAAATAAATTCATTTTTAATAAATTTTTCTTATATAAGGTGGCAAAATAGAAAGCAGCATCTAAATATGCCTAAATAGGGAAAGAACCGCTGCCCATAGACATTCTCATTTGCACATACTTTGCCTCAATTTATTCAACGTAAGAGGGTACGCACACAAAGAGGACATTTCCCCTTCCCATACGTCCTCGTAAAATTAGGCTTCCGGCGCGCACACTCGTCAGAGGAAACGCGAAATTACTTCCATTTGACTTCTGTCTTCTGTGTGGTCTTGGTACTTCACTGGGTGAGCTGGCCCATTCGTGCAACAGAATGTTAATGTTGCTGCGTCAACCACTTTTAATTCCATTTACATGAAAAATCTTAACTTAGTACATCGTTTAACAGTAAAGTGTTATATTGCCACAATTGGCTATTGCTACTTTTAAGTAGTTATTAAAATAATATGAACCTATGTAAAAATTATATCACAAAAAACACTATCTGATACATTGGCTGCACCGACATAATGAATGCGTTTTTATATTTAAACAAACTTACCTGATTAAGATTTTATCAGGGCGATGAAGAGTACTAAGAAAAATTGCTTGAGTATTTTTATCAGGGCTTAACATAAGCTTAAAATATTTTCCAACACAATACCAAATACAATGAAAACAAGTTTTTTCTTGATATATGTGGATATAGTTATTATTTATACTGTATGTCATAAATCATCAGGGAACGTTTTTATTTAGTTGTATTTAGTCTCGGATTTTAAATGTATTTGCGTACATATTGTGTCTCCATTGTTCGTCACACGGCTTTGTTTGAGTACACAATTTATATCGGACATCCGCTCTGAACATATAAAAAAATTATCAACTTATCTTCTTCATTCGTATTGTTAAAGCTATCTCCTTATCACAATGCTCATCATAATGTTAACGATATGGCCTAAAATTTCACTCAGTTTTAATGAAATAAAATTGCAAACAAATCATACTAAAATTTATTAATTACGATATCATATAATAACATCATTTTTAATTATTCAATAATACTACGAACTGATAACATTTAACTGTATCTTAATTTGTTTTCGACAAAACAATTTTGAAGATGCTGTGAATAACCTAAAGCGGAGTCGTCTCGCGTGTCCGTAACTATCATAAAAGTAAGGTCACCTCTTAAACCCGTTATCCGATACCTACGCTTACTCGTAATAAAAAAAATGTTGCCCATTTCCGTTCGGCTTCGGCTTCAAGTACGATTATTGCTAAAGGGCGCGGAGTGTGATCTGGCTTCTGCCAATTGGGACAGTGCAATAATGTTAAAAATGTTACATTACGTACGTTAATGTTTGCAGGTCGTTGTCCGTCGCTGTACTTCCGTTTCTGCTGGCTGGTGGCGTCGCCGGCGCTGCTGCTGGCGCTGTGGGTGGCCAGCCTGGTGGACTACACGCCGCCCAGCTACCGCCAGTACCCGTACCCGGCGTGGGCGCAGGTCCTCGGCTGGACAATAGCCTCGCTCTCCTTACTCTGCATCCCGGTCTACGCTGTCGTCGTTATCGTTAGGTCGCCCGGCAACTCTTGGAGAGAGGTATGGGTGTTAGTTTAAAAAATGACGCAGGCTAACCCTGCATAAGCAGTTCTGCAACACCTGTAAAAAACTTAGTTTTTTCAAACAGAAATACGATTGTATGTTTTTCTTGCATGGTGTATTTTTGATATTTTTATTGATTGACTATTGTTATATTGAACTTAATATCGATCGTTTCAATTTCATTTCAGAAATTTCGCAATTCAATACGACCGACGTTTATATGTGACTGCGGCATCAACGGTTGTGACATTTGCTGCTCGGATTCGGAGCCGCCTGACGACAAAACAACAATCAACTAGTCCATTATTTACACAATTTATTTTTAGTATTTAGCTATAATAACATACTCGCTACACCTAACTACTGAGAGAGTACTCACCTCACCTTCCCACTTAGCGATATCAAAAGCAAACAAGACAAAAAGATAATAAGACGAGACATTCTTCCATCATAATTATCATTAATTTACAAACAAACGTACTCGACCTAAAACTTATGTTCTTGTAATAGTAACATAGTTTTCTATACTCGAATTCAATGGGTTATAGATATTTCAAGTACAAACAGATCTGTTGATCACGTGTTGGGAACATGCTAGTTATGTACATGTGTATACAATGTGAACAATATTATACAAGGTAATATTAGGTACAATTCTACTAAAATAATTTCCTCAGATAACTTACAGCGACACAAGGAAAGGACAAAACGAAAACTGACGATGTCAATCAACTTGTTTAAAATTCATTGCAAATACCAGTGACTTTGTGAAAAGCATAGTTTTTAATTTATTTTATTAGTGTGGGAATAACTTACATGTCCTTATCGATGTTACCATTGAAAATCTTAAAGATATTTTACCACATTCTTTCTTCTTAAAAAAGATATAACTTTATTAACTAATAGCCGATAGGTATACGATATATAATTATATTTATTTGTATATCAATTCGAATATTTTAACCTTGACTTCCCCATTGCTATTTTTCGTAGAAAATACCTACATTATGTAACTAAAATAATAACATTTGATGTCTACCCTGTATTTAATACAATTCATGTTTTGTTTCAGAAACAAATTATTTTTTATTCATAAAAATATTAAATAGACTTATTAGTAAACTGCCAATGTTTATAAAATGATAAAACTTAACATCTGTGATGAAAACATTCCATTACTAAGATTGTGTTTATATACGAATAGATATATTAATAGTAAATAAGTATTTATTCTTAGTAAATTAACACACAACTTACTGAGTGTAATTTTAAAAATCCCCGCTGAAAACCAGTACATAGTTTTTATTCCTTTAATTTCTATTGTTAACATTTTTTCCTGTTTTATTTTAATTTAAATACCAGTGTCTGTAATAAACTAAATTTAGTTATATTAGTTAGTTACTTTCAACTTATATTGCATATTAAAAGTACATTACAGTTAAATATTAACTTGTAAAATCATGAAAGATATTTAATCTATTTAGTGTAAATATTTTGAACATGTAAATACGAAAGTGTGAAACAGATTGGAATCTAAGAATAATAAAGAAATACATAAAATAATTATAAATGTTTTATTTACCTTTATTGCTTTTATTATTTTTTTATAATAGATTATAAAGAAAATGTTACTATTATATTTCATTTTCTCTCCTTGCAAATGTAAATATATGTGTAAATAAAGACTATAGAGTACAGAAAATACATTTTCACAGTCAAGGCCTTAGCTGATTATTTTTAAGATGATTATTAAATCACCCTGTTTTTAACTCAACAATGCATACAAGGTGATCTAATAATCTATCCTTAAAATGTTCAGCTGCTGTATAGTATTTGAACTTGAACACCTAAAATTATCTAAAAGCCTTTATAAGATCAACTTTACATTAGCAATACTAAGGTGGATTTCCTATATTAAAACATTAATTCAAAAACAGATTGATAATTTTTATAAAGAAAATGAGAGATTATACATTCTATTAAATATGACTATTCCATTTTCTTGTTATCCATTATCTAAAAGGCCCCATTATAACTTTATTGCAATATTCTCTATAAACACTAAATATTAGTAAGGTACTAATAAAATATTAATACAACAGAAATCTCCTTGAACCATTTAATCACATTTTTTTCTTTTTCTTTTTATGATTGAGTGGTGCTTTTTCTACTTCTTCCTCATTTTCACTGTTTGAATCTTCTCCACCTACTTCTGTAAATATGTAGACAATATATCAGTTAGTAATTTTTTTTCTTGTTCTTGATAGATAATGCTTTAGTTTATGCGGTTCCATATTACATTCCATCAGTCAAGATAGAATCAATTTTGAGATGAAGCAATAATACCAAATATGAAGATCCTAAGTTCTAAGATTATAATAAATTGTAGTCTTTGAAGTATTTCTTAAAAGAAAAAATGTTTCACTATTTTTAATTCCTTGTTTCAAGAAGGATCGTCTAGCTATGAAAATTATAACATTTGTAATTGATTAGTAAATAGCTTATTTTTTTAAAAACTTTGTTACCAATATCACCACTGTCTTCTATAAGTTTTGTTAAAGCTTCATTAACTTTAAGCCTAAATTCATTCAACGATTTGTACAACAGATCAGGATCAGAAATAGTTTCCTCCAAAACAGTATCCATGTTTTTACCCTTCTCGGATATAACGCATTTAAGGTTGTGAATCATTTTTACTGTAAAAACGAATTTAATTTAAGATAGATAATATTTCGACGAGGGAAAAATTGTTTTATAGGTTATGTTTTCACATTTTCATTTTTTTTCAATGCGCAAAATTCAGCAAAAGACAAAACATCTTACAGCCATGTTTTATGAAATGTCAAATTAAATTGATAAATTTCCTTGGAATTTAGAATACCAAATTAATTCATTCGTTATTTACGATTATTTATCAGTTGTTTTATTAAAAAAAATAGTAGTTGTATGTTATATAAATTAAATATTGAATATTCTAAAAACTTATTGTTGATCGCAATGGAAAACGGATCTATGCATAATATATCAATTTGTCTTAGAGTTAAAAAAAAGTTAAAATCAGCTGACATTGACAAATGACAAATGTCAATTACCATTTTATTCAACTTAGATCACTGACTTTGTAATGTTATACAAATATCCACAAACCAAAAGTTACAATTCTGGACTTAACTCAATGATTCGAAATGTAGTCAATATATAATATGCGTGAATTTGGAAAATTTGGTCCATTAATAGGAACTGTAGATGAAGGAACATCAAACGTGAAATTTTTGGTACCGGAATTAAAAATATTTACATTGTGGTTTAAATTTGTATATAAATGAAATATAGCATATAAGATTGGTCATATGTTTTAGGTATTCGCAGCTAACACCTCTGAAGTATTAACCTATCATCAGGTAACCTTAAAGCGCTTTAGCCCTCAAGAAGGATGGATAGAACAAGATGCTTTAGAAATTTTAAATGCAGTTTTAGAATGTATTGAGGTAAGATTTAAAAAATGACAAACTCAGTCCGAAAAACTATGTAATTTATTATTATTTACTTTGTATATCATACTCAATTCCAGGTAACTATTGACAATCTCAAAAAATTGGACATTGACCCTGAGGATGTTGTGGGAGTTGGGATAACAAATCAAAGGGAAACAACAATAGTATGGAATTCTGTGACAGGGGAACCTCTGTACAGTGCTATAGGTAAAATAAAAAAAGTTTAAATATCTTCAAAAACCCATTTTTACTACCTACATTATTAAGAATGTTTCTACACCTAGTATTGCTCTAACATGTTACTGTCCTTGTTTGAAGGAGCAAAGTCTAATGCATAATTTACTTAATGGTTTGTGTTCACCATTTATCTCTAAAAATACTATTGTTTCTTTTTTTTTGCTATATATTACAAGACTGCTAGCAAGAAATTTGGCTTTAACTTTATTTAATTCAAAGTCTTCATGTCATATTTAATGTTTATATGTTTTCTTTACTTATAAACTTGTGGATATTTCCAGTGTGGTCAGATGTAAGAACAGCAAAGATTGTGGATGATCTAATCAAAACAAAGGGGGCACAAAGTGTCAATGCCGTGGCTCAAACTAGTGGTCTTCCATTGTCTACATATTTTTCATCAGTTAAGTTAAAATGGCTTCTACAAAATGTCAGTGTCGTACAAAAAGCGGTTGCGGATGGCGAATGTATGGCGGGAACAGTAGATTCATGGCTTATATGGGTAAAACGAATATTACTACTTTCCGTCAATACTAAAAATTTATTTAAAAATCCCTACTAGCTACGAAACTCCAGATACACTAATATAACCTATAGAAAGTCATATATACATCCTCCTTTTATTTTTTAATTATCATTAATCCTGATTATTCATAACAATTGTACCAATATAGATCTAATTTACAATTTTTTTAGAATTTGACTGGGGGCAGCAATGGAGGCGTGCATGCAACTGATGTAACCAATGCGTCGCGCACACAGCTAATGTCCTTACGAAGTTTGCAGTGGGATAAGAGATTGCTAAGATTTTTCGACATACCAGTACAATTATTACCAAAGATAAAAAGTTCCTCTGAAATATATGGCTACATTTCAACCGGACCTCTTCTTGGAACACCAATAGCAGGGGTAAGAGTTTTATCTCACATTCTCTAGTAAACTTCATTTTGAATACATACTAGAAGACATAAAACATTTCACTATCACTCGCACACAAATACTTTTTAATTTTTTTGCAGTGCCTTGGAGATCAACAAGCAGCACTAATTGGACAAAACTGTATGAGATTCGGTCAAGCAAAATGTACCTTTGGTACAGGGTGTTTCTTGTTATATAATACAGGTTTTTTTTTCTATCCTTTAATAAGATTTCTACTCAACGACATTTCAATTTTTTACTGTTCGATATTGTAGTACAAATATATTATGACAGCTGTATCATCACCAAAGTCAACATTTTAATATGTTTCAATGCACCTTAAGCTACTATTTGATTTTAGGAGAATCCATAGTACATTCACAAAATGGCTTGCTAACAACAGTAGCGTATCAGCTAGGCCCAGATGCACCGCCCATTTACGCTCTGGAAGGTTCCGTAGCAGTCGCGGGGGACATGTTGCAGTGGTTGAAAAATGGCTTGGAAATCATAAACGATTTAAGTGATTCAGAAACGCAGGCATCTGAAGTAAGCGATGATGAAGAGAGTCCTATTTGCTTTGTGCCAGCTTTTAATGGATTGTATTCACCGCACTGGAAAAAAGATGCACGAGGGTAAGTTTAGTTATTAAACAATTTTAGCATTTCAGAGAATCTTTACCCTGTTTGTTTCTTACTAGATATGATAGTGATAATAAGCAATGTTTATAGTTTGCATGTTGTGTTCGTGGCAGTATAATCTGCGGGTTGAGCACGAGTACGCGGGGCGCGCACGTATCTCGCGCGGCGCTTGAGGCGGTGTGCCAGCAGGCGCGTGCGGTCTGCGCGGCTCTGGCAGCAGACGGGGCGCCGCTGCGCCGGTTGCTGGCCGACGGCGGCGCCGCCAACAACTCCAGACTTATGCAAATGCAGGCCGACGTTACTGGGATACCAGTTGTTAGTTATATTTTAATCTATATATCAGTTAAATGTGCAATATAAAGAAGGTTTTTATGTCTATTTAAAATACTATTGTAGATACGTCCTCTGATGACGGAGAGCACGGCGTTAGGCGCGGCAGTGGCGGCGGGGCGCGCCCTGTCCGTGTGGCCAGCCGTCACGCCACGCCCGCCCGCCGACACATTCATGCCCGCCATATCTGCTGAAGGTCTGATGAGAAAACTACACCGTAAAAAGCCTTCCAACCTCTATTAGATCATTGCTTTCTTTATTTTTCTATTTTGACGCAATTATTAAAAGAGAAATTATAATTTATAGAGCGTGAAATTCGACGCGTGCGGTGGGAGTCGGCCCTGAGCAGATGTATGGACTGGAGCGGTGAAGATGCAAATAGAAACAAAGTAGAAACAGGTATGTACTATAATTAATATTCTTCCTTAGCAATAAAATGTATGTTTGTGTGCAATTAATATTAGCTGCATAATGTATAAGCTAATAATTAGGGAAGATCAAATTCTTTGTTTTATTGATATTGATATTAAGGGAGGTAGTAAAAAGATAATAAAAGTAATAAATTTAATTTAATTACAGCACACATTAACTATGAATTCATAAATATGTGCCACAATTTGCATACATATTTGGGTATAAAAATCAGTCGTTTTTTTACACAGATGAAGTTGACCACACAACAGCAGTTCTACCATCCGGCCTATTCTTCCTCGGCACCGCTCTGTTAGTGGTCATAGCAGACAAATTAAAAGTTATATAGACAGCTTTAGTTCAAAATAGTCATTAGAAAATATCTCTCGTGTTAGTCAAATCATAACAGTATTATTTCAAAGTAGAATTATAACATGTTATGAAAAATTTAATAAATGTTACACTGACTTACTGCTTTTTATTATATGTTTATCACCAAAAATACTTAAACCTTATGGTAATTTTTATCAGATTTTAAACATTATATAAACATAAAAAATAAATGCTAGCTTGCTACAAATATTTTTTCAAAAAGGTTCATTTCGCAATAAATATACTAACAGTTTCAATTTTCTCTTAAAAATGCAAACGTAATGTAATAAGGATATTACTTATTAAAATATATGTTTAGCATATAATATTTAACGAAAATATTTTAAATGACATCTTAGTATATGACAATCAAAGTAATAATGAGTAACATACATAAAATGTGAAAGTTCAACCTTTAATAACCGCAATGGGCCTTAATTTAACAGTCTTCTTGCTGATACCGGCAGCATGGCAAGTATCGACCACATCTGTCACATTCTTATAAGACTCTGGGGCTTCTTCCATCACAAGCTTAGGTGATGCTACACGAATAGAAATGCCCATACTCTCGAGTTTATTTAAAACATCTTTATAATCTATGTTCCTTCTAGATTTAGATCGAGATAATGCACGACCCTGAAAAATAATAATAAAAAACCATTAAATAAAATTCATAGTTACACAGACTATGTAAAATAAAAATATAACTTGATAATGTATAAATATTTGTTGATATGTTTAAAGTATTATGGATCGATATTAAATAACCTTACTTTAGTTAAATATACTATTACGCAAATTTTTGTCTAACATTGAGAATTCCAATAAAATTTAAGGTATTTCCTGTAAACGAAAACAAGCTAAAAAGCTAACAGTAACTAAATAATTTTAACTATTACATCATATGTGATGATAATTTTCCTTTAATGATGCAATATTATTTTAATATTGCCTTTTTGAGTTAAATTGGGTTTTTTTGGGAATTTAATGTTTAGTACTCTGATTACAAATCAGAACTTTTGTTTTAATACTAATGTGCAGGTTTACTTACAGCTCCATGGCAGGTAGTACCAAAAGTTTCTGTCATGCCCTGTTGAGTTCCAGTGAGGACATAACTGCAGGTGCCCATGGACCCACCAATCAGTACCGGTTGACCTGTCAGTTGGTAATCCACTGGTATCAAAGGATGATGGGGAGGAAATGCTCTTGTAGAGCCCTGAAAAATATTACTATCATGAATACATCCTTTTAATTCCATCTGTTATATTAAACCATATTAAAATGATTATTCAAATTAGGTCTATAAGTCTAAACAGAGAACTAGGTACAATTCCCAGAGCTCCCTTAATGTTAACTTTGTTTTGACCAACATATAGAATAGGGACGAAATACAAATTAAAAAAAAGAAAATTTACCTTTCTATGAACTAGTAACGTCTTCACTTTTCCATCTACAACATGTTCCTCAATTTTAGCAATATTGTGGGAAACATCATAAATCACATGCATGTCTAAATCATCGGGAGCCATTTTAAATTGTTTTGCAAATGCCTGTCGAGTCAAAAATGTCATAGAGCTTCTGTTAACCCATGCAAAATTAGCAGCTGCTGCCATTGCCTTCAGATAATTTTGTCCTTCAACAGAATTTATTCTGGCACATGCCAATTGCCTATCATTTACTTCAATCTTGTCCCTTTTCATTGCCTTTTCCATTTCTACTAGAGCATCCGTAGCAACTTGATGTCCAAACCCTCTACTTCCAGAATGTATCATCACCACAACTTGGCCAGTTCTCTCCAAGCCCATCTTGCTTGCAGCATATTTATCAAATATTTCATCAACCACTTGTATCTCAGCATAATGATTGCCAGCTCCCAATGTCCCCAGCTGGGGTAGACCTCTCTTCTTTGCTCTAAGACTCACTTTTGATGGATCTGCATTCAACATTCTACCATACTCCTCACAATGCTCCTTATCTTCAGCCCAAACATATCCTTCTCTAAGGGACCAATCCATACCCATTTCTAAAGCTTCCTCTAAGTCTCTGGCATTCATAGGAATTATACCTTTTGATCCTACACCAACAGGTATATGATCAAAAAGACTTTGTGCCAGTTGCTCCTAAAAAATTAAGTTTAATGACAACACTATGTTTATAGAGGGTCATTTTATACCAATAAAAACATGTATACCTTTATAGGCAGCACATCTTTTTCACTTAAATTGGTTCTAAGTAACCGGACACCACAATTGATATCAAAACCAACACCACCAGGAGATACAATTGATTTAGGGTCCAACATATCAAATGCGGCCATATTTCCTAAAAAATTGGCAAGCATTATTATTGCACAATAATTGAAATAGATATCAATATATCAATGAAACCTAAAAAGAGGAAATTAAGGTTGTAAAAAGCAATTACCTATAGCAAAACCATATCCTGAATGAACATCTGGCAAACCAATAGAGTGACCGACAATTCCTGGTAAAGAAGCGACATTAGCAATTTGTTTCACACCGGGTAAAAACCCTCCCGTCATTCCAGGCCTACATGAGTTTCGTAACTCCTCTAACATCAATTTTTCAAGTGTATCGTTGACATAAAATAAACCTTCCACATTCATGTTTGGCTGAAATCCTTTCTTGATTCTCCAGCAATGGGAGTTTATCTTCTCTAGGTATTTTAACTCTTCATTATAACTTCTTACCACCATCTTGAACGGATTATAAATAATCGGATCACAATTAATTCGGCAATAGTAAATAATTTAATTGCCGCAAATTTATAAAATTGAAATGAAATACGCAAGCACAAGCACAAGAGCGAAATACGAATGAGAATGACTTTGACAAGTTGTCAAGATTTGCCGGCATTTTTTTTTTATTTTATGATCTGGGAACATAGACCTTTAGGTCATTTTGCCGGCATTCAGAATTCAGAGAGAAAAGAGCAGTCAGTCCAGAACGGCAAATATTTCTTTACATAAGTGTATTTCTATTTATTATCTGCACCGTTTATGCATACTCTTTGTCTAAATCTGTCACTTTAAAAATTGGTTTCATAATCTTCCATTGAAGAAGACAAAAAATCTAAGAATTATAATATAAAAGCGCTATTTTTTGGTAGGTTTAATCATATAAAAAAATTAAATCAGATTTTGTGTTTTGTCAGCACTTGCTTGTATTAATTGGGATATATTTTTAGCGCGACGATGGCTGCTCTGATAAAACTTCGTCATATGCCTGTTGTCCAGAGATGTGTTTGGAATCATTATAACAAATTAAATCGTTGCATCTCGACATCAAAGAAGAACAGTGAAACTGCTACCACTGCATGTGAAAAAGCTGAAGATAAAAATTGGGTTAGCTACGGATTTGATTACACGAGCAAAGAAGAGGATACAAACGTCCACAATGCATCATTCTTCTTCTCAGTAACATTGTGTTTAGTATTCGGTGGATTTGCATGGGCTTATAGTCCCGATGTCCATATGAGAGATTGGGCTCAACGTGAAGCCTATCTAGAACTACGTCGCCGTGAAAAAGCAGGATTGCCACCTATCAGTCCTAATTATGTTGAACCTAAAACAGTGAAACTGCCTTCAGAAGAAGAACTATGTGATGTTGAAATTATCATTTAATTATTGATAAACATTTTTGTTATATAGTAAATAGAAAAATAGAAATGATTTATAAAATATAACTTAATTTTTCTTTATCTTGTCAATGTGGGTTAATTTAATAAACTTATTGTTGAAACCCATATATTTATTAACAAAATGAAGACCTTTCATGCAAGCTTTTAATTTTTTATATAATTGCTCCAATTGAATTATAAGTAACCATAGCTAATTATTATCTATAATATTTTTGTTATTTGTTCCCCATCATGTTTATATACAAGATTTGCTTAACATAAAGTAATTATGTGAAAAGTAAATTTGTAAATTTTAAAAATAAATATAGTTCTACCCGAACCTGCAAATCTTAATTGTCAATAATACAGGTATTTGTGTAAAACCAGTATCAATGAAGTACACATCCTCTTCTCCTATCACTAATATGTTAAAGGTGTGAAAGAGTAAAAGAATAAGAACCTCATTTTAGTAAGTATAGATGTCATCAACTGTAGATAGGAGAGAACTAATTAAAAAAAGGAATGGTAAATAGATGAATTACTAAGATTTATGACAGTTTTTAGAGAAATAAATAAACTAAATAAATAAAAACTTTTATTATTGCCATAAAAGTATTACTATTTTGTATACAATAATACTAAATAGTTTTTTTTTCATTTCTCTCTTGGCTCTCACGCGAAATACTAGTATACAGTGGCAAGATATATCTAAAGATATAGATTACACAAAATATACAGTTAATTCATTACTTGTAGAATATGTTGTCGACTAAGCGCCTTTTAGGCACACTGCTCGCCCTCCTGTTATTATGGCGTAGGCTACATCAGATTTGGTAGCAACAAGCGCGTTTACACAGGCACCTAGATTTATCTCCCCCGCTGGTTGGAACTGGTCACCGGCGATCTTCCATCGTCGTACGATACCATCCCAACCACCTGTCCATACGTGGTCTTCGCTCACTGATAGACTGGTTATTATCATATCACTTACCTAAAACAAAGTTTAAAACGATGCTGTTTAGCCACTGTTTTCCCCAACGGGATTTACAATTACGGATTATAATTTACCTTCGGTTTTTTCATCTGCAAATTTTGTGTTAAAAGGAAATATTCATTTAGTTTTTGCAGGCGCTTATAAAACCTATGTACTTTTCGAATTAAAGAAAAACAATATTTAGAATACTCGAATTTGGGTAGATGAAGTTTTTGTTGTGTTTGGGAAAATTAGTCGTACCTTAACTTCATGTAGTTTTTTGAACTTGGTATCGATGGAAGCGTCGTGTAGCTGCAGATTGTTGGCCCCCCTCGCAGTGACGACGAGCCGGGCGCCCGACACACGCAGCGGCGCACGCCCTTCCATCGTGTGCCGGGTTGTGAACCGAGTCTTTGATTCCTCTGTCATGAAGTTATAAAAAAGTGTTTATTACTGTTAACCGTGAAATTCAACTGTCGCAAAACCTGTATGAAAATTTTACAAATGTTTTTTTTTTCAATTTGAAAAAAAACACAATATTGTTACTCTACAGGTGTAACGACAACGAAAACTCATATCATAAGTAAGTTTACATATCGATAATCTAAATTCTTTTCCGATGTGTTGTACACAACGTAGCAAATTTTGGCTCAACCTTCAACACAAAACTTTGAAAGTTACGAGGGAAATAAAGAAACATCAACGAACATTAAAATGATCATTATAAGCAAAAGAACAATTAAAAATGTATCTTTAGAAATCGATTAACAAATTAAAATTCATGAGTTTTGCAAACTTTGTCATTCTTATGCAAATATTTATTAAAATCTAATGCCATATTAATAAAGTTCATACTATATGGTCATTAAAACTTCATTTTATTTATGTGAAATAAGAATAATACTGCGAAACTCCTATATATTACGCAAATCGCATAATAAATTGACATTATTTATGACAAATATTTACACAGAACAATTCGAAATTATTAAAAGTAACAAGATCATATAACCTGGTTTTATTTCGGTGACGGTAACATATAAATCTCGCGCAGTAAACATATAAGGTGGCTTCAAACATATATCTTTCACTTCTTCAAGGACTTGGTACTTGGCTTTTACGTCATTGTTCTCATAAATTACAACCTGCAAATAGAAGTAGAAATAACAAATGACATCTATTATATACTATAATTTTCTTCCCATTACTTTTATAATGTTGGTAATAACTAACAATCTACCATAAAAGTACGAGAATCAAAAACAAAGAGAAAAGTTACACTTATTTTTTAATATTCAATACAGCGGCCACTTCGCTATTTAAGCGAAATCAGGTGGCTACCAAAAAAAATTAGGTGTTACATACATTGCCACTTTCATCGCCAGCAATTAATTGGTTATTATGCACACACAAAGCGCCGATATCACCCCCAGTCGGGGGAAGCTCAGCGACTTTGACACCCGTAGCAGACCAGACACGGACTCCTCCGTCATTGGAGGAAGAGTACACATTGCCGTTTGCCGCAGTCAATGCAAATACTTGTGTTTCGTGTGCAGTCCATTTTTCACCCGGTGATAGGTTTTTGTCGTAAGACTAAAACAAAAAATGGGTACTTATATCAAATAATTAATCGTAATCGTCTTAAGACGAGTTGTTTCACATACTGACTATGTATTTAGTAAACTTAAAAGCAAGTATTGCATATAAACTTACAAAGATGGCGCCAGTTTCCGTGCCAACAAATAATGTATTGTTGTCCCAGGCCACAACACACGGTTCCGATTCGACCTTTACCTCTGCCTCTATTTTAAGTGCACTCATTTTTAGACAATATTTTTAAACAAATCACTGTATGTTGCACTTGTTGTAGAAACAGTCTCTATAACGAATGCAAGAAGCTTACTGAGACGAAAATAGATCGGTTCTGGCGCTGTTTTCATATTTTCTTTAGGAGCGTCTAGATTAATCTGGAACCAATCGTAAAAATAGAATTTGATTTATAAATGATGAAAGTTTATTCGTTTATTTTTCTTTTAATTTCTCGTAAAATGCCCAAGACAAATTATGGTTACATTTTATTTTACCCTTATAAAGTTTGAACAGTCATGATGCCCATTTTATCTTGACACCAAATATTATTGTGGCAAGCATTCTAGAAAGAAAATTTTTTTCAAGGTTGCGACCGCAAGGCGGATCCCCACAGGCATTGTATTGCATCATTTTGTTAGCACCATATTATTATGGATAAGTGTATTACAAGTAAGTGAAAGTCGTGGTCGTTATGTCGCTTTGTAAAATAAAATATATATGTATATCGCAATTCTTAGCCTTAGTTGCCATTTAAGCATGCAGCTACGAATTAGAAAATGCAACTCAAAAACTGACACTATAACCTCTTTTTATTACGTAATTAACCATTATTCAAAACATTTTACGATTTTTTATTTATTTTGTACTAACATATTAAAATACATTATTCACGTTTATTGTTTAAGAAATTGAGTAGTATAAAGAAATATTTTGTTCTTAACATTAATACGATGAAAATTCTTTCATCACATGACAGAGAGCTTCTTTATTCCGAATACAAAGATCCTATATTTTTTACCTTGCAAATTAAATGTATGCTTATTTTAATTCATTTCTTTTACTAGGTCCAACATAATCAACAATAAACAGTTCGTGTATGTAAACAATATTCAGCGGTAGTAACGCGAAAGTCGTAAATAACAATAATAAGGTGTAATGATGGCGTGAGACATTTCTTTCTATTATTCTCGCACGAGCACGGACAAAGTATTACGTCACTGCGAAACTTAACAACTTTATAATGACTCTAGTAAAGATTATAACCATTTAGTGTAAATTTAGTTTAGTCAGTTTATTTAACAATGCTAACAGCTGTTGATGGTTTTGGAGAAGTCCTACCAATCCGCAGCAGATTCGATTCGCAGAAATAAAATCATATTATTCAGAGGCTTTCTTATTGGCTTTTGGTTGGATTTCTTAACAACTCCAAATTGTTGATACAATGAGTACCTAAGCTGATATTTACATTTTTAAATTTCAACTCACTTTTTGCTTGATGGTACCTTCTAACTTGTTCAAGATGTTTGGTGTGTTCGCACAGAATATAAAAATACTTACGCGTCCTCGCCTTACCTAAATCAAGACTTATCGCACGTGCAATATTGCTTGAATATGCTGATACAGTGTCAAGGACATGGATCGAAAATAATATGTGTTTGTAAATTGTTTTGCCCCTGAGGAGAAACTAAATACATCACATCAGTGTCTCACTGAAACTTGATATAATCAGTGCTGGGACTTTCGCTAAAATACTTTACAAAAGCGGAATTTCGACATCTCGTAAACCCAAACAATAGTAAAATTATTTTTGATAGTGACCTTGGTAAAAGTTACGTATTATTCTGTCATTATTTTACCTTTCCGAAACGAGAACTTAACTTTCTTTTTGTGCTGTGTTGAGTTTGTTTTTAGTTATAATACTCGTAAATTTGATATACATACAGTGTTATACGTAATAGGTACGTTTTGTATGTATGTCACGTCAGCGTAGGAAAACACCGTGAGAATAAAGATAATAAATAAATAAACATATTTAAAGATGCCAAAAATCAGGGGACCAAACTTACTTTAAGCATGAAAAAATAATTTCCCATAGATTTTGTGGATTACCTATCTAAAAGAGATTTCATAATAGTCAAGAATTTATATTGTTGATTTCGTTCATACGTGGTCGAATTTTGTGATAATTTTTAATGCTTTTGACGTTATTTCGAAATTGTTTGAGATAAATAATATTTACCTTTGCAATTATAAAACAATTTTATATCAGGACGTACAAAGTCGCGTGCTGCGTAACAAAATATTATCATTACAAATGTGATTCACATGTTTTCGCTTTTAGCGCACTTCTAAACATACGAGTGCGTCCCTCTTTGACACTGGTTAACACTTTACGCAATAACAATGAATAACCTACTTCTCAGATCCGATTCCTTTAAAACAATTCCATACTTTAAATACTTTTATTTTTAACTTCAAAAAGGTTTAGGTTATAAATTCGACTATATTCTTTATGTATGTAAACCACAAAACACTTAACTTTTTTTCAATCCCTTGACGAATTTAATTTATGTACAAGTTAACCGCATATAAGTAATTTTAGAGTATTTTCATTAACTTCACACTTTTTACATTTTGTATGAGTGTGTCATTGTACCAGTGCCCTTGCATCAAACGTGCTTTGGTAGTTTAAATGCTTTCCATTTTGGCTGCAAACGATTTCATAAAAACACAGGTCTCGCGACGTTACCTTAGCCTCAATGGATGTGTAAAGGTCGTCTCCAAGAAGGATCTAAACTACGCTACAAAAATATGTTAGATGCATCATTCTACACTAAAATTATTCAGTAGGTCGAGTCAACAATTGATGTACCTAGTCCATATATTAATTCTTTGGAATTGATAACCTAATAACGGTCATAACTTAGGCAAATAGTTTGTGACATAGTCACACTTATCACGTGAAAATATAAATAAAAAAGTTCTATTATCTAAAACATTTAATGATAAAAAATATATTTACAATTTCATCAATTTGATGAAAGATAAAAATAAACAAGTGATTCGGCGTTCTGCCAGTCAGCCACACACTACAACCTCTGTGTAATCGCCCTCTTCATTAAAGTCCAGGGATGTTATTCCAATTCAAAATAAGCTCTACATTAACTAACATAATTATTATATAAAAAATATTTATGACTATCATACAAATCAACTATGTTTTTTGGTAGAAATGCTTCAATTGAGGGCGAGTTATTCGAGGGTTTGTGTATTTTCTTTTCAGTATGAACTGTCGCCAGAGGGCGCGCCGTAGCTTGAAGAGGGAGCAGAGGCTGGAGGACCGTACTGTGGTGCAGGAGACTTTGCCGCTGGATAGCCCTCTTGTTTCTAAAAGTTAACAAAACATTAAATCAGTACAATAGTAAATCTTATTAATCTTACTAATATTACAAATGCGAATGTTTAGATGGATGTTTGTTTGAAGGTATCTCCGGAACGGCTCCATGGATCTCGCTGAAATTTGACACAGATGTAGAACATAGTCTGGAAAGACGCATAGGCTAGTTGTTAAGTTTGTTTATAAATTCCGCGTGGATGCAGTCGCGGACGGCAGCTAGTAAATAATAAATGATTCCGCTTCGAACATTAAACCGTGAAAGTTAAAGTGACAAAGCAGAAAAATTCCTTGGTACGCTAATTTACACCTATCTAAGGACGATTAAAAAAATGTATTAATATTTGAATATTGTTTCATCTTTAAACACGTATACTGGATCTTTACTAATCTTGGCTGGCTACAAAGGTAGAGGAAGACCGAAGAAAGTATGGATGGATTGTGTGAAAGAGCATATGCGTAAGAAGGGGGTGAATTCAGATATGACTGCTGATAGAGATGTATGGAGGAGTAGTCCATACTATGCCCACCCTCAGTAGGGATAAGGGCACCTGCCCTGATGCAGTCATCTTTAGTTTTTGCTCATCTTCCTTTAATTATAAGTTTACCGTAACATAACAGATACATTATATAAAACGTAACATATAAGTTAAATTGCTCTCATGTTCCACCATTTAATCGGTCTAATCTATTATTTTAACAATATATGGAGGCTGTTGTTATTGTTATGCAATGCAAGTTATTACTGTAACACACTTTCGTTTCATTGAGATTTGGACTGAGCCAGTAATTATAATGTGATTTGCATGAAAAATCTCTTATGTTGTGCAATAAACACTTAAGCAAGAAATAAGCCTAGCGTTGTTATATGTACATTATATTTTCATATCGCATAGTCTTTATCTCGTAAAAATATTCTTCGTATTAATAGAAAAGTACAACAGAATTTTAAGTATCGCTTTAAAAATTTAACTGCCACTTAAACAATTAAATTAATTTTGTTACACTCATACATATTCATTTATAATTAAATCATGTGCTAAAATATTATAATTTATCGTACAACTTAACTCTCAAGTATGATATTAAACAGTTTTCTTTAGGGTAACAGCTATCGTAAATATTATAAACACAGTAATATTGTAGAATTCCCAATAAATAAAATCTTACGGTCGCATAATATTTGATAACGAATTCAGAATTTAAAACTTATTTCAATTATTTTAAAGCGCTATAATCAATGTAAATCATTTTGACCTACTAATTCTATTACTATATTGACTAGTTTTCGATAATTATAATGTCAGGCAAAGCACGTCGTCTGTAGTCTATTGTTAGCAACAAATATTATATCACCGCAACAAAAGGGCACCTGCCCTACTTCGAGGTGCGAGAATCGATGACGCTTCCTAGACAATACCAGGAAGTACAGTTCATACTTTCTCGCTGTCAAGCAGCATGCATCCAGGGTGATCAGACATAATGGGTAAACCACAGATTCACAAACTTTTTTTCTTGTACACACCTTTCAAAATTTTAATGGTTATGATAAACTGCCTAGTACCACATTTCTTTTTAAACTTGTGTTTATTAACCGAAATTGCACCCCCGCCAGTTCTCCCGTGGAATCAGGGATAGATTGTGGACCATTCACCTAACTCATAAATCAATTTGACTGTCGTCCGTAGCACATTGTTATTCAAAACATTATATCACTATTACTTCACATTATTTAACACCACATTCCTGCATAGCAAGTGTTCTAAAGTTCTACTTTCATTAATTGTATTGTCCCTGCAACTCGCGCGATAATTATGTAACACATTTGACTAAGTAGCGATGTTCATTACATTTTAAACGGCATCTTTCTAATCCTATTTACTACTAAGACTGTAACCGACTAGATATATCGTTTTATTATAATACTATTACCAAAACTATTATTACGAGCACATTTTGGAAACCTCATATGTGAAAAATGTATAAAGTTATTTAACATACCTGTGTCTTGTATCTGATGAAGTATACTTCTGGTTTGGCTGGCTGAGTAGGCGCCGGGGTCGGGATCACGATGTCGGGCTGCTCCTCAGGCTTCTTCACCAGTACGTATACGAGGGTCTTCTCTTCGTTCTGCGGCTGCAGCGGGATGACGGGCGCGGTCGGGGTCGGCGGGGTCGGCGCCTTGATGAACACTATCTTGTAATGCTTCTGTGGGGGCGGCACGTAGATCTGCTTCGGAGGACGTGGGGTTTCGTTGTCCGGAGGCGGCACGTGTACGTACACATGCTTGTGCACTATGGGCTGCTGCGGAGGCCCGTATTGCTGAGCCGGGGGACCGTACGCTGAAGACGGAGCTCCGTACGATGTCGAGGGAGGTCCATACGAGGAGGGCGGCTCGGGGCGGGCGGTTACGCAGGCGAGCACCGCCGCTACGGCCAACGATCTGAATACCTGCAATTAGCGATTAAACAGTTGAGTTCCATCGTAAGAATGCTTTTGTATATGACCTAAATTAATGGCACTGCGAGAAAACAATAGGCGGCATCAGATCTCCACCAGCTCGAGAGCTTACACAACTGTGGCAGTGCACAGTTCAGCACACGTACCGTTTTGTTACACATGCTGGTGATGGGTCGAGATGCAGTGTCCATCGGTCGGGTGGCTCCAGTGTTTATAAGATGGTACTCGACACGTCCCCGGGAGGGGGCACTTTCGATGGTTCTCATGGGTTGCGCAACGCGATGGTGCTCGGTGCGCGCTGCTCACGCGCCGCGCCGCCCTCCTATATGCCGCCGCGCTGCGGCAGCGGACATTCAGCGAACACCTATGCACGCTTGGGTGCAACTATTCAACTTTCAACTCGTGCGTTATTCGAGAACGAGTTAAAAAAAACAAATTGTGATTCTAGAATAGTAAAAATACAATAAAGTTATCTAGTTTGATTTTTTTTATATAAAATACTTACTAGTTGAATATAAATTAAAATTAAAAAATATTTGTTCTTTTATAATCAAGCATCTATATTATTTAGAATAAATAGTTGTTTCTAAGATTGAACGACATATTTATGTAATTTTGTCTATTATTACAATAGTTTAGAACTTCTGCTATTAATATTTTTAATCTATAAATTACCTCATACCTTATCCATGTTTAGTTTCACTAATTTTTTGTTTCAAAGGCTAACTGACGCATATCTTCACATGCAAAATAATAATTTACGCGTAATATGAATAAATAAAATGATTTTACTTTTACTTTATATTTTATGCTTCCGTAACTTAGAATAATTTTAAACTGTGTAACCAAACTGTAAAATAGTTCCGATTTAGAGGGTAAAATTTATATATTAACATTTTATTAGCTAATGATAGGTATTTCAAGATAAGTTGTATAAAATAACATCTTAGTTGCATTGTATCATTGTATACTACAGAATTACGTTGAAATAATAGTGTTAATAACTACAGTTGGTCAATCATATTCGATACGACGGAGATGCAAGTTCGCAATAGAGAATTGCATTTATCGTATCTTGATTTCAATAAAATGATCCGTGACGATATTCAAAAACATTTTCAAAAATGAAAAGTGTTTCGATTATTTTTTCTCAGACAACATTAAGTGAGTGATATAAATCTAGTTTTGTAATATGACAGAATTTGTGAAGAATTCATTTATTTGCATTGTATTTGAGTCATTTTACGAACGTAGCCGTAACTAATTTCAACGAATGTGCATGTATGGTGTTCATATTGACTCTTATCGATGTTTATAAAACGGCAGTAAGTGCCAATCATCAGAGAGAGCACATTTCTGCTTTAAAAACCACAACATTATAACCTGTGATTCGATAAACTAAGTGTACAAAAAGTTACGACACAGCTGTTGAATTCCCTTTATTTCCGTTGACTAATAGGGTCTTTTGTAGATCTTAATTACAATTTATTGGTGTACGGTACGGAGTCGACTTCAACCGTCGCAGAGGAGAGGAGTTTGTTGCCACAAGTTCACGTCGCCTCGTTCCCGAAGGACATGTAAACACATCAACAAGCCATTTATATAGTAACTTCCTGACATATTGAAACATGGATGTAGGAAATTATTACAAATCACCTGTACTAAAGATGCATGAGAAATTTAAGGTAAGTTAGTTTTTTTTATGTTTTACAATAAGAAATTTATAGATAACTAAGTTGTAGGAATAAATAACGTAACAGATTATTAAATTTTATAATAAAGTACGAATAATTAATAAATAAATAATTAACATTTTTAAATATTTCCCGTAAGCTTATTTTTGTGGGAATCTTACTTCTTACTATCTTAATAATATTACAAATGCGATTGTTTGGATGTATAGATAGATGTTAGTTAGAAAGTATCTCTAGATTGGCTGCATGTATCTTGTTCAGATTTGGCATAGATACAGAAAATAGCCTGGAAAAACACGTAAGGTACTAATTAAGTTTTTTTTAATTCTGCGCTGACGAAATTGCTGGTGACCTTTAGTTACTTATACATATATGCAATTATATTCATAAACTTGTGTTTTATATAAGTCAAGATTGATAGTATAATTAAATCGAACATGTCAAAATTCAACACTAGAAATATTTTTAATATTTATAAGATCAATATAAAATACACTATTTCTGCAATGTATTGGTAAATTGAAATAGAATTAATATACAAATTTATTAATTTAATTTATTTAAGACATGGTACAAAGAGAAGATTGATGAACAATCGATAAATTTTATAATTTTCATTACAATCTTTCTTCTTCTTCTCCTACATTAGGTTAACTAGACTCGAATCCTTCAATAGAGACATTTACGAGCTGACGAAGACGTGTATTTTGTACTAGCTTTTGCCTTTGCTTTAAAAAACTAACCAGTTTTACCACCAAACGTTGCAGACTAATTGAGTAAATATATGAATCAAACGTATCCCGCGGGCACTGTACAAATTTCCAGAATCATAGGTACTATAGAGACCACATACTCTGTGTTCTTCCAGACTGTGTTATACATCTATACTATATAACATCGAGATTAGTTTCGCCGTTCTGGAGTTACCTTATATCAAACATCCATCCAGACATATAAGATTAACCTACTTATATTATGTGGATTTCGTTCTTGCGATAGACATTGGCGGCTAAATACAAAAAAGTACCATTCAATTAATTCTTTCGTGCTTATTGTTTAGTATAAATAAAAAAGAAGCTGATGTTGCAAACCAGAACACATCTCAAAGTTAACCACACGGCTACGTAACGGTAACATTCTCTAAGTCGAAGCAATACGTCAAAGGTTGTTTCGTGATGGGGCTAATTATTCTATGAAAGTATAAGCCAGAAAAACATCTCCGTGACCAGTTGCGATGTAAACCAAATTTTTGCTAAACCTATTACGAAAATGTTAAGACTGTAAAACCTTGCAACGATCATTTATGAATATTTTAAACAATTTGATTTTGAGCATACTTTCACGGCATTCATCGCAAGAATAAGATAATAAAATAACTTTTAATTTATTATAATAATGTAAAAACAAACTTATAAATAAACTTTTACGTCCGTGTAAATTTAATAAGTTAAAAACGTTTTGTTTTCAAGTCCGCGCAAAGGAAATTAAATCATGTTAGATTTTAATCTGATTTTACTTTACTAAGTTGTGTTTTAATTAATGCTATTAAAATCGTATTATTAAACGAAAACATCAGAAATTTAATCAGAATGCTTTAGGATCGAACTTGGAGATATGAAATAATAGCTTATTTTTAATTATTCAATATATCTTATATCTTCACGACTATATACATAATTTGCAAGAGAGACTAGTTATAAACGTATCAAGATGTGTGGGTTTCACGGATGCGATACAAATGTTGCGTGTTTCAATAGATATAGAAAAAAGTCAAGTTATTATCTGCAATTAGCTCAATAATCTTTACAACACATAACAAGGATACGTGATCGTCGAAACATTTTCTTTATGATATGAAAACAAAAATAAGTAAAGTTTTTGAAATAAACTGAACATTATGATTTGTCCAAAGATTTGAATCTTAGTAACAGAGTATTGTTCTATGATGTAGAGGTCACTGGCTCAATAACTATTTTACATAATTAACGGATATTCTAAATGTGACAAAGTCCTATCGGCTTACGCTAGGCGTACGTTATACGTTGATGCGAACAGTATGATTATAATCAAACCAGACATATCCAACAACAACATTGAAAGCTAAATTTCATCTAAGCCGACAATAATAAACGTGACACCGATTATTAAATGTATAAATGACTACTATGGTGAATTGAAAACAATGTGATTCAACGGTTATTCTTAATTGTTAAGAATGCGACACAACTAACGCACTCCCATGCTTATGAGTCGCCTTTGAATCTAGGAGTAGCGAGGATCCGGACTCATCCGGTTTGGAGAGGATTCGACTGGAAGCGATCCGGTTAGTTCCGGCCGCCGGAGCGCGCTTGCTATCGCTAATGCTAGTTTCACACGACGGCGGTGCTATTGTTTCAAAGCGCACTTAATGACAACACTACTGAGTCCATAGACTACAAGCCGAAATATACTGACAACTTTTAATGTCACATGCTTGTCTTGTTTTTATTCCTATATACATTGACAAATTTTGACAATTCTACTAGTAATATCAAACATCGAATGGTACATATAGTCTACACCATAGTAGTATTGCACTTTCCTACTAGTTTGTCTCGCTGTTGTGCCCTTGTGTTAAACGGCATAATGGTTCGCGACATACTCGTGGTGCGGACACACCATCAACCGCGTAGCTTTAATACTGAATTTTACCTAACCGCAAGCACGTGCGTCTATCGGAACTAAAACGCTATTTTCAAACGTTATCGATAGTAATGTAAAATCATGACTGAGTCATTATTATAAAAATGTATTAGAAGTATTATATAAATGAAATAAAACATTTCTTTTAATAAATAGAACTCTGGCCAGATCGTAAGTAACACCAGCCACTGAGCCATAGCCACCGATTATATTTTGTTCTAAAATTGGCTTACTTTAACGCTTCCACGTCGTCGGCGTAAAGTATTTAATCGTCGTGGCTTTATTAAACCGATTAGTGACTGACTGCAATTGGAAAATCACTAACTGTAATTGAACTAAGTCGTTTCTACTAAGTGTATATTTATTGTATTTGGAAGGCCACTCATTAGACGTGACAAAGACGAGGGAAAGACGTTAATTAACAAGATTAGTAACGTATGCTACGGTATTAGTATTGTTCTAAAAACCTTTATTTCATTATAATGACCTCTCTAAATCATATCTTCGTCCTAAATGCGTTATAAAGCAATATATTGTTGTTTGCAATTCGATTTTTTTGTTTGTGTTTTAGTCGGATTCCACTGACAAAACATTTGTTTAAAAATATACACATAGTTAACAAATTTTCTAAACTATTTGCAATTTGTCATGTTAACGACATTATTATTAAGAAGAAAGCTTATCCTTTTTTAAATTTTCAGGTACTTCTGGTAATTTTAGTGATAATATGCGAGATAAGTATAGAAACAGTACAAGCTTCGCCAAATTTAACTAAATATAACACGTCAAAATCAAATGAATATGTCGTGCAAAGAAATGAGACGCCAACGAGTGAACTATTCCATTGGGAGGACTACAGCGTGCTGGGTACGATGTTACTAGTTTCATGCGGTATTGGCGTTTTTTACGGATTCTGTGGAGAAAAACAAACGTCAGGCGACGACTTCTTATTGGGTGGTTCGTCAATGGGCACATTCCCAATGGCCCTTAGTTTAGCTGCAAGGTAATATGCCGAACGCCGTATTTTTTATAATTCATCTTTCTTACTATCTTATCTTACTTCTTACTAATATTATAAACGAGAATATTTGTATGGATGTTTGGTATAAGAACAGAACAGAACGGATCAATGGTTTACATTAAAAATATAGTCTGGATGAAGACATAGATTATTCAGTTTTATTTAATACCACGCGGAAGGAGTCGCGGGCGATAGCTAGTCACTTATAAATGCTTAAGTAAAACGTTTAACTTTTGTTGCATTTTACAAATGATCAATGAAGATATACGTATTTAATTCTGAGCTGTTGTATAAGAATCTAAGAAGTTTTGTTGTTTCAGTTTCATCACTGCCATAGAACTGCTAGGCAATCCAGCGGAGATGTACATGGCGGGCGCGCAGTTCTGGATGATCTGCGTGTCATTCGTACTAGTCGTACCGATAGCGAGCCAACTATACTTGCCAGTCTTCATGAGACTGCGCTTAACATCCTGCTATGAATATTTGGTATTTCATTCATTTATTTAATTCGCACGCAATATATTTAAGGTACAAAGAGATAGTAACTCACATATGGATGGTTGTATTACGTTCAAACGAAACTACGCTATTTATCTCTTCAAATTATTATTGTTCAATGTCTTGCAAATGTCAATATACATTGTGCATAATAAAAACAAAAGAATAATAAATAATATCGAAATATTTGAAAGGTATTGCGCTATTATAGTTATCTGAATTAATGCTCGTCTGTGATTTACTTTTAGGAAATAAGGTTTTGCAAGTCAATGCGTGTGTACGCCAGCTCGCTTTACATGCTGCAAATGGTTCTGTACACCGCCGTCGCTGTGTACGCACCAGCACTGGCGCTCTCTGACGGTAAACAACAGAACTACGATTTTTACTTTAAAATATAAATATTTTCTTTAATCAAATTTAGACTTTTGTACATCAAATAAAAGCCCTTTGCATCTTGTATTATGCTACTTAAAATAACTAAACATTTTTGTATTTAAAATTTATTTTAATGTCCTATAAAGAAATTCTTTTTCTAAAAGGACATGATAGAAATGGGAAGGGACTTTGATGGCGGAGGTGACGCAGTGGAAGGGGAAATATTCTTTTTCTGTGTGTCTTTAGGCACTGCATCTGCAATCGCGGATGTCTATGGGGTTGTTTCGCTATTTCAGTGAATTCAGGTGGCCGCTTGCTACTTTGCCATGTTATAAAATAAAAAATAACAGAAGATAACTAGAACTTAGAAAAGCTTAGATTTTTCTTGCGAGAAAGAAGAGCTAAAACAGAACTGTAAAAAATATAGTGCCAATGGCGAATTGTAAAGATTATAGACGATGTAACATAATAATTGGTATCACGTAATTTAAAAATTGTTGCAAGGTTTTATTCTTTGAGATATCTCTTCGAAAATCTACATTTCGTAAGCCTCCTTCATAAATAGCCGTTTGCAAATTAAATACAGTTACAGTATTTACTAACGACAATTAGTTTACATCGAGAATTAAATGCGATTGCTGACGTTACATGTGTTCGTTTTAATTTTAACTATTGTATTGTTTGTTAATACTACATTTTTAAAATAAATTTAACGCATCTCGCGATGTCTTAAGACATTAATTAGAAATAATCAAATCTCTTGCAATCTTCTATTCAACAGTTTTAGCAATCACCTTGCATCTTTATGCTTGAGGTCTGTGTATGTATTTATGTAGTCTTACCAATTAAATATTCATAAACGAATTCATCTTTCAAGCCATTATTTTAGAATATGCCTCAATAATTATAAGGAGTCAATTCAGTTAAAATAAATGATTACCTTAGCAAGAGTTTCGTAATATTTTTTTATCGTCAATGCCTCAATCAATATAACTATGTCGATACGTCATGAGCAATTAAGAAATTTCTAAATGTTTTGGAATGCTAAAGATTGTAATTTGAAACCACGCCTGTTGAACGTTTTCTATCGCCATTGAATTTTTTGCTGTTAAACTCCATCAATATTGCTAACAACAAGCTCCATTTCGAATTATTTACATACATATTACAATTTTCGATTAGCCAAATAAATGTTATAGTATGCATCAGTCTAGATTATAATTCTAAAGTAGCATATTATTATAATATTCACATTTAAAAAAAGCAATTAAATTAAGGCCTTAAAAAGCCTAAATTTAATTGATTAAGTTCGCATTAAATTTAAGCTTTTTATTATAGGCTTCGTATTAGCACTAAAGCTATTTTCTTCGTAGAATTTAAAGGTTGAATTCTTACATGTCCATTGGTGCGCAATAGATGCCTAAAACTGCCAAAATTAATTCGATCCACGAAGTACACCATCTATTTCATAGTCTATTAGCGCGTACGATACGATAGCTATCTATGTTTGTATACCAGGACAAATTTTACATTTCATACGTAACAACAATTTTTTAAACTACCAAGCTCTTTGCCTATAAAAATAAACTTTGATGTTCTTATATTTATTATTATTGTATATTAGCGATATATTTAAATGCATCAAGTTTATAAAGTGTATTATTAATATTTCAATTCGTATGCAATATTGAACTACGTAACCATTTCTTGTGTAAAAATATTACGAAGAATGTCGTTTAAAAACAAAAGAATAATATGATTATAATATAAGACTTGAAGGAAAATTAAGTCGTATTAAAATGAACAGAAGAAGCTAGCTATTGGAAATTTTGTAGTTTTTAATGAAGACAAATTGTCTTCCAAACCCTAGGTATTGCAACCTGTGCTAGGCTACTATCTAACGTAAAACTAGTTTAATTATTTAAGAGAATTTAACTTGTCCTATACGTAAATAGTTATTGACACATAACACAGGAATAAAATAGTGCATTGCATGTCCAAAAAACTTGGCATAAAATTAACATAAACATAGCTTGCGTAACAATAAATAACTATTGGCTACAGGGTTAATGTCAGGCACATGAATATAATAGATATAAATTGCATCACGCTTTATGTATTCAAGAGGGTCAACTCTTGCTAAACGAATTCGCAGTCGTTATACTTAATATGTCTTTACTATCGGTTGCACAAATTTTATTATCATTGTTTGAATCGGCCGATGACGGATGCCACCCATAAGTAAAGCCTAGGGTTGAACCTTTACGTGCAATCGACACAGCATTGATTGCATCTAATGGTCAGTAATTACGGGCTTATAGTACCGGCTTTCTACTAGGTCTCGCAGCCGCTATTCCATTACGTCCTTGTGATGTCAGAGTTGACTAGGTTATGTCTATAAGGAAGTTAACATATACCTCGAATTCTAAGACTATTAATTTGTATAAAGATGCTTTATGGTCGTATGGTTACAAAAGCTAACCTCACTATTAAAACATGACTTACTCCGTTTAAAACATATTATTATCTCTGTTTTGTCAAGAATCACTGGGATAACGATTACTTTTATACTATCTCTTTCTCTCTCTATCCTTAAAAATCCCTCTACGTTATGGTTATAAACGCGTGTTTTAAAAAAACATAGTACGAAGAACTAATTTTCTAAAAACAACAATGTCTTATTTATAAATGTCAACAAGCAATGTATTTAAGGTCAATGACAAAAACTTTCGTAATTTCATTCGAGTTTATTTTTGTAATAGTAGTTTTTGGTACTAATCAATGCACAATAAATATGCCGGTCGTGTCCTCTTGATAATGTATGCGTAGTATGTAATCGAAATAATTAAAAACAATTTCAACATATTATGTTTTTTATTCGGTTTATTCTAGTATATTTTATTTGTTTATACACGGACATTTACTAATAGTATTATTTAATAGGCATATTCTATCCCTATAAACTCTTTTACATGTTACTTATTATTGATTTGAAATATTAGGTTTTTGGATAGTAATTTTAACCGAATGAAAGGAAAAAATTGCATTTGTACTTATGAGAGAGTTATAAACTTTTAATACTTTTTCAGTGACTGGATTAAACACTTATTTAGCAGTTTCACTGGTCTATGTGGTCTGCATATTTTACGCATCACAGGTAAATAATTTATAAAAAAAGCTTAATTGCTGCTTTGTAAGAGGAAATATAATTAACTTTCGTTTGTAGGGTGGCATGAAAGCAGTGATAATGACAGACAGTTTTCAATCGGCCGTATTGCTGGGGTCGCTTGCTACAATCCTTATCATGGGCGCCGGGAAAGCGGGTGGACTGGATGCAGTTTGGGACTACGCGAGGACTACGGATAGACTACATTTTTTTGAGTAAGATGAGAAAAATTATCATTACTTAATTAACGATATTTATAAGACAATTTGAAAATTCTTCACACAATTCCCGACTTTAGTCAAACTCGCTAGCCCAACAGATTGGTATATATTTTCATTTTGCTTTTGTCAGTATGAACCCAGATCCGACGGTGAGGCACTCATTCTGGTCAGTGGTGGTGGGCGGTACGATGTACTGGCTGAGCATGTTCTGCGCGAACCAGGCGTCGGTGCAGAAGTATCTTTCAGTGGAACGCATAGCCCAGGCCCGGGTGGCGCTTTGGGTGTCCGCGTGCGGCTTAATCGCGGTCTACTCCGTCAATTTCGTCACCGGCGCCGTCCTCGCTGCGCACTACGCTGACTGTGATCCCATTAAGGTGAACGCGACACGAATTTTATATACGCCAGGTTCACACGTTTGTTTTAAAACGATTGTACTTAATGTAGAACTTTCGCGACTTGTGCGACCTCATTTAGACATGTTGGTATAATTTTAGGTTTGAAAATTAAATAAATATTTCCCGTTGGTAATATAACATGAGGTAATTGATTAAATGGATTCATTTTTTAACTTAAATCTCGAATGGTGCTGTAATATTATAATAATATATAGTTTACTATGTTAAAATTGACATAATATTTACCAAAGGCTGGTGTAATCAACGCGTCAGATCGGCTGCTGCCTCTTTACGTGGTACGCGAGCTGGGAACTTCACGCGGTGTTCCTGGCTTCTTCGTGGCTGGCATTTTTGCAGCAAGTCTCGGGTAAGGCACTTCACAATTTCAAAATTTATATTATATTGTAAAGTAAAATTCAAAAAACTATTTCAACTGAACTGACAATCCGAGGCGTGTGAAGTCGGTGTAGCAACTGGCTTAGACCCAGCTCAATTCCTGAATTAAGACTTAACTAGAAAAGACCAGTTGCCATACCAGTTTCAATTCAATGTACACGAGCTCTAAATTGGGCCAGTAATTCTCTCAATGACCTGAAACGATTTACAGATTTAGCACTCATTTTTTAAAGTAACTAAGACAATATTTGCTATACTTAACTTAAAACTTTTGATTAAAGATTTGTTTAATATTGATCATCGAGTCACCAGTTATTTTTATACTATTCTTATAAGGAAGTTTTAGTGAATGATGTAATAAAAGAGAATTCTTATTAATTTACAATAAAATGTTTTAGGACCGTAGCGTCTGCGTTGAACTCATTAGCTGCAATCGCATGTCAAGATTTATTCACCGGTCTTCTCGGAATAACGTTGCCCGAGAATAAAGGCGCGACGGTAAGTCCTGATTACTTTTCGGAATTATAACGATTTTTTTATTCACCGTAAGAACGTCGGATAAACGAGCCTCCGACGCTTTTATAGTAACAGGCTATAGTCGAGTTCTTCCCAAATTAAAAATAGTCGATGACTATTTTGGGTCTATTGTTTTATTAATGACTATTGTCTGTATAGATAGCAAAGTGGGTGTGCCTGGCATGCGGCGCGCTATCGTTCGGGCTGGTGTTCGCAGTGGAGCGATTGGGACCGGTGCTGCAACTAGCGGTCTCCTTCAACGGCATGGCGGGCGGCGTCTCGCTCGGTCTATTCAGCCTCGGTATGCTCTTCCCTTGGAGCAATGCCAAAGTAAGTTATACATGGAATTTATGATATCCCGTAATTTTCTATCTTGCCTTGCCATTATGATTTTCACGTACTGATATGAATTTGCATTAAACGAATCGGTGGCACGACCAGTGTTTAAATTAAAGATTCAGGTTGAAAATAATTTTTATTGCAATTTCAGTTACAACCGAAACATCAATCAACGAACATTTATAACTAATGGATAACTAATATCCCAGGGCGCAGTAGCGGGCGGTGTGTTCGGGCTGGTGGTGGTGGTAGCTGCTGGCGGCGGCGCGCAACTGGCGCAGCTACCCGCACCACGCCTGCCTGCTTCAACGGCTGCCTGTCCTGCCGCGTACAACCTCACTAACCACATGACCATCAATCCTTCGTAAGACGTTCAACCTTCTATTGTTTTGCAAAAGAAAAAATGACACTGTTGCATGGATAGTAATCTAAAAGCTTATTTGTATTATCTTCTTTAAACTGGATACAACGGTGATAAATAAGGCAATCCAAGAGGAAAGCTCATGCCACTTAATCTGTAAGCAACTACGGGGAGTAAAGAGTAATTTTGGTCGTACATTTATATTGCTTATCTATACCGGATACCGATTGTATTGTCTCACATAAATAACGTTGTTTTTTTCTGCGTATAATTCCGTGAATGGGTCGGTTTGCAAGCACTTTATCACATGGTATAAACATTAATTAATGCTGGTCCCATAAATAAGTGATAAAAGAGAGATGTTACACCCTCCATTGTTTTCTTACGAACAGTTTTACACAATCTTCCGTTGTCGTTTAGCATTCTATCGCGTTCGGCGCTGCTGTTTTTTATAACGTAAGATATCATCTCAAAATTTTCCTCAAGACGATCATTGTTTTCATATTCCCATATTTCAATTACGTAATATTTTAACAAAGAAAAGATTAATAAAGTTAAATCAAAATTTTGAAAGTCTATAGGAAATGTAAGCTTTATCTATCTTAAATATTATCACCTACAAGCCGAGATCGTCCTACTGTTATTCGTATTAATACGTTGCATGCCAAAATCATTTTTTGCTAAATTAAATTCACCAGGCGAAACGGAAGCATGGAATTCACCAGGCGAGCCATTAAACGCGTTAATGATTAGGCCAACTTTTCAGGGAAAACCTGGATGAATCAGTGTTCTGGTTGTTCCGGGTATCGTACCTGTGGTACTCCGGACTGGGATGCGCGGCGACATTACTCGCAGGCCTCGTCACCTCAGTCCTCACCGGCGTAACGGACCCCGCGCATGTGCCCATCGACCTTATATCACCGCCGGTCATATCATTCCTCAATTCCTTGCCCACTAAATTCAAAGTAAGTTGACTAAATTATTAGTAGAATATAACTAGCGATATATTATCATATCTTAATCTTCTTAAACATTAAAGTATCCCTTTCAATTTAAGTTCCATTTTCAAGAGTCAGGAGTCAGCAATAAAAAATCTAACAAGGCAGTAAACATATTATTTTTTACTTCTTTGATTGTTCGCCAATGTTACTAGAAAGCCCTTCGTGTGCCTACTCGCTTCGGTTCCGAGCGACGCAGAAGTTCTAGCGTGCGCCCACCGAGCATCGCTGACGACAAGGACACAAGACGAAGACGGCGACTATCGGAGCTGGCTGGCGGCGTGTTCTACAGTGACACGCCCCTCACGCGTGGTCTTGACAACCCGGCCCTGGGCCTCGACCCTGAGAAGCCTCCACCAGATGACTGCGTCCATCACACCTTCACTCTGGACCCAGCCGCCTCGCACTGCCCTCAAACCTCCACGTGTTAAAATTTCCACTAAATTGTACTAGCATCAGGTTATAACGATATCAATAGGAACCGATGTCGTGTTAAAACGTTTCTATTGTGTATTGAATGTAAGAATTATAAACAGTATTATATTTTACGGACTAACTCCGAAACGCATGTTGTATCATCTTATCGTATTTTGAATAGTTTTAAGTGTTAATTTAATATCGTTATTTGTGTAAATTGACATAATTTTCAGAAATAAAAAGTACTTAAAATATATTGAATTTAATTCTGACATTTATCATTTAGGTATTATAATTTGTTTTATTAATTTTCTTTGTAATAAAAAGCGTATTTGTACTTCTTACACACTTATCGCGCAGACACATCACATCATGTAAACAAAAACTTTGTCACATTAAAAAAAACCGCTGTATTTTGAATTTATTAGATTTTGACACTTATATTATGTTTTTAACGACTTTATGTAATTAGATTCACATTAGATTTGATCGACATGAATTTGGTGAAGAATAATAATCATCATTATCGTTATTTATTTTTTATTTACCGCAATTATATCATTATAATTACACTTATAATCTAGGAAGACAAACAAAGAAAGAAAATATAAGCATAATTCTAACAAAAATACAAGTAAACAGTCAAGAACTTTAAAAAGCAATAAAATGCTGTTTACATTGGAATAAAACATTTATTATTTTCAAAATACAAGCACAGTCATTTATTTGGTTGCCTTCCTGTCAATAAACATTCATTACATCGTAGAACAATCGAGAAACAAAACAAATATATATAGATTCATTGAACAAGTGAACTCTATACTTAATGTAATAAGGCGTTATTTGCAATGAACACCATTTTAGGATAATAAGTCTTGCTGTTGAGTTTGCTGTTGATGTATTTCCTGCATTGTGGAGACTGGTAGAGTCGCACTTACTGTTATAGAAGGCATACCAGGCAGAGACACCGGAGTCACCACTGGGATACCACTGCTCATCGGTGGGAGCATCATTGATTGGTTAAAACTACTCATATCAAATGTGGGTACCAAGTTTTGTGTGTCTTGTGGATAAGTCACAGGAGTAGGGACTTGCGGCTGCGTGTAACTCGGCATCATGGGTATGTAGGGCTGTGGCTGGTTCATCGGAATGCCTGGCAGGTTGGGCAGCGGAGCTGGGGGCTGCATGTGTGACACTGAAGGTATGCTGCCAAGATTTGTCAATGTTGCATCCGCTAAATCTAGAAATATATATTGACAGCAATAAATAGGTGTACAAGTTACAATATCACAGTAATAAAAAATCTTTGACTAATTTATATATGGCTACGCAAATGTTGTCGCTACCCACTAATTCCCAAGGTCATTAAAATCTATATACATAAAGAACTGACCACACTTCTAAACTTATTTCAACTTAACCTTTATGCATATATACTATAGTTATTTTAGGTAATATTGTCTATTTAAGTTTAAATTTAAAAAAAAAGTATAATAAAAAGATAAGCTATGTTATAAATAAACAAACTTACTACTGGAATATGCAGCCATATTTGAGACAACAGATTGTGCTTGTGAAATTGGTTGTTGTGACATAACAGGTTGTGGAGCACTATATTCCGAAGTACTATAGTTTGCTCCAGGGTTGACCATAGGGACTCCGGATAAGAAAGGCGGCGGAGGATGATTCTGTATTGGTCCTTCTTGCGATATTGCACTCTGAGCACCACTTACAAGTGGAACTTTTTCATCATTTATACTAAGATTTTGCAGATTCGAAGCCAGATTTTGTTGAATGTTTACACTCTGTGATGACACCTATAGATTAGAAAAATTAAATATTAATATTTATTTGTTCTTATTAATTTCTAATTAATTTGAAGGACTAAAGTTGTGATATATTTTATCCACATAAACTCTTTAATCTATTAAATAGCTGATGTAGAAAATGTAATTTTCCTCATGTGGTAAATCAAATTTCTTTATGGATATTACATTGAACAATAATATTCAAATGTTTATGTTTCCAATAAAGAATTTCACAGTCTGTTGTATACTTAGAAAACATTAAGAAATATTTTCTTATCACAAATCAGCCTTGATTTATGTACTTCTCTTACATAATGTGCAACAGTTTGTACTTCAAACTTTAATCTCAAATCTGTGTCATACACTCCAACATCAACAAATTTAAAAGAAAAATAAATTCAGTTAGAGAGAGAGAGAGAGAGAGAGATAGCTTTACACATTATTTTAATTTCCTAATGATTCATTTTCAATTTAAGCACATGATTTTTTTTATCAAAGTTTGTACAATTAAACAACTAGATTTTTTCATTATTCTTGAAAACAAAACAAGCTAGTAATTAACATATTTTTTATATACTACTTACCATTGGTGTGGATGGAGTATATGGATTTTCATTAGGTGCAGAACTATTTCTTATTGGAATTCTATGCAAGTATCCATAGCCTATCCCACATCCCAGGCTACCCTGACCACCCCAATTGTGATTGGGTGTGATGTGCACCTCACGGCATGTGTCATCAGCTGTATTGTACACAAACAACTTCAAGGCTCTTCCTTCGTGAGCTTCAATTAAAGTAAACAAATCTTCACTCTCATGCATTATAGAATCGGCTCCAATTATATAATCTGTGAATGGCCTTAGGCCTGCTATTTCAGCTGGAGATGTAGGATGCACTTCCTGTAAATAGTAAATTTAATATTAGAACAACAACTATAACATAAAATGACTATGATACTTTGGAGACTTAAAATAAAGTTGTGTTTGCCATTTTAAATAGTAATTTCTTTTGTTACTTACCAAAACATGCCATACATTTTCATTAGCACCTTCAAAGGAACAAAACCTAATGCTTACACCCAGAAGTCCTTGTCCTCCCCAATTATTACTCGGTGTAATTTGTACTTCCCTGACCGACTGCGTTTTACTGCTATATACTAGCATTTTAATTGTTTTATCAATGTTTTTCTTTAACAAATCTTTGAGAGTGTCATTGTCTTGGTCCAGTCTTATATTTTCTATTGCTACAATAAAATCAAAAAATGGTTCCAAATTCGCTTGGTGACCTGGAGAACCGTCTTGAACCTGCAAAAAACTGTATTATTACTAACTTCGTTCGCACAAACCGACTTTGAATATTTTTATTACTACTCACCCGCAAAACATGGTAACCCTCTGAACCACCTCCAGGTACTTCAGCACTTTGTGAGGAACCCATTGTAAAAGAAATAAATATGTGGAATTTCAAAAATAATTAAAAATATTATGGTGCTAGAGAATTTTATTGACAGTCGTCAAATCTCGAATGTTGACTTTGACATATCCCTTTTTTCGCTACGTAGTCCGTAGATTACGTGGCACGAAGCACGAACCTTTTATTTTTTTTGATGAAAAAGATAATCAAAATTATGTTTATGTAGAAATCACTTTAAAGTGTTACAAAATATCAACAGGTCTTTTAATAACAAGCACCGAACTCTGCTACAAAATCTTTAACCTATATATCATCTCGATTATAGACACATTATCTCAGCACAAGTTTTGCACTCAAATTAATTATACTATGATTAAGTTATTAAAACTGACCCATGTAAGATCATCTCTATTACCTGAGAGAACCCACACAAGCAAAATCTCTAATAATGCTACTTAAATAATATTTTAAAGGAGAATATCATCAAAGTTGAAAATTGTAAACCACGATTGCCACTGACTATGCCACAAAATAAAAAAAAAAGAATGTCAATGTCACTGTCATCAATTGGTCATCAAAATTGGAACATCGATTTTGTTTATGTGTTTATGTTAAAAATTTAGGAAAAAATCAAAATGTAAGTTAATATGGCTTGATAAAATCGTATATTATTGTACACTACGGCACTAATATCTGCAGAAATGATTTGCAATTTGCTAAACATTTAATACCCAATATTTTACTGTTTTATTTACCTTCAAGTATAATTAGTGTAATTAATACGTATTATTAAAGAGCTTTGAATTTTTTCAAAAAAAAACACCTTTAACGTGTAAAATGAAATATTGCCCTGGTTTACTGATATTTTATTTATTGCAGTCGCTGTATAAATAACGAAATGTCAGAATGTAAGCAGTTAATCACGGAATGGCTCAATGAGTACGCGTCTTTACAAGATAATGAAATAAAAAGTTTTGCAGCAGAACATGAACATAATCATGAGATTGCCACAGCAATATTTAACTTGTTGTATAGTGAGGACAAGGATGATGTGCAAACTTGCAAAGATGAATTATATGAACAGGTACTTTAAATTGTTATTCATACTTTCAATCTTTAAATGTTTATGACTGAAATTATTGGATAGATTGTATGAAAGATAATTAGATATGTTGGCTGTTAGAGATGTCTGGTAAAAAGCCAACACTCTATATATTGAATAAAGTATGGTTGGAAGGTATGATACTGAAGAGAAGTAAACCTTGTACTTTTAGACATTATTAGTTAGCATCCTTGGGCACAAATGGTGCACTTTCATTACCACATCAAGTGTCAGAATGATTAGTCAGGGGACATAAATGTCGACATTTTAGTAAGGCTAGTGTTTACACCAAAAAGACAATGATAGAAATTAAAATTTTTACAAATTTTCTTTTCAGCTCTTAGAAAATGTTTGTGTTCAACTCTTCAGTTTCTACAGATCTAAAGAAATAGAGTTGCAAAGATTTACTTTGCAGTTTGTACCAACTTTAATGTTCAATTACTTGAGTGCTATAGCTCAAGGCAGTAGCAAAAACACTAGATGTATTGAAACTCTTTTAATTGGTAAGCTTTTTTATATTATAACTTACCAAACACTCCTTTATATTTTTATAATTTAATAACTTTTTTATCATATCATACCTACAGACATTTTTTTCTTTATTTCAGGTCTATATAATTTTGAAGTGGTAGATGAAAGTGGTAAACCAAAAGTTGTTTCTTTTAGATTGCCTTCCTTAGCTCAAGCATCGATTTATCATGAGGTAAGACATAAATTTATCCTTTCTAAACTTAAAGTGTTACTATAGGATAAATTACTATTATTTTATATAATATTTAATCATTTTTTCCAGCCCTTATCTTTAGGATCTCAATTCCTAACAGAGAGTGCGCTGCGACGATGGGAGGAATGCAACACGAAACTTGTCAGCTGGGGCCCATTGTCCCAAGTGGAGACAATAAATGCACAGAATAGATTGAAAGTCATGGCAGCCTTACTTTTTATTTATAATAGACAATTAAGCTTATTACCTAAATTGGCGCTTAGACATTTTTGTATCGCTGCATCAAGGTAACTGCTACCACCATGTATTTAAACTAACTGTCGCCCGCTACTCCATCCATGCGGAATTAAAAAAACCAAATTTAGTAATCTATGTGTTCTTCCAGACTGTTTTATGTGTATGCCAATATCATTGAGATCTGTTTGGTAGGCTGAACAAACAAACAACCATCAATCTAACTTTCGCATTTATAATATTAGTAATATTAACAAACAAATTAATTAAAGTATGTAATTATATTTTATTCTGCAGAATTGTCACACAAGGGTTTCATAAGAAGCCAGGAGGTTCAAAACCTATTCCTCGGATACCAGTGTCTCCTAACTTCCTGTTAGAAATGGTAGAAGGGTCATATTTTGCAATGTTCAATGAGTTTTATACATTAGCATTGCAAGCTGTTAAAGATATCGATCAGAGAGCGCAATACGAGCTGTTTGCTGATGTAATGCTGGTCACCAGTGCTGTTATGAACTCATTAAAGAACAGTCCATCGGGTAAATGATATTTTGATTTTTTATAAAATGTGAAATAGCAGTATTAATATAGCTCTCTAATTAAAAAATAATAATTATAAATATGTAAATAACAAAATCTTTAGTACATTTTTTGACGTGACATTCATGACATAGTTCAATTCGACGTCTAGTTATGTTTGTCGGTTTTTTTAATAAATCTTAAACAACAGGTCAACCTTGCGACGGTCCAATGGGTATCAGCGTTGCTCTCTCTCCGGCTACTACTACAGTCACAATGTCAAAGTCAATGATAACCAATGCTTCGTTCCGTACAAAAAAATTGCCAGGTAAGAAAATGTCTTATTGCATCTAAAATGTCAATTACCATGAAAAATTAACTTTATGTCACTACTATTTTATATTTTGTACATACCTCAGCGAATACTAAAGGTGATCAAGGTTATTATAATGTCATTTCACCAATAAATTACTCTTGGAGCTTTTTTTTTTGTTTGAAAGTAGATAAAGTTTTTTTGTTAGGCACATTTTTTTTTCGTTTTGTCTCAATTGTTTTACTTTTCATTTATTTATTTCAGTTACTGATCGAAAAACTATATAAATTTATTAATGAAATAAGAAAAATAATATATGTAACTGAACTTGTGATCCCTTATAGTTCTTTTTGTTTATTTTATTTTCAGGTATGCTTTAGAAATTATTTGATACTTGCTATAAGTACAATAAACATATATATAGGCTAGGAATATGCGTTATCATAAAATAGTATTAAAGTTTATATAACCATATTTTTAATAATTATAAATCTCTTTCAGCACTCTATATTTTATGTTTTGACACATATACAAAGACGAATCCTTGAAGCTTGAGTTATCACTTTAATATGTCATTTTATAAATAATATTTTGATACTATTTGACTTTCAGACGATATTCCCATACAGCCGGGACAAGCTGTGGCCGCAGAATCAGCAGACATGTTGTCGTCTATCACCGAGGAGGCGGAGGCGGACGCTGCGCCCATGCAGCGCGGTGGAGTCATAAGAAATTCTAAACCGAAACTCGGTTCCTTTCCTGTGCTGGGTAAAAAAACGAAAGACGGCAAAGAGAAAACGGTCGCGACGAACGAGAAAAAGAATTCTGCTAAAGATTCTTCAAAGGGTATTTGGAATGCGTTGGGCAGTGGCGCCGGTGATATGGTAGATGCTCAACAAAAAGCTTTAGATAATTCTTTCGACGCTAACAGCAGTCTTAAGGATGAAATCTCGATGACGTCTGTTCTTAACAGTGCAGACAACTCAGACACTCGTTCACAAGGAACTAGTGATTCTTTAGACATGGAAGCGCCCTCTTCTCGTTTTGCTGCCATGCAAGTCAGTTCTGTCTAAATCTTAGACTATTCTTTACAGTATTATGTATCATTATAGTTACCGTATATGTGGTGTTTGTTATATTCAAGCTTTAGAAATAATTTAAAAAAAATATTAAAATTGTGCTGTTGGTATATTTACTTAATAAAGCTTTTAACGTTGTTGTGGTACTTAAGAATATTTCAATTGTAGTGATGATTGTAAATGAATTGAAAAAATTGTAATTGTGTCCTGCCAACTGTAATTATGTATCATTCCAATTATTGTTTTAATAAAGAAATTCTATAATACGTAAATAAAATCTCGTTAAACAAGTGCATATATTTTATTAAGTAATTTTTGTACCAAAATAAAATAATTGTAATAATTGGATAGTAAAAAAAATTCGTGCAAATAAATGCCAGTAGAAAAAAACCCTAAACACCTAAAAAGCGAAGGATTACCAATCTATAAGTGTGCATTTGCTAAATTATTTATCTTTATTTTCCCTTATTGGAAACGATGAATATGTTTACTGTAAAGTGCTTCGTTGTAATTAGACCGGGGAACGTAATCAAAGCCTATTAAAGTCTTTGGCTTTGTTTCTTGTAAAAGTTCTTCCAGCTTCGTTATGGTAGCAACGTATTCGTCATGTTCCTTTTCATTTATGACTATTGGCAGATTTGCTGCACAAACCCACAAATAAAACATGCCCACTGAAATATTAGAATAATAATTACCGCTGATTAAATATTAACACAAAAATATTCTGTAGGGGCGCTAGTGTGTTATTATAACATTGAATTTGACTTATTTCCAGAGACCGTTAGTTTCTAAGATCAAAATCCCCGTTTAGAACATAATTTTCTCTGTTATATCAATGATAATGAAAGGATGATGATATATTTTACAAAGGGATTTGGTCTCAGTAAATGAATGTCAGGCAGCAACGGCGAGTCAGATATCTTTATCGGTCTATAATTAACTCCGATAACAACGCCCTCTGCAACTGTTTAGTCCAAGGTCATTTGATGTCTATAGTGGGTTCTTGTTTAAAGGTGGATTTATAGAAATCAATGCATGAATCACAAGTTTATATCAGTATACTGACATTGAGTGAATTACTAAACAATATTTTTACAATATAACAGCGTTATGCTTACACAATATGAAACCTCCGAGTACACTAGCTCCAATGAGAAGACCAATGTCCATTGTGTTTTTCTTCAGCGTTAATAGGAGTGTTATAACCAAAACTGTAAATGCGATGAGGCGAACCAACTCGGCTACGATGTACGGCATCATTAATACATTATTGCACTGAAATGTTCAACATTAACAATTATTTAATATTCATCGATAACATTTTTTTATAATCGATATAACAGCTTAAAAACCGAATTATACAATTATAAATGTTGTGGAAATTTCTAAAACCTTTTTCAACTGTCCAGGGACAAGCAGAGAACAAAGTGAGGTAAAGGCAATGATTTATGCCTGATATACGTTTTGCCAGTAGAGCAGGACTGTAGCGCTGGCCTGGCATAGACTACTTCGACTCACTGGCGCCAGTTAACGTTTACATTAAACCATTTGGATGTCAGCACTGATTTGGAACCCTACGAGTTTTACATAAATAATGTAAAGAATCTGAGAAATACATGGTTCCCACATTTTTCCTGGCGCAAGGAATTGAGTAAGCGCGTGCATTTTAGATACTTTACTTAAGGACAGTGGGTACCTTATAGGCTCCATAAACATACATCATACATATAATTATATAGATGCATGTTAACAATATTATGAGACCAAGAGTTTTTGTTGGATCTGAAATAGAATTCACTTTATGTATATTTTCGATAAAAATCAGCGTTTTAATATTATCAAAATTGTAGTTACCGCTCCGTAAGTTGTTAACAAACTCTTTCGTAAATATCAAATTCAAATCATTCACCCAAAACGTTATTTTTTCTTCAATATTCTTGGGATTCGAATATCCAACACAGCTAATAGTTAAAACAATCAACGCTTGTATCTGAAAATAAAGTAAATGTCCTTTCATTCTCATTTGTTTCATGTTTTATAATTATTTAATTCATCTCAGGTCAGGACGGGTCCTTGTACCACTTATGTAGGGTCGCCGCACCAGGTTTTCTTCCACCAGATCATCCGTCATCTCAATCGTCACTACTCGCTACCTTCTTAATCATGTCACCTTTTACACAATGCATTTTAACATTCGCATTTCCGCCACATATTCTCTACATTGGGATCCATACATCACAAGTCTTACGATGGATTTATATCATTTCCCCCTTATTTTAAGACGAATTTGTGGGTCGCATATTTACCCCGTGACTTTTTGTCATTTCATCCAATTCGCTTTCATTCTATTTTTCACGTCTCGGTCAATATCGCATTCGTTTTACAAGTCGTAGGTACTTCCCAGGCATTCGTCTTCCTTTCATCGGCTATCACATAATCTTACGGGGTACTCGGATATATGCTGTTTATAATTTTTAATATGATTTTTTTACATACTATTGAGAATAGAGCAATTATTATTCCACCTAATCTAAGTGAAAACCAAAAACAACAGCTATACACCAGAGCCATTTGGTTTATTACAATGAATTCAAAGTGTTTTATAAACCGTAACTAAAATATTAATAATGCATTATCCTTTTTATACAGAGCTTCGTGTTGACTATCATGTAACGATCAAAAAGCTATTATTATCTTTTGTTACGTATTGATTGCAATAAAATGCTTGCGTGTTAAAATATTAAACTTTTTTATAACAGCATGATAGATGGCGACGCGACTTAGTTTAGCTAGGTACCTACATATAATTTAGACTCGTTAAAAACCTTTGTTACAAAAAACGGAAGTGTAGAATTGTCCTTGACATTTTATAACTGCTCGAATTAACATCAATTTGAACCCAAGGTCACTAGAACTACATATTTTCCATCCATACTACTCCGTGTCGTCGGTACATCTCAACGAACACAATACATTTATCTCTTGATTCATTCTCATTTCTATAAATATAAGTAAATGTTATCAAAGGTCCCAAAGTAAAAACTGCGCAGAACTCAATTTCCTCGACGGAGCTTCCAATCGCTTGCACGAGATTCTTTGCATGTGTATACACTTATTATCGCAAGAAAGTACAGTCGGACACAAAATCATCGCGAATTGTGCAAGAACACAATATTAATGCGAATTGTGCAATTACTAAAAAAAATCTTACTAAACTTACACATGCGAATGTTTGGATGGATGGATGTTTGAAGGTGTCTCGACAATGGCTGTAAGGAGCTCGCTGAAATTTGGTATAGATTTAAAACATAGTCTGGAAACTGGAAGACAACATATGCTGCTAATTAAGGTTTCTTTTAATTTCGAACGGATTCCCACAAAAATGTTGACATGTGAACTCGAGCTACATCGTGACATGTTACGTTACATGTTTTACATCAAAAATGAAAAGATTAAAAGATTAATTAATGTTTCCTGTAAATAAATGTAGTGGTTCGAAGTGAATAAGTTCGTCATAAAATGTGGTTTGAACTGTACCTGCGCCTTGCAACTGCGCAGTATCTGTCATGTAGTACTACTTTGGGTCCTGACAAATATCGATTTTGCATTCATGTACTTGTCTTTCGCAACTAGTTAGCTTGTTATTACTTGGTAACATTTCTATCATTGTTTGTTATGGAAAAATGATACAGATTTGTGTTAATTGTTCGTGTAATGTGATTGCTTATCAAAACAACATATGATACATATTTTCATCATAAGTGCAATAAGAGTAAAGTAATGGAGAACACAATTACATTATTTACTTTACCCGATGAACTTATATTTATTGTGTTAAAATATACCGATATTCGTGATGCTATTAATTTTAGTGCTACATGTAGGCACTTTCATGATTTGGTGAAGAGTAACCAGAGCTTTTGGGCATATAAATTCAAAGGACAGTAAGTTGATTTAGATAAGATTTCTTATTCCAATGCTATCAGATATGTTTTTACGTTTGAGAGACATTGTGGCTGTGTTCTATTTGATGTCTACGACGTAACTTCTCACCCTCTACCTATATTGCTATCTATTATATAAATGTTTTTTTTTTGCCATTTGAACAACAACATTCCATAATAAGTCCTAATATCTAACTTTATATTCTCAAACACTCTCGTGACCTATTTTATCTCCCTTTAATGGATATTTAGGCTGTAATCGTCAAAGTTGCAGTATGATTAATTATACATTCTGTGACTATGGGGGTACCAGAGCACAAATCTTTGATACTTATGATAAATTAAAATCAGAGATGATTTTTTGGCGAATCGAATCCTTGATGATGTCCTTAAACACTAACATTATGTCTAATGTGATTCTGTATACTGTAGGGTTCTTTAACTTAAAATTTATAATATTATATGTTTATTTCTAAAGTTTATCGCAGGTGGTAAATTTTCCAAGTATTGAAATGCCAATAAATATTGCAGGTTGCCATGCATCTTTGATGTTGCTGACCAGTACAGCAGTGGTATTTGGCTAAATGAGTTAAAAACCTTTTTGCTCCAAAAACAAAGCATTTATAAAGAATTATTGGAATTGCCGGCAAGACATTATTGGTGAGTAAAAGTAAAATTTTAGTAGTGTATATTTTTATTTATTAATTAAATACAAGTTATTTAGGTGTAAATTTAACTATTTACGGGTTTTATATGTGCAAATTTTAGGAAAATTGGACAATTTTCTCTCCATGATGTGGTTCATTTCTTCAAAGTATCATCAACACATAACCTTGGATACTACTATACCATTTCCATACTGCACAACATAATTAGAATTGGTTATAAAAAAATGCTACAGTATAATACAGAAAAGTAAGTGAACTTACTAATATAATTACCTCTTGTTCTACTTCTTTTTTACAACAAAAAAAACCTTTCTTGTAGGCCATATACATTAACTGAAATGCATTATGCAAAATGTGTGCTCAGTCATCTAATGCATAGTTATCTGACTGTGAAATGGATAAAAAATCAAATGATTGAAGAAACACCTCCGGAAATTGTCCTCAATTTCATTGTGCAGTGGATTGATAATGAGAACTTCCACTTTTTTGAAGACGTCCTAAATAAAGTTTGTATCAAACTAGCCTTATTTATATTTTTATCAAACTATCTTGTTTTGTTCAGTCATAATAATGAAATTTAAATACAGTTGGACATTTGGGCTGATAAAGTTAAAGCACATTTGACAAATGCCCATCCGGATCAACTTACGGAGAATACTGATGAACTATACACTCCAGCTCAAATTTTCTCTGCCGTTTCCACTGTCCTGTTCCACCAGAACCGTATGACTATGACTACTTCAGCAAACTTGGACACCCTTGATGTCTTAAAGGTATTTATTTTAGTAAATTTTTTTACTATTAGCAGTAATATCACACTCATCAGTAAAGAGGGACATAATAGACGGATACAACAAATTATAACAGTCCTATTTGCCTTTTATTGGCACAAATTGCAAGGAAAGCCTGTAACTGTCAAAATGGTGATCAATTACAAATGAGATTTCAAAAAAGCTGAAATGTGTGGACCAAAAACTACGTCCAAATTTTTTAGAGTACCTATTTCATGTAATATAAAATACAATGTATATTTGCAGGTGTTGGAAAATAAAGTTGGGAATCAAATAGCAGTGTATGCTATTTACCAAGCAATAGCCAGACGATGTGGTGCCGCATGCGACCTGATCGTCTTTGTGAACCATTTGTTCTTGGAGTGGCGTTGCGAGGACAACCCGAACAAGCCCGTCATGTACAAGATACAGATCATGACTGGAGAGCTTGAGGCCAATCACCGCTGCCCCTATGTCAGCTCCCGCTTCAAGTACAGCGCGGATGCTCTACTGCATAGCCTGCACGCCTGCTTTGTTAAGAGCCTGGGGCCTATGCAAAATTGGTAAGAACAACAATGTATACATCTCACCAGTATATAGGTATTACCTGCTCCATTCAGCATAATTTTAGTGCTGTCTTCCAAAAATGTGTTTATTTTCCTCGCTCTTTCCCCAATGGTTAATTTATTAGGTATGATACTTATTAAGTATTAAAATATTTCAGGGCGTCAGCTAACGCGGCAGATTTGCTTGGATTCCTCGGTGGTACTTACACCACGCCCAGCGCATATGATATATTTTATCAATTCTTCTCCGGCGATATTGATTTGATTTCGTTGAATTCATCTCTTGATATTAAAAATGTAAGCAAACTGTCGGATAAGCAAGATAATAGATAAATTTGTTTATGTCACTAAAGTTATTAATTATTTTCAGCTATCAGAAAGGGAAATGGCAATAATTCTCTCATTGGTTCATGTGAAGATACGGATGAACCGTCCACTTGGCAAATTTCAAAATAAAGCTGTAAGTACAGCTTGCAAAACTTAACACCTCTTTATATCACTCTTTGTGACGTCACGCATGTACAACCCTTCGACCATCAGATCTTTCTATAAATCATTATTCAGTCTAGATTTTTCTTAACTAAGAACTAAAAAAAAATCTTATTCTTTAATATAAATTACTATATTTATATTGTGCAATTTAAGAGTCTTTACTGTTGGACTAATCGTCCAATGGCAAAACTCTCTAATTTGTTGTCTTTAAAACCTAATTTGTATTGCATTGCTTCCAGGTTTTTTTTTATTTTGATTTAGTTGTTTTTTTTAATCACATGTTTCAAACACATAGACATTTTGTTGATTTGACTAGCCCAGTGCGGTTTAAGTGCATTAGAAGGAAGTATCCTTCCAAGACGAGATATTACAACGACGACTTGTTTAAGGTAAAGATATCGGAGGCAAGGGAGCATGATGTCACAGTAAAGTATGGGGTGGGTATGGTGTGTAGTCACAAGGACTTGGAGTACCAGTGCATCATTATCGGCTGGGAGCTGAGCTGCAATGCGGAGTGGCGCACTCGCCTTACCAATGACGGTCAGACCACAGGCTTCGAACAGCCCTATTATAACGTCGTGGCCAACGATCAAACCGAGCGATATGTTGCACAAGGTAAGTGCCCTTGATAACAAAGTATAGCCAAGTAATTAGTGTGATGAATTTAATATACAGTTTGTACTGCACTATGATTTGAAAATGGACTTACTTCTTACTCTTCCTAATATTATAAACACAAAAGCTTAATTGAATTGATTTTTGTTACTATCTGAGTCCAGAACGGTTAAAGGTATCTTAGAGAAATTTGACATAGATGTTGAAGATAGTCTGGAAGAACCTGTAGGCGACTAATTAAATTTCTTGCAAACGGTGTCGCGGGCGACAGCCACTAAATATATATTATTATTTATGTGGTCTTGTTCTAATAATTATAAGTAAGTTTATATTTGTTGAATATTGAAATTAAATTTTGTGTAATTGTTTAGAAAATCTGGTGCCTGTTAATCGTCCAAACCGTTTGCTCCATTTGGAGGATTTGGTCAGCAAAGATTTTAGCCATTTTGATGGCTTCAGCTATGTTATGAATGATGAGAAGAAGACAGAATATCCAGAAGAAGGGCCGATCATCGAGGAGCACCGCCAGCGTTGCATGACAATCGAAAATTATTGAATGTTACCTTAGAGTTAGACTGCTGTAACACTTGTATTGATTATGTGAATTACAAAGTGTAATTTCGCGCGTATGTATGTTTGTTTTTTATGTATGTGGACTTGTATGTATGGCAATTGTAACAGACTAGAAACTAAACGATTAAATCGACTTTGTGGAGTGAGATGTAATTCAATTCTTCTTCCGCTGAGTGTCAATACATCGGCCCAAAGCACACGTGTTTTGTGTTGATGTTGATTATTTCCCCTATACTGGGTGTCCGAGAATGGCGTGTACAACGATTACCACAGATTTCTTGGTCGAAAATATGACGATTTAACCCAATTTACCTATATCTAAAATTGCTGCGTATAGCCGCTAGAGGGCTGTAAAGTTTGCAAATATTTTTACATTTATTCAAATATCTCAAAAATTCGTAACTGTGTATGCCCTTGTATAGGAGACGTAACGTACCTTTTTACGTTGCTAAATCGTTTTTTCGAGAATGTCCTAAAATATGAAAGTGTTACTTATAATATTACAGATTATTAAGTTTATTTAAAAAAGAATTGTTTCAAAAAGCAGCCAAAACATGACGCTATTCGTGCCTTGGAGCTTGTCAATTTTTTTAAATCAAAGTTGCATTTTTAACCGACTTCAAGAACGAGGAAGTTCTCCATCCGTCTGAATGTTTTTTATGTAGTCTCTGTGGTTGTCAAAGGGAATAAAAGGGATGTCAGTATGTATTAATGCAAGTGTCACTGCATTCAAAATTAAAGTAACAAGTAGTATCTAGAAATTATATCAACTACTGCATGCATTAAACTTATACTTCAGAAATTATAATATTCAAAGAGTTAAAAATCTTATAGATTATCAATATTTAAACTATTTTTTTCTCATAAGTCACTTTTTATTTATAAGAATACTGACCTCTATACATGGACTTGGTGTAAGTCGTGATATTTTGGGCTTACTGGATTTTCGATCGAATAGATAGAAAATGAAAGGAAATTTCCATATATAGAGATCAGGATAAGAATCAAATTACATACAAAAAACAAATTTTTCTGGCCCAGCGAGAGGCGCGTCATAAAAATTATTGATAATTTAATATGACACGTGAAAATTGCCTACTATAACTTCACTATTGCCTATCAGCGGGGGCTAAACAAAGTGCAATAGCTAAAGCGATTCCACGACGAACATCAAAAATATATAGAACTGACAATATGTTTCGGTAAGTCACGTAATTATCGTGCGTCCATAGCTCCATACATTTTTTAAATTTTGTTATGGAATCGCCTCAGAGCGAATGCATTTTGTCTAGCCCCTCAGGCCAGAAAAGTTTGTTGCGCTATAAGTAAATATTTGTGAAAACCATATTGTAGAGGACTAAAATAAATAAAAAACTACATGAAATTATTATTCTTTATTTATATCTGTTGCAGTGCTTATTACATTAAATCAATTTCGTAGGGACAAAGTGGTGTGTAGACGTTATTTACATTCGATCTGACGGAGTTTTGACATTCAATTAGAAACACGTCTAAGGCAATGGCACTACTAAACAAGGCATCGGAAATAATTGGAACAATCTAACAACGCTTCACAGGAAAATGATAAATGTAATATCCAAAACATTATCCAGAAATGGCAATCAAATTATAAAAACGAAACCTTTTATGATTTACTAAGTACTTTTAGAGAAAAAAACTTAATTGTATGCATGTTGTTCTACAAAATACTACATCCCTGTAATGCAAACACTTTTTGTATAAAATGATCACCATTCCCGAATTCAAATATGTAGCTTTATATTGTTACTGCAAGGTATAGTAAACATTAAGTACTCAATTAGCGTAGCGTAGCAAATTGTTAAACATACTAACATATATTAATTAACGTAGCAAGACAATTATCCACCTTTACAAAATGAATTATTGTATATCTATTATAAGCTAAAATTTCTTGACGCGAAACTAAACCTCGTCAACAATAATGTTATGAGCAACATTGTTGTCACACCCCTATTGTTACTTCAAATATTTGGCCTAAAAATTTATAACATTTGAAACAAAGATTACGTATTCTAAATCTTGACCATTCTACATACAATTTATATATAAGTAAAAAAAGGAGTTTCAACATAAGTTTATCTGCAAATTATTTTATCAGATATGTTCTCAGAGTACATTAAATTTATATGCAATATTGATGACCTACTTTACTATCTAATGATACAGACGATTTATTAAAACTGCAAGTAGAATGATTAACATAAAAAGGAACGCAATTTCTTTACGACGATAAAGTAATCTAAAAAGCTGGACTAAATTTTATTAAGAGCTATTTAATTATACTGACAACGTCACACATTAGGTACTTATCAAATTACGTGAGCTTCCAATAGGTAGGGGCAGTCGCACGCGGCGCACGACGCCACACAATCAGAGTCCCACTCGCGCCCGCCATTGCCACTGCGCTTGCGTCTGCGACTAGCACATAATATTGCGAACGATCGCTAACACTAAAGTTATCGCAAGATAAGATAAAAAGCAAGGATCTGTTCGTGAGACTGAGATCAAAATCGGTGTGCCATACAACAAAACACATATATTTTTAAAGTATTCAAATCAAACTACTTATAAAAATTTATTCAGTATTTATCTTCTGCAGTAATAAATTTATGTCAAGTTAAAGTAAAAAGCGACATTAGCCTAGGTAGAACTAGAATTAATATTTTGACCATCTCGATATCTAACATTACAGCAATTAATTTACAATGTCAGAGAACCTATAACATTAAATAAAGCAAAACTAAATGATAAATGGAACATGTAACTCGCGCAGTAGATATGAGTACAGGTTGTCATTTGGATCGAGTTTGGTT